CTGGTATATGGTATATAAATAAACACTTAAGCGTGGTTCCTATTGAATGCTAGATCATCGTTTATTTGCGGTAAAACATAAGTCATGCGTTGACAGATCCCTAAAATTTAAGCAGCAAAAGTTTTCGCTAGTCATTTAAATCGACATTTTTTATATACGGTATAAAACCTCTAGACTATAAATTTATCACTTTATATTTTTGGAATCTATGTATTATATATAGCTTTATGATTAAACTATTAAAAAGGTCCAACAGTTTATCAAACTGAAAAGTGATAAAAAAAGCAAGAGAAACTCTTTTGTTTTAATATAGTTATATAAATGAATCATATAGGTTAACATAATAAGTCTTTGAATTTTTTAATTTTACAACTTAGTTATGAACAGTATTATTTTTTGGTCAAATGAATACTTTCTTAGAAATTTATATCCAGTTTTAGGTCTACATGCACATGTTTATATATAAAAACAGATAGATCACACAAAGAAACATTATTGATATATTAATGGAGTACTAGTTAAAAGTTTTCGAATCTCGAAACTGAATTGTTCTGTGTGAGCTAGTGTGCATTTATCTAAAAGACATTTTCAAAATCCGAGCAATATATATTTGGATTTTCCTACTGTTGCCGGAAAGAATCCGAACATTGGACTTCACTTTGTTCCGTATCTATGCTGTTACATTAACTAATGCATTTATAAAACCAAAGTTTATACATTGGTTATTCTCACGTAGACAATTTTCCTTGTCTGAAAAAACTTGAATAAAAGGCCTTAATTCCTGCTTTTTAAAATCCCGAAGCAATATTCTGAATCAGTTAAACGAAATTTTAATTACTTTACAATTTCCTATGTTCATGTCGAGAAATGCAAATGTGTAAATTAGTACTAACTCAATTTAAGTATTTAGTTTTACTGTTCATATTCCAAGGCTGATCTGAAGGAGACAGCTTTGTCTGCCGTGGCTCAAATCTCCATCTCCCACATTTAATTTAATTTAATGGACACACGTACGTACACTGTTTACATTAATATTTTTTTATTATGGAAAAAATCTTCCCTTGACGTATTCGTTTTGTCTATACATATACGTAAAAATGTAACGAAAGATTAAGTCGCACATAAAGAAGATTAATGTAGCTATAGATATGATTTTCGACAACTTTGTTTGAAGGAGGCCCCAACATGCAAAAGATAAAGGGAGAAAGAGGCCAAATTGAGCTTGACTCATGATTAATCACGGGTACCTCAAAAGAGCAAACAAAAAAAATTGAATAAACTAATTTCATATTTATTTTCAAAAGAATAAATGTATGAACAACATATATCGAAGTAAAAAAAAACACATATATACATCTATATAATTTGTTTTTTAGAAGTATTTATATATTTGTTACATTTAAATTAGTATAGAAAAATTTCTTTATACCACAAGTAAAAAAGGACAATTAATAAGAGGGAAAATATGTAGGTACGTATGATGTGCCTTCTAATCATTTCTTAAACAATATGATGAATGGGAAGAGTGTTCATTGAGATTTAAAGGTTTCATTCGCAAACTCCTTTTTTTTTTGTTTACAGAATCATTCGCAAACTTTGTAAGATAATTTTGTCTATATATGTACCTAGCTAGTTACTTTAATGATTGTTTTAATTTTTTTTGATAATCTTTTTTTTGATGATTGTTTTAGTTGTAAGTTGAAATCCCAATTTAAAATTTTCAAATTTATTTGTATACGTAATTAAATTATTTATTTGGGACCGTTTCGTTTTTGGACTTCAACTTAACAATTAACACGAGAATCGGCTTGAAATAAACTTAGATTCAAACCAGCTGTTCGCCTGAATTATTAGTCGATCGAGCGCAATTGAACGTCTGATGCTATTAACAATATAATATAATCCATTTGGCGAAGTCATTATGGTAATATTCTTAAAACAATTTCTTCTTTCTTGTGATACAAATAATATTATTATATAATCGTTAGAGATGAGGCCGTTTCGTTAGCTCGTGATGATTGTCCGAGCGTGTTCTTTTGTCCATATTCTTTATTTGATCAACTTTATTTTTTCTACTCCTGTTAAAGCTATTTGATCATCATGCTCTTGTAGATTCTCCAAGTTGTATGTAGTGTTGGGTTTCTTTCACCAGCGAATATTATCCCAAGGAAATATATATAAAAGTTCAAGAAAACAATATATATCACAAAACTTTTCTGTCAAGTTTTTTAGTGTTACATACAATGATAATAGTGAAATTAATAGTTACACAAAGATCAAATGATACTAGATTAACACCTTTCTTGTGGCATGGGTTTATATCCAATATATTATCCCAAATCTTATTTATAGATGAATGTAAATCATATTTTCTATATGGATTAATCTCAGTGACACTTTTCTCTTTTGGTTTTAATTAGGGTTAATATTAATCTCAGCGACACTTATTTTGAATAGGAAAAAAGTTTTCATATGTATCATCTATACACATGCACACATATCCATACATATAGTATATGTGTGTGAAGCACTGAAGCTAGAGCGTGAGATCATCACAGAACGGAGGGGCAGATGATACCAGGAGAAAGAAATAGAAACAGAAAAGGTGGAAGAAAATCAAATCTGATTTAATTGTTGCTTTTACATAAGAGCAAAATATATTTATTTATTTATATGATTGGACATGGCATCGACTTTTGTCTTTCCAATTACTTTGAGGAGAGATTCTATTTTGAGGTTAACATAACTCCAAAGAAATACCCACTCTCTTTTCCCAATTTTACCCATGCAACCTTTCCTACATTAATTACCATTAAAATCGTATGTATACATCCCAATATACACAATCTTTCCTATACAATATAAAAAAATTTCATCGATTGAGACCTAACATATCTATTTCACTTTAATGTTTAGATGCTTGATTGGAAGATCACAATCAATTTCATCAAGTGGTTTGTTGGTCAACTAACTAGTTACACATTTGATAATTTTAGTATGTTACTTCCATTTACAATATTGACAACAACAAAAAAATGGACCACATAACATAAGTAAATTGTCAGTGAAGGTATTTTCATTCAGGTACTCTTTTCTTTTATGAACAGTGGACTTTGATAAGAGCAGCTCTGTTATCCCCTCTCTCTCTCTTTCTCTCTCTCTTATTTTCCTGTTTTTGTTTTTTTTCATTTGCTCGTTTATTTTTCCTTTTTTTCTTGTCTTTTATTTTCAACCCTCTCTTTTTTGTCTGCAACAATGTGCTTTAAGTGAAATGTGTCTTTATCTCCTTTCCCATACCTCCTTTGTTTTCTTTTTTGTTCAATTACTTTTCAGAAAACCAACCAAAATTAAAAGATGAATTTATTACTGTTCTTTTAAAAAAGAAGAGCTACTTGATCATATTTTCTTTTTGTAAGGGTATCCGGTTATTTTCTAATATTTTTCCTTTTTCTTACAAGGAATAATTTAGAGGAAACCAAAGAGAAATTAAAGTACCACATCTGCGTGTTACTAGGTCAATTCGACTATGTTGAGATTTTCAAAAAAAAAAAAGTTACGATTCGACTATGTATTTGAAAATATATATGATAATAGTTAATTATATAGTGGTAAGAGACATGTATACGAACGTATGATTGGCTACATTTTTTTTTTTCTGGTAAACCGTATAATTGGATATACTTTAAAAACTATTTTGTATAATATATATAATCTTTCTTATAGTAGTATATATAACAAGATATTTTACTATAGTAAAGTGGTTTTGTAATCTAATAGTGTTCGTTCTATCAACTCACAAGTCACAACCATATATATAAAAATATCACAGATATAGAAATTACTTTCAACCGATGCACTTCTCACAAGCTTAATTATATAATAAGCTATCATGAAAATTTCCGTATCTTATTAGATAGCAAATGTATTTCTCTAGACTCTAGATATGTGTGGTGATGAATATTACTAGTACTTTATATTGGTAATAAGAAAACCATTAATTAAGAATATTGGTCTCGGAACTCATAACAAAAAGGTACGTTCACGTTGGGACTAATGTGAAAGACAAAATACGAGAGGGATGGGTTTATGAATTATGAGGAACCCCATACTTACAAAACTTGCCTTCCAAAGGAGAAGCAATCAATTCGGAGATGAAGTGTATGTCCATCTTCTAAACATTCCATCTCTAAAGTCAAAACCCTAAATTTCAGTTCCAAACTTGATAAGTTTTTTCCCGATGCATGCACATGCAACACTTTAATTAATTTCATTCACGTGTCATGGTGGATGGTGATCATCTATGTATAAACAGGTCGTCATGTCCTTTTATAGAAAGTTTTCTTGAGCACACGATAACGCTAAAACTTGCAACATATTTATGATGAATGTTTGATCAATTATTTACGAGACATTGTCAAAATATTCATGGTTATAAATTTTTGGTTTATGTGGACTCTGAAGTCATATTAAAAGTACTCAAATAGAGCTCTGATAACATTTTGAGGAATTTGTAATTTTAGTATTCGAAGCAACATTTGAAATATCATCTGCCTAACAAGTAACAACATTGACAATCTAACCCAAAAGTTTAGTTAATCTTCGAAAATTTATTTCGTTGATTCAAAACAAACCAAACCACATAAACAGGTCGTCATGTCCCTTCCCATATGGAAGTGTGATCCGAAAGTTCCAGTCTCAGGCCCAAATGGAAGGTACATAAATTGGGCCTTGTGATTCTATTTGTACAAGTAAATAGTCCAGCCCATATTCAGATAAAACAGATTTTGAGTTTGAGACTCGCTCTGGTCCATCCTCAGATCCGCTGCTGTATCACTGAGTCACTGACGTAACATCAGTCACAACACGTGTAGATCTTGATTCCAGTTCTTACGCAACAGCATAATCCCTAAGCCACAAAGATTCAAGTAGGCCCACTTAAAGAATCTTCCACAATTTGAGTTAAATGTCGTAAACTTTTTAAACACGTCATTAGATTAGCTATGATAAAAGGAAATTCAGATTTTTCACTCGATTAACTGATTGATTCATAGTGATTGCAAATTTCAAATGGAAAAAATTGTAACCCTAAATCATGATCTACCTCTGTTACACTTCCCGAATTCTCGGAAACCCTTTTCGATTCCATCTCCGGTTCTTCGATTTTCAAGCTTCAATCTTCGTAAGAAACGTCCTTGTCTTGCATCGTCTTCCGAAACAGAGACCAAGACTGTGACTGTTTCAGAGAGCCATGATGTGGTAGTTGAGAACAGTACCGTTGGAAGAAGATTGCTTGGTTTAGCCGCCGCCGTTGCAGTAGCTGTTTCTTCGTCGATTTTTTGTGATTCTCCGGCACTAGCTGAGTCTCTGACGATCGCTTTCCCTGTTTCACGTGCTCGTGAGGTGATCGAGGTTTTTCATTGAGCTCTGTTTCTCTGTTTTTAACGTCTCTGAGAAATAAAGTTTGGATTTTGATGTTTTGTTAAGGTTACTACAGTACAGAGAACTCTTGTGGAAGCTTGGGGTTTAATTAGAGAAACATTCGTTGATCCAACTTTTAATCATCAGGGTAAATTCTTAGAGTTTTGGATGAATTTGTGTAGGATTTGTAGAATGGTCTTGAGGACAGTGTTTGATATTTGCAGATTGGGATTCTAAGTTGCAACAGACAATGGTGGAAATGTTTCCTCTAAGATCAGCAGATGCTGCTTATGGAAAGCTCAAAGCTATGCTCTCTACGCTTGGTGATCCCTTTACTCGACTCATTAGCCCAAAGGTACTTGCAAATTTTGATTCTCTATGAGTGTGCTCTGTAGTGTTTCTGGGCATGATTTGAAGTTGGTTTTGCCTTGAGACAAATCTTATGACTTACAGGAGTACCAAAGTTTCAGAATTGGTAGCGACGGAAATCTCCAAGGTGTTGGCCTTTTCATAAACTCAGAACCAAGAACAGGTCACCTGGTTAGTGACCAAATACATCTTGAGACCCAAAGAAGCTTGGAATTTCGTTTTTGTGTTCAATACCTATTTTTTATTTTCTGAGCATGAAGTAGATAGATCTTGTTTCATGGTAGAGCCCAATGTAGGTTGTTATGTCTTGCATAGAAGGTAGCCCGGCAGATCATGCTGGTATACATGAAGGCGAGGAATTAGTCGAGATAAATGGTACATTGGTCCTTATCCCTACCAACTAGATTGCTGAAAATTGGCTATAACTCTGTTGTTTCTTTATGACATTTTAGGTGAGAAATTGGATGGTGTTGATAGTGAAGCAGCAGCACAGAAGCTGAGAGGCCGAGTTGGAACATTTGTTACCATAAAACTTAAAAGTGTACTATTCGGTTACCTCTGTATTCTCTTTGTGGAAAACCCGGTAAAGCTGAAGTAAAACCAAGTAAGTTATTGTCATCTCTTGCAGGTGAATGGATCAGGGACAGATTCCGGTATCAGAGAGGTAATAGTTACCGCTGCTATTATTAGATTTGTTCGGGTTACTTACTAAATAAGTATCTCTCATATATGTAAAGGTCAAGTTACCTCGAGATTACATTAAGTTATCTCCAATATCCAGTGCTATAATCCCACATACAACACCTGATGGACGTTTAGCAAAGACGGGTTATGTCAAACTCACAGCGTTTTCTCAGGTGAGTGTTTTTGAAAACCGGGAAACAAGAAAGGATGAAAAATTGATATGTATTCATTGATTTGAACTTTCCGATAGACTGCAGCATCCGATATGGAAAATGCGGTACACGAGATGGAGAATCAGGATGTTCAGTCATATATCCTAGACCTAAGGAACAATCCGGTATTTTTTCAGGTTTTGTTTTTAATGTGAATTATCGTCTCCTGTTCATTTTCCGACACTTAGCTTTTGGCTATTCCATATTAGGGAGGTCTGGTTAAAGCTGGCCTTGATGTTGCACAATTATGGCTTGACGGAGATGAGACTCTTGTGTATACAATCGACCGTGAAGGGGTAACATCGATCAACATGATCAATGGACACGCTGTGACACACGATCCACTTGTTGTGCTTGTAAGTACATATATATATATACTAGATAACAGCCCGCACTATGTGCGGGATAAAGTGATTTAAGTAAAATTATTATGATTAAAATTATTATCTAGAATCCAAGATCCCTTTGTGTAAAACGAAACATGTAATAATTTTTTTTTTTAATTCAAATTTGGGACTATTTCGTATAAGAATACGTTTCACCCGTGAAATATTTAAACCTGGAATAAAGCTTCAACGTGGTAAAAAAAGTATTGACGAAGATTTATATAAATATATATAAAGAAAAATATAAATATAAAGATTTATTAATTTAAGAAGAACAAAGAGTGTATGTTTTCTAATTATTAAAAAATAAATTATTAATATAAATAAACAAAGCTCTCGTGATTTCTTATTAAATATAGATATGAAGATTAGTTGCCTAATTATTTGCTTTTTGGTTATAATTTCGTTTTTTATTTGTGTGATATATATATATATATATTAAGACTAATGGCAAAATCTGTAAATAGTCTAGTAAAATTTGGGTAATAATTTAAATGGATGGAAAATCACTCTGAAAGCGACACGTCAGCATGGCAGTTTAGTTAATAACACGTCAAAGTAAGGTTAATTTTTTAGAGTGTTTCTCTATTAATGTATAAGGGATATATATATATATAAGCTGACTAGGTGATCAATCAACGCGACGAAATTTCTGTTTTATCGTTTCTTAGGTTTATTCGGTTCGGAGAATGTTAAACGGAACCTAATCGTTTTTTTTTGTTCAGTTTGGTTTGTCGAAATTTAAGTTTGGTTCGGGTTGGTATATTAGTCCACTCCCAATTCATGTCTGGATTAAATGGTGAACAGGTGAATGAAGGAAGTGCGAGTGCAAGTGAGATTTTGGCGGGTGCTTTACATGATAACGGTCGAGCTATACTTGTCGGTAACCGGACATTTGGTAAAGGGAAAATTCAGGTATATACATTAATCAGCTCTAAACAATACAAATTTATTAATATTGATCTTATGAAAATTTGTTGTATGTTTTGTGATTTTGCAAGAGCGTAACGGAGCTAAACGATGGGTCAGCTTTGTTTGTGACGGTAGCTAAGTATTTGTCTCCGTCATTACACGAAATTGATCAAGTAGGGATTGCACCCGATGTTCAGTGTACCACGGATATGATCGATTCTTTGACCGGTGAGATACTTAAGAAGATGAACAGTTCGGTTCCATTGCTTGAAGCAGACTCATGTGTTATGGTCGCTGAGCACGAACTTGAGACTCGACGATCCAATGGAACAGCTTCTTGAGGGTTTGGAGGGGTTTCAATATGAATTAATAGGACAAGTATATAGTGTATATATTAATCGTTCCATGTATAAATCTATTTGGCACTTGTTGTTGTTGCCTTGTATACGTAAGTTTAGTGAACTAGATTAGTAAAAGAGTCGTAAGGATCTTCTTTTCCTTAGATATTGTAACATTGATTCACACCCCAAATAATTGAACGTGAAACTTTTCATATTAATTAAAGTCCTAGATTAGATGAAAAAGAGAGAGAGAAAAGTCATGCAAAGAAATCTGATAATCGGATGGTAAAATAACATGAAAAGACCAAATCAAACCAAATCAATGATTTATTTATAACATTTCAGTTTTCTTCTAAAACAAACAAATATACAGACAGACTAATTAAGTAAAAAACTAGGTCCGGACCCGCACGTACGTGCGGAGTTTTATATTTTGAAATATGCGGGTTGAATATGTGTTGTATAACATATAGTGAAAACGGGTATAACATATAGTGTTGTATAACGTACGTGCGAGGTTTTTTTGTTTGATTGGTTTAAAAGTTTGGAAAGAAAAATTAGTAAGAATTTAGTAATTTTGATTGGTGAATGATTGGATATCTTTGTTTGGTTTTGTTGAATTATTTAGAAAGTTGCAAAATTGGTTGTAATATTGTGTAACCAAATTATTATTTTGATTTATATTGTTTTTAGGGTGTCTAGATCCTGACCCGCATATTCGTGCGGGGGAAAATTTTTTAATGAATGTCTTTGCATAAAGTTTGTATTAATATATTATTTTGTTGGTTAGTGAATTATATAATAGTATAGATACCCTAAACTTATCATAATCATTGTAGAATTATGTTTTGTGTTTTAAAAATTGTCTGGCGCATAAGTTTGTGTTTTCTATTTGATTAGTTTTAAATTTAGAATTGAAAATTGAGAGTTTTAAAAATAAATTAGCATCAGATTTAAATAATTTTATATGTGTTTTTTTAAATATATAGATTGGTGCATAAAAAATAATTTGAACCGTTGGAGAAGTTATGTGTCTAAAAGTTATTATACAAATGTTAAAAATTGAAAGAATTTAATATTTTAAAATTTATAAATTAAATATTTGGTAATGCAACATAATTGTTTATAAATTACTATTCGGTAATTCTCAAACATTTTACCGAAATATAATTTACTGGCACAATAATTCAAGCAGAGATATTTTTTTGTGGGCGGAATATAATGTTAATGTTGATCCAATTATAAAGCCTCCTTCACCCATTTAATATTTTCGTTTAAATAAATTGATATTTAGTATATAAATGAATTTTAATTTATTTATCTGGACAGATTTATTTTTTATTTTAGAACAATCGTTGTTGCTTCTTACTGCCTAACACGTGTCTGAGTGAAGACATCTCTTCTTCTTCCTTAACGTATCGACTGGACTTTTAATGGGCTGCTTAATTTTGTAAACCCATTATGTACTCTTGTGAATGTATGTTGTCTTATATTAATAAAATTCAGAGAAACAAAAATGTCAAAAAAAATAATCGTTGTCTCATCTTAAAAAAAAAAGGGAAAACCCACCGAACAAAACTAAGAACATGGCTTGATCGAAGAATCAATTGCGACAGCTATTTCGTCTCCGTTTATACTGTGTTGCAAATCGTGAATTCTTTAAAGAGGTAAGGTTATTATTGAATCAGATCTATAGTTCTACTGCCTCAATTCCCAATTTGTGAATTTTTATGTTTGAATAGAGATCCTTGTCCAAGGATTATCAAGAAACCAGATCTTCTACGGGTAACTATTGTCAATTGAATATCCAAATTTTTGTTTTCACTGAATTAAATCAACTAACACGAATTTGATTTCGTGTAGTTTTTCTCGTTAGCTACAGAAGCAAGATGAACATTAAAATTCCAGTTTACCGAGCTATTTTTTTTTAAAACCCATCAATTTTTTACAGTATATTTATGTCAGCTGAAAAGAGTTCTACTTAATTTAGCTTCTATATATATTTCAAATATAATGATGTTAATGGAAGAAAAGGATAAACAAAGAAAGAAAAACTGATACGATTATTAGAAAACAATAGCTATTACCAAAAATTTAAACATGGAATGTATTCAGGTGATTGACAAAAAAAAAAAGGAATGTATTCAGGTCAAGCATAAATTGCGAGTAACCTAAAAATGTGGAGGAGGCTATCAAGTTTTGTCATTGGAGCTATTCAAAAATCTATTGGTTAAAAGGTTAGTGAGATCATAATTTATACATTTTGTTTATTAGATTTGCATATTTACCTACTGTTATTGAGTCTAGTTGTGGTTACTTAATATAGAAAACTTTGTTTTTCTCTAGTATGTTAAAATGAAAGTACTAAATAAGAAATGCAAAGTATTAAAAATTCTGCCATTGTTTGATATGCATTAATCACCTTTACACGAATGAACGATTTTCACTTGGATTCTGCATCTTGTCTTGAAAGGTTTGATGTTAGCAAGATTGGTGATATAAGATTTCATCCATTGTTAGAAATGAGAAACGAAGTAGCAATATTGAAGTAGCAAGATTGGTCTTTTGCAGTCATCTTAAAAAAAGGAGTAGCAAAAGGTTAGGGGTCGTTTGAAAGCTTAATGAGTATGGAAAATGGTATTAGACATTCTATATTTATAGGGAAAAGAGGTCGGCTAGGGTTAAACCTATTAGATCAAAAGAATATATTTGCAAATCCATTTTTTAAATAAAGTTTTAAGGTATATACTTGATTTGAGAGGTATAGAATATATAGTTATTGTTATATTTGGAAAATATATTAACTGAATTCGAATATGATTGAAAACAACCTTCAAATTTGGATATTTTTGAAACGAATTATTGTTACCATTAATTACTATCTATCCTTATTTTGTATTCGAAATTAAAGGGATACGTTTGTTTTGGTAATATCTTTAAATTCGTAAATGTCATATTTGGTTTCCAATTAATTTTGTTCAGATTGCCAAAATCTCAACTGACCGGATCAAGCAAAGGATCGAGCCCATGATCCGCGTATCGACCCGCCAAAGAACCCCAAGATCCGCGTGTTTATTCGGTCCAGTAGCCCAAGATCCGCGGGTTACTTCCTTTCAAATTATTGTTTTACCCTTTTACGTGTTTATTTTTTTACTCTTTGAATGCAAAATTCCTAATGGCATTCTTTGTAATTCTTTACCCTTTATAAGGTTATTTATTATCTAATGCTTCCTAATTAATAGTATAGATAATATGAATAAAAAAAGCCACACGATTCGTGTACGATCCGACGTCACTGCTTACATAATTCAATATTTTGTTTCCCTAATGTTTTATTTACTATTATATCATATAATATGATGGTAATTTTATATAGGGGATATTGTTTACATTTGTTTTGCCCCCAGTTAATGTTTTTTTTGATGGGTCATGTTGCAGATCTATAAAACGTTATCATCTTTGAATGTAGCATTTGGAGTTTGTTAATATCGAAAACAACACCTTACTAACAATTAGATTTTATTTTGTATATAGGTTTTGTGTAATTTAACACAAATTTTCTTCGAATTAACCAACTAGAGATGTACAAAAGAATTTTGCATTTGATTACCTAATATGTTGTATCATTGTATGTGAAAGATCTAAATTTTATCTTTCTGTAACGAAATTGAAACTCAAGTTTCTGTAACAAGAATATACAAACAGAAATGCGAAAATAAATCTAAGCCACATATTGCAACTCTTTTCACCGTGATTATAGTTACATTTAACGGCGACTAAGTTATTTTTGACCATCAGAATTTTTGTTACTCTCCTAATGTTGTTCCTTAAACTCTGTTATTTTTAGGTAAAGCAAAAGTAAATATTACTAAAAATAACAAAAGTTCCACACATATAAATTGCCCATCAACACAATCCATATTCCTCAGACCTGCAAGAACTTCAAAAAAACACAAAAACTAAATAAAAAGAAGAAAAGAAAAGCCTTTCAGGTCTCAACAATGGAGATGAAGAAGATTGCTTGCGGTGTGCTTTTCGCTGCTGCCTCCATGACCGCCGTCATGGCTGCTGACGAAGTCGGAGCTCCGGCACCAGGACCCGCTGCATCTGCCGCCTCGGTTGCGTTGCCAGCTCTTGGCTCTTTGGTTGGAGCTTCCCTTGTGTCCCTCTTCAGCTACTACTTGCACTAAGCTATCTTTCATTATGTATTAAAAATTAATTATGTGATCTTATTCATTTCCTATCTATTCCATTTCATTGTTTATTAATAAAACAGAGAAAGTAATTCAAGAATAAATTTTCTCTTCTTGATTATATTCATTATAATTTTTGACTACTGGTTTTTGATGGTGTTTTAAATCTGGTTATTGGACAAATATTATAGCTTATAATAATGATTTTTAAAATAATCTTCAACAAATTTGTAAATTAATCATTACATAATGTCATCAAGAGAAAAATCTTATTATTCACATTACATAAGTTGTTGACTTCGACCACAAAAAAGAAGTTGTTGTTGACTTTTGAAGTGACCTCGTTGACTTGACTTGTTCTTGCGTCTCTGGCTCTCTTTCTTTCTTTCTTTCTTTCTTCCTTTCTTCACAAGACAATCTACATTCTTTAATCTCCTTTACTAGGATTAGAGATGTTGCGTCTGTTCAGAAAGAAGAAGAAGAAGAAGAAGAAGAAGAAGCAGAAGAAAGAAAAGGAGATCAATTTCCAGAAGAATGGGAGCTTATTGTTGGAAGAACTCATTGCAACTTCAGGAGGTATATACAATCCCATCCGTACGTTTTCTTCCGACCAAATCCTTCAAGCCACAAATCAATTTGACTGGAACTACGTAATCTCTGAAGACAGATTCGTGTGGTACAAAGGTATGATTGGAAACAGACTCGTACTGATCAAGAAATTCCAAGACTGTTCTGTTTTCGACGCTGACAACTTTTACCGTGACATTGCGGTTTCATCTTTGATGAGTAGCCATAAGAATGTTCTCAAGCTTCTAGGGTGTTGTCTAGAGTTTCCTCGTCCTGTTCTCGTGTGTGAATACCCAGAAAATGGAGCTCTAAACTGTATAAGACGTGGAAAAGAAGGCGTCCGGCCATTCCCTTGGAATGTAAGGTTGAGAATCGCTAAGGAGATTGCAGATGCTGTAGCGTATCTTCATACCGAATTCCCCAAGACTATAATCCATAGGGATTTAAAGCTTGCAAATATTATCCTGGACGAGAATTGGTCCGACAAGCACTCTTCTTTCAGCCTCAGTATACTGATTCCAGAAGGAGAATCGGGCGTAAATGACATGGTTTGCAGGACATCAAGCTATATCGAGCCCAATTACCTCAATACAGGTTTGGTTACTGAGAATGTCGACATCTATAACCTTGGGATCATCATCCTAGTTCTTTTGAGAGGAAAGTCTGAATACACTTCCGAAGTTGCTGTTTATCTTCCTGCATTGCCTGTCTATGTTGGGAAGTTTTTGGAGCGAGGTTTGTTGACTGAACTAATAGACCCGTCGATGTTGGACAGCGCGAGTGACGATATTCCCCAGCATTCAAGACTGCAAATGGAAGCGTTCATTGAGCTTGCTTTGAGATATGTAAGATTCAGACCAGGAGAGAACTTGCCTCACATGATAGACGTTGCAAAAGAACTCAAAATGATAGAGAAACATATCTGACCCTGCAAACTTTTCTGGTGTGACTCGAAACAGATCTATCTATTATGCAGGCTTAGTAGTGAAAGTTGCAATAACTGTATCTTGTTTTTAATCGAGCTTTTATCCACAAATATGTTGTATGTAAGAATCTGAGTTTCCATACTACATAATGCAAGAATTGTTTACTTAGCTATATCTAGTCCAAGTAACTGATACCTCTTCTTTTGGGCACCAAAGATGCTCCTATCTTCAGCCATGTTCTTGTGATGCCTACTTTGCGAAGATATCTCAATATCCAACAAGTTCCTTGAGGATCTCTAGCTAGAATGATGTCTCCATCCGCTTGAGTTCTTTAGCGACTTGGATCATCTTTGGTCTGTCTTCATCTCTCTCCTCGCAGCATCTCAAAGCCAGCACTACACACGCTTCCACCTGCAACCTGTGACCACTTGTGATATCTTTCAATATCATTGGATCTATTACATCATCGAGCTTCCCATTCTCACATAACTCTCTCACATAGCTAAGAACACCTTGGGGATCTCCATCAGATCCAGTGAAGACGACCGGTTTGCCAGTGAGAATAACCAACAAAAATACCCCGAAGCTGTAAACATCGGTATATTCGGTCACAAAACTCGTGGCATAATATAATGGATCGAGGTACCCAAATGTTCCCAGAACCCATTCAGCTTCTATTCTTGTTTTTCCTTCAGGGAGAGATATTGAGAAGGATAAATCAGACAACTTTGCGGTCCAGTTCTTGTCCAAGAAGACGTGCATCGGTTTAACATCTCTATGTATGATGATCTTAGGGAATGCCATGTGAAGATAACTCACAGCATTTGCAATCTCTTTCCCAATCTTTAATCGTAAACTCAAAGGCAATGAAGATTCCTCCCCGTTAACCGTAACACCTCCTCGATGATTCAAAACTCCATGTTGTGCGAATTCAAACAGCAGAACCGGAAAAGGAAACTCGAGACAACATCCTAACAGTTTAAGAAAGTTGCTGTGATTGCTCATCCGAGCAGACAAGACAATATCATTGTAAACCAGTCCAACTCTGTATCTTGTAATTTTATCCTCGGAGAATCTCTTGATCATATAAGATCTGTCTTCGATTTTACCACTATACCACTCATGGTACACACCTTGCGAGACAAAACAGGTTGAATCGAACTTATTGGTGGCTTTAAGGATCTGGTCAGAAGAAAAGCTGCGAATAGGAATGGATTTACCGTTACAATCAGCGATAAGATCTCTTAACAAGATGCTTCCGTTATCCAAAAACCAGGTCTTCTTCTTCTCATTTTCCTTGTTCTTCCCGGACCCCGATTTCAATTGCTTCTTCTTCATTGATTCCATTATCAAATCACCAATCTTTGGGGGAAAAGATGATTATTTTGCTCCAGAAAGTATAGAAACACCTTTTTGCTACATAAAGTCAAACTCTTTTCTTTCTGAGCTCAAATGATCCTTTTCTCTTTGAATCTGAATTTGTGGCCTATGACATGAAGAAGCAAGTCGTGAATTATACAATGTAGTGGGTCATATATATGGGCCCAACCAAAAGAAGCTGTAATGGGATGATTACGTATGTACATGTTTCTATATTTGAAATAGTTCGGATTATTTAACTTTGCATACGAGAGAAGAATCTATATACAGCAAAAATACTACAAGGAAAGCATAAGCCAAAAGCAGCCAGTATAGATCCGAGGAAGAAACATTGATTCCGAACCGCGAAACTCGGGCACTTGCGTGATTGCCTTAGCTCCAAAGAACTCGATCCACTACTTAAAGTAAAGTTCTCGATCTTGTATCTTGAAAGTTATGTGATCTCCAACTCTTCTTATTTTTCTTAACCTTCTATGTTCTTATTTAATATTTTTCAAACCCATATGCTTTTGTATTAGAGGATGAAACTTGTTTAAGGACTCCTCCAATAACAAATAACGTTAATTAATAGGGTCAATGTAATGAGTCTCGATCAAAAAGTCAATTAATGGTTGGAATTTGTTTTTCCTTTTCAAACCCCAAATTGTTTATCTTGAGTGCATTCACAAATCATGTCTTTCTTTTCTCTGGATGTAAAACTGTGAACCTCTTAGCACATAATTTTTTAATTTATTAAATGGAATCAATGGTGAAGAACTTGAAGCAGAGTCTGAGATCTGGGTCGCCCGGGAAAAGGAAGGAAAAGGACAGCCAGGAAAAAAGCTGGTTCTTGGAGAACGGAAGCATTTTCTTGAAAGAGCTTATCGCTGATTGTAACGGTAAGTCCATTCCTATACGCAGCTTTACTTCTTCTCAGATCCTTATATCCACCAAGAATTTCGATTCCAGTTGTTTTGTCACCGAAGATGGGGACCATAAATTGTATAAAAGTATCATCGAAGATAAATCTTATTTGATCAAGAGATTCTACGAGGATAGAGATACAGAAGGCAGAGACGTTTACAATGACATTGTTTTGTCTGCTCGGATGAGCAACCACAACAACTTTCTTAAACTATTAGGATGTTGTCTCGAGTTCCCTTCTCCGGTTCTTGTGTTTGAAAACGCAGAACACGGAGTTCTGAATTCGCGAGGACGTGTAATGGTTAACGGGGAAGAATCTATATTGCCATGGAGTGTACGGTTGAAGATTGCAAAGGAGATTGCAAATGCGGTGACTTATCTTCACACGGCGTTCCCTAAGATCACCATACATAGAGATGTTAAGCCAGCAAGCATTGTCTTGGATAAGAACTGGACAGCTAAGTTGTCGGGTCTCTCAATATGCATAACTCTCCCTGAGGGAAAATCAAAAGTAGAAACTCTGGTAATAGGGACACTCGGGTACCTCGATCCATCATACTTTATCACAAGTTTTGTGACAGAATATACGGACGTGTACGCTTTTGGAGTATTCTTGATGGTTATGCTCACTGGCAGACCAGCTCTCGGCTCCACTAGATCTCATGGGGAGTGCAAACATATTGCTATATATGTGAAAGGATTATATGAGAAAGGGAAGCTCGATGAACTAATAGATCCACTGATGGAAGAGAATACAGGTGCTCAAGGATTGCAGGTGGATGCGTGTGTTGTACTTGCGCTGAGATGTTGCGCAGAGAGTAATGAAGACAGACCAAAGATGATTCAGGTAGCTCAAGAACTCAAGCGGATTCAGACATCATTTTAAGAGACCCTCAGTTCTTGGAATACAAAGCGAAGTCTGGAAATCATATTTACGTATGAAGTATGAAACTCAAACTCATACATAAAACAAAACTATCAGATGTACAAATGACAATGTGTTCTGCCCTCTCCTGTTTTTGTGTATCAGAGATTCAGAATGTATCACAGCTGTTTTAAATTCTTAATGCTTTTTTCCTTCCTGTTAAATAAATGCCGCTCTTTGTTTCTCAATTCTCATGCTAGTTTATGTATATGAATTCTCTAACTTTGCAAAAAATGCATCTGGAACAGAACATTGAATATCCATCAGCAAATATAAGGCTCTTTATAGAGACAGTGCTACAATGTAATTTCTAGTATCTCCTTCCCGATCTTCAAACTGTATGCTTCAAGTTGTAAAGATCTGTTCTCTGCTTTTTCGCAAATCATTACCTTCTCTAGCCCATCTTCTAGGCCCAATAAACAAACTCATTGATGTCCTCCAGAAAACCAGAGCCAACCCAAGTTGACTTGACTTGTTTCTCGCTTCTCTCTTTCTTTCCTGCGTCCCTTCCTTGGCAAGAAGATCATTGACCTCAATTTATGAGTGAAAAGATGTTGTGCTCGTTGAGGAAGAAGAAGAAGAAACATAACGAATCTGCATACAGAATTCCCTAGGACTATAATCCAACGGGGGATTTAAAGCTTACAAATATTTTCTTGGACGAGAATTGGACTACTAAGCTCTCTTCTTTCATCCTCAGCATACCAATTCCAGAGGGAGATTCCAGAGGGAGACTCGGGCGTACAAGACATCTGCGGGACAACAGGCTTTGTGGAGACTCAGTATAGCGGAACAGGTTTTGTCAACGAGAATGTTGACATCTATAACCTTAGGTTCATCATGCTAAGTCTTTTGACAGGAAAAAGCATGGATACTATGAAGAACCGGATAATGGTGACAGTTATAACCTGATTATGTTGAGAAGTGTTTGGGGCGAGGACTGTTAGCTAAACTGATAGACCCATCGATGTTAAACAGTGCGGATGACGACATTCCTGATCATTCAAAACTGCAAATGGAAGCATTTGTTGATCTTGCTTTGAGATGTGTTAGATTCAGACCTGGAGAAACCAAGCTTCATATGATAGATGTTGCAAAATATTTTGCAAATATTGTCCTTGACGAAAATTGGTCTGTCAAGCTCTCTTCTTTTAGCCTCAGCATACTGAATCCAGAGGGAGAAACAGGCGTAAATGACATGGTTTGCAGGACATCACGCTATATCGAGCCTGATTACTTTAATACAGGTTTGGTCACCGAGAATGTCGACATCTATAGCCTTGGGATCATCATGCTAGTTCTTTTGACAGGAAAGTCTGAATATAATTCCGAAGTCGCTGTTTATCTTCCTGTATTGCCTGTGTATGTTGGGAAGTTTACGGAGCGAGGTTTGTCGACTGCAACTGATAGACCTGTCGATGTTGGACAGTGCGAGTGACGACATTCCTCAGCATTCAAGACTGCAAATGGAAGCGTTCATTGAGCTTGCTTTTAGATGTGTAAGATTTAGACCAGGAGAGAACGTGCCTCGTATGATAGACATCACAAAAGAACTCAAGAAGATAGAAAAACAATCCTGACGCCACAAACTTTTTTTGTGAGACTCGAAACAAATCTATCTCTTATGCAGTCTTAGTAGTGAAAAGTTATTATGATCTTCTCATTTTCGAGCTTTCTTTCACGATTTCTCTTGTATTAAAGATTCTGAGTTTCTCTAATTCTTAATCCAAGGATTTTTCACTTAGCTATACATAGTCCAAGCAACTGATAACTCTTCTTTTGAACACCAAAGATGCTCCCCATCTTCAGTCATGTTCTTGTGATGCCTCAACGTTTATCTCAACAACTTCCTTGAGGATCTCTAGCTAGAATTTCTCAGTGATGCTTCAATCCGCTTAAGTTCTTTAGCTACTTGGATCATCTTTGGCCTGTTTTCATCTCTCTCCTCGCAGCATCTCAAAGCAAGCTCCACACAAGCTTCCACTTGCAACCTTTGACCACTTGTGATATCTATCATCAACATTGGATCTATTACTTCATCGAGCTTCCCATTCTCACATAACCCTCTCACATAGCTAAGAATACCTTGGAGATCTCCATCAGAAATAGTGATGATAGCCGGTTTACCAGTAAGAATAACCAGAAAACAGATTCCAAAGCTGTAGACATCGGTATATTCAGTCACAAAACTCGTCTTATGATATAATGGATCGAGGTACCCAAACGTTCCAAGAACCCATTCAGCTTCTATTCTTGATTTTCCTTCAGGGAGAGATATTGAGAAGGATAAATCAGACAACTTTGCGGTCCAGTTCTTGTCCAAGAAAACGTGCATTGGTTTAACATCTCTATGTATGATGATCTTAGGGAATGCCATGTGAAGATAACTCACAGCATTTGCAATCTCTTTCCCAATCTTCAACCGTACATTCCACGGCAACAAAGATTCTTCACCATTAACCATAATACCTCCACGCTGATTCATAGCTCCATGTTCTGCGAATTCAAACACAAGAACCGGAAAAGGAAACTCGAGACAACATCCTAATAGTTGAAGAAAGTTGCTGTGATTGCTCATCCGAGCAGACAAGACTATGTCGTTGTAAACCTCTTTAACTCTATGTGGTCGTCCTGCAATTTCATCCTCTGAGAATCTCTTGATCATGTATGATCTGTCTTCGATTTTACCTCTATACCACTTATAGTATACATCTTGCGAGACAAAACAAGTAGAATCGAAATTGTTGGTGGCTTTCAAGATCTGCTCAGGAGAAAAACTGCGAATAGGAATGGATTTACCATTACAATCAGCGATGAGCTCTTTTAAGAAGATGCTTCCGTTCTCCAAGAACCACCTCTTCGCCTTGTCCTTTTCCTTCCTTGTCCCAGACCCAGATTTCAGATACTGCTTCTTCATTAGTTCCTTTATCAAAGTATTAACCTTTTGTTGGTGAAATGAATAAAGAGGACACCTTTCTTACCTAAAAGCTTCTGAAAATCAAAAGTCTGTTCTTTTCTGATCCCAAACGAGTCGGTTGAAAACGGTAGCTGTCATAAGAAAGGTTGAAGCAATAAAATGTGTTGGGTCAAGTTTATGGGCCTATGGAAAAATAAAGCCCAACCAAAAGTTCATTAGGTGGGAACACAAAATAAGCCCATCCAAAAATTCATAAAGGTGGCAATAACACGCCAAACCAAATAGTTTTTTTACAAGAGACTGATGGATAAAAATTTGTTTGGGATGTGAAGTCCCTATCACAAAACGTCTGGTTGGAATTTGTTTCCATTCTTCAAATCGGGAAGAGCTGCTCATTTTGAATGCTAAGCAAAGAGGGAAACTGTAACAATAGTATTTGTTAAATGAAATCAATGGTGAAGAAGTTGAAGCAGAGTCTGAGATCTGGATCGTTAGAGAAAAGGAAGGAAAAGGAAAAACACATTCAGGAAGAAAAGTGGTTCTTGGACAACGGAAGCATCTTCTTGACAGAACTTATTGCTGATTGTAACGGTAAATCCATTCCTATACGTAGCTTTTCTTCTGACCAGATCTTGAAAGCTACAAGTAACTTCAGTTCCAGTTGTTTTGTAACCGCAGAGGGGTTCTACGTCTGGTACAAAGGTATCATAGAAGATAGATCTTACATGATCAAGAGATTCTCCGAGTATAAAGTTACTCATTACAGAGTAGCAGAGGTTTACAACGAGATTGTCTTGTCTGCTCGGATGAGCAACCACAACAACTTTCTTAAACTAATAGGATTTTGTCTTGAGTTTAGTCTTCCGGTTCTTGTGTTTGAATATGCAGAGCATGGAGTTTTGAATCACAGAGGAGGTGTTATGGTTAACGGGGAGGAATATTTATTGCCTTTGAGTTTAAGGTTGAAGATTGGAAAGGAGATTGCAAATGCTGTGACTTATCTTTTTTTTTTTTTTTTTTTTTTTTTTTTTTTTTTTTTTTTTTTTTGCTGTGACTTATCTTCACATGGCGTTCCCCATACATAGACACATTAAGCCAAGGAATGTTTTTTTGGACAAGAATTGGACCGCAAAGTTGTCTGATTTCTCCATCTCCATAAACATCCCTGAGGGAAAATCAAGAATAGAAGTTGAATGCGTTCAGGGAACAATCGGGTACCTCGATCCAGTATATTATACCACGAAAATGGTGACGGAATATACCGACGTGTACAGCTTTGGAGTCTTCTTGATGGTTATTCTCACTGGTAAACCAGCTCTCGCATCCACTAGCTCTGATGGGGACTACAAACATATTGCTGGCTATGTGAAAGGCTTTCATGAGAATGGGCAGCTCGATGGAATAATAGATCCAAAGGTGATGGAAGACATTACAAGTGCTCAAAAAGTGCTTGTGGAAGCGTGTGTGGTGTTAGCGCTGAGATGTTGTGAGCTGAGAGATGAAAACAGACCGAAGATGATCCAAATAGCTAAAGAACTCAAGCAGATTGAGGCATTATTTTGGAGATCGGGCCTGTTCTTTTTCTCAACGCAGCGATAGCGACAGCGACAGAGTAAAACGACGTGGAATGAAGAGTAGCAACAAATTAAACGACACATGTGCTTGAAAGTAACAGCTTCAGATGAGTCGCGGAAGGCAGCAGATGAGTCGCGGAAGGCATCACATGAGTCGCTAAAATAACCAGCGGCACCTCAATCTTCATCAGCGACACCTCAATCTTCATCTGGGTTCATCTTCTGCGACTGTTTCCTCTTATCACTGTGTTAATTTCTCTTCGCCGGAAATGTTTTTCTTCTTTGCTGTCGCTGTCGCAGCTTTAGAGGAAAAGAACACGGCCATCCTAGCATGAGAAACCATAGCAACTTTCTCAAGCTATTTGGATGTTGCTGGAGTTCCTTTTGTGGTTCTTGTGTTTCAAGTCATGAACCATCGAGGAGCTATTAAAGTTAACAGGGAGGAGGCTTTATTGCCGTGGAGTGCGCGGTTGAAGATTGGAAAAAAGATTGCAAATGCATTGACTTATCTTCGCATGACGTTTCCTAAGATCCGCCCAAATTGTTGGGGTTGAAAAGGATTCTACCTATTACAATTAATTCATTGTTTTCCACGGCAATAATGAATAGCAAGTTGCTTCTTCTTTTTTATTATTATGCAAATGCAACTTGGTGTCACGTTGAAAGATACCTTTTCTTACATGTCTTTTCCTCTGCTTTGCATTGGCAATGAAAAGTTAAGGATTAACAGAGAAAATATCCTGTTTGTGTCCTGATTAAAGACATGAAGGGTTTCTTTAAAATGAAGAGTGAGACAAGGAAACATTCAGACAAGAATGGGAGCTTATTACTGGAAGAGCTGATCGCATCGTCGGATGGTAAATACAATCCAATCCGAATGTTTTCGTCTGATCAAATTCTTAAAGCAACAAACAATTTCGACGCAGATCATATCATAGCAAAAGATAGATTCATATGGTACAAGGGTACTATCGAAGAACGGAGAGTGCTTGTCAAGAAATGGGAAGGAGATCATGTCCTTTCCCCTGACAATGTTTACCGCGATATCTCGATTTTATCTATGATGAGCAGCCACAAAAACGTTTTGAAGCTCTTGGGTTGCTGTGTAGAGTTTCATAATCCGGTAATGGTGTGTGAGTATGCAGAGAAAGGACCTTTACAAGTCGTGGACAAGGAAGGGTTTCCATTACCTTGGAGTACAAGGTTGAAGATCGGGAAGGAGATTGCGAGTGCCATAACTTATCTTCACACCGCGTTTCCTCAGGTCATAATTAATAGGGAAATTAACCCTCGAAACATATTCTTAGACGAGAATGGGACCGCAAAGCTTTCCTCGTTCTGTTTGTGCATATCGATCCCGAAAGGAGAATCATGCGTTTTTGATGATGAAGCAGAAGTTTATGGGATATCCGTTGACCCTGATTACTATGGAACAGGTTTAGTGTCGGAAAAGTTTGATGTCTATAGCTTTGGAGTTACAATGCTATTTCTTTTGGCTGGAGAACTTGGAGTCCAATGGTTAGCTGCTATGATTCGGGAGTTTGGATTCCCATTTCCTCTCTCGGTTGGAAAATTATCGGAACATTTCATCGACCTGATAGACCAGACCATCTGGAACAGTGATATTAAGGGTTTGGATGTGCAAGTGAAAGCATTTTTTGCACTTGCGTTAAGATGCGTTAGGTTCTGGCCTGGAAAAGACTTTCTTACGATGATCGATGTGGCCAGAGAGCTCAAGTTAATCGAAGGAATTGTCACCGCTTCGTCTAAATGCCTTTCTTTTATTGAATGATCTTTCTCTGTTTTCAGATTTTCTTTACATTTCGGTTTGAGAATGTAACACGATTCCTAATTTCAGTTTGGCCCCAACCAACGATATATGTGTCATGAGTCCTTTAAGATGACAGCATGAGATGAAACATGTTCACTTCTTTGTCAGTTTTTAAAAACAGACATAAGACTAGACCTGACAGAGAGAGAAATGTAGGATAAGCTTGGCTAAGTCGGCATGAAGTGACGTACATTAGAAAGTTCATACGTTCTGCCCACTTGGGTAGAATAAGTAGGACACAGTAGTAAAGTATTAAACCTGAGGTTGACGATGCTGTTATGTAACAGACTAATCTGTAGGCTGTTAAACATATGTGAAAGGTTTAACTGAGAATGGGAAGCTCAGTGAAGTAATATGTCCTATGATGATGCAAGACATGAAAAGTGCTCAAAAAGTGCATGTGGAAGCGTGTGTGGTGTTGGCGCTGAGATGCTGCGAGCTGAAAGATGAAAACAGACCAAAGATGATCCAGATATAAAGAACTCAAGCAGATTGAGACATTATTTTGGAAATCCTAACACGAACAACCATAGCAACTTTCTCAAGCTATTTGGATGTTGCTATTAAAGTTAACAGGGAGGAAGCTTTATTGCCGCGGAGTGCGCATTGACGCATTGACTTATCTTCGCATGATGTTTCCTAAGATCATCATACATAGAGATGTTAATCCAGTGAGGATTTTCTTGGATAAGAACTGGAACGCAATGCTGTCCAGTTTATCGTTTTCCATCTCTCTCCCTGAAAGAAAAACAAGAAGAATTGAAACTGAAAGAGTAATGGGAACAGTAGGGTACCTGGATCCATCATATATTGCCACGATGTGTACAGCTTTTGAGACATCATTGAAAGATTCTAGCTAAAGACTTCTTATCTGTTCTTGGACTGTGAAGTCAAAAGTTTGAATAAAATTTCTTTCTGAAGCGTGGAACTCAAATTCGTACATATAGCAATAACTCAGAGAAGCTCAGAGAAACATATGACCTTCTATGAGTCTAGTGTGTTTTTCTATATATGCTTGCACTATATAATGACTGAAAAGAAACATTTTCTTCATGAATCTGTGCATCTATGTTTCCCATTTTTTGGATTCTTAAAGCAATTTCCTGTTAAATAGAAGTGGTTATTGTTTCCATGATAGGTTATGTCTATGATATACCTAACTTGCAGGAAAACTCAGCTGGAAGCAGTAGATGTAAATCATCTTTGTAACTTCTGGAACTAATATTGCAGAGATAGCTTTGCAGTTTCATTATGACGGCATTAGGCCCAAACTGAAATCTAGCTATCTAAGCTCATGTTACATATCAACAAAAATACTAGAGAAATCTGAAAAACAGAGAAAGACCATATATAAGCAAAGGCTTTTAGACAACTCTACACAAAGTAGACTTTGTTTGGGTCGGACATAGAGGCTTTCAAAAGTCTTTCTAACCCCTTAACTCTTTGGCATCCTTCAGGTCCATAATCCGCTTGAGTTCCAAACTTTCAAAACTAATAAATTTGAAACTTGGCTATACAGTCTAAGAGTAGAGATGATCACTAGCTAGGATCTCAAAACATGATGTTCTATCCGCTTGAGTTCTTTAGCTACCTGAATCATCTTCGGTCTGTCTTCAACCCTCTCCTCGCAGCATCTCAGTGCAAGTAAAACGCATGCTTCCACCTGCAATCTTTGAGCACTTGTCATGTCTTGCATCATCATAGGACATATTACTTCACTGAGCTTCCCATTCTCAGATAAACCTTTCACATATGCAAGAATACCTACTCGATATCCGTCAGGTCCAGTAAAGTAAACCGATCTGCCAGTCATAACAACCATCAAAAGGACTCCAAAGCTGTACACATCAGTATATTCTGTCACAATTCTAGTTGCAAAGTATAATGGATCAAGGTAACCATATGTGCCCAGCACATCTTCCGCTTCTATCTGTGATTTTCCCTCGTCGAGCGATATTGAGAAAGATAAATCAGACAACTTTGCCGTCCAGTTCTTGTCCAAGAAAACATGCATTGGCTTCACATCTCTAAATATGATGATCTTAGGAAACGCCATGTGAAGATAAGCCAAGGCATTTGCAATCTCCTTCCCAATCTTCAACATCAAACTCAAAGGCAATAAAGATTCCTCCCCATTAACCGTAACACCTCCTCGATGATTCAAAAATCCATGTTCAGCAAATTCAAACACAAGAACCGGAAAAGGGAAATCAAGACAACATCCTAATAATTTAAGAAAGTTGTTGTGGTTGCTCATCCGAGCAGACAAGACAATGTCTTTATAAACCTCTCCTACTCTGTAATCTGTGACTCTATACTCAGAAAATCTCTTGATCATGTAAGATCTATCTTCGATAACACCTTTGTACCATATGTAGAACCCTTCTTCAGTGACAAAACAACTGGAATCGAAATTCTTGGTGGCTTTACGAATCTGGGAAGAGGTAAAGCTACGTATAGGAATGGATTTACCATTACAATCAGCGATGAGCTCTTTTAAGAAGATACTTCCGTTCTCGAAGAACCATCTTTCCTTCTTCATGCTTTTTTCCGTCTTTTTCCGGGACCCAGATCTCAGATTTTGCTTCATTTTCTTCACTATCGATTCCATTCTACATATAGATGTTCAAGTTTTCCCCCAAAACCAAAAACATCTGATATTTCTGACCGAAAAGGTGCTTCTGGAAATCCAATCTTTAAACTTTCTGGGTGCATACAAGACAATACCTTTCCCCGGTTTGAAGACAGAAGACGGAACCCATCGTTGAAAATTCCACAGTACAAAACCATTTTTTATTGTTGGAAAATTAGACCATCGAATTGATAGATTCGACCTTCTGGAACAGTGAGAGTGAGGTTGGTCAAAGAGAAGGACTGGTCTGTACTGTTGTGGTTAATTGTGTTTTTCTGATTCAATTTTGTGGTTGGTTTAATCAGAGGATTGTGAAGAGCTGATTTCCGATTTGATGGTTTGGTGATGAACCGGAATTGAAGAGGTAAAGGAAACCTTCTTTTCATGGGAGAAGGTATTTTGTTCTTGAAGAAGGGTCTTACTCCGTATACGTTTTCTTCTTCTCTCTTCTGTTCATTACTCTTGTAACAGAAAATTGAGAGAGATACTCCATTGTTAGAGCTAGATCTTGTATCTTTAATCACCTCCGTATATGTTAGGCAGTTGCCTCATTGTGGAAAAACAAAACAATGTTGTGTTGAATTTGAAGCACAAAGTCTGAAATTTTGAAACATATGTAGTATAAATGATCAACACAGCAATTTCATCTTTGCCGCCTAATATAGAAATCGGTTATAAAAAATAGATCATTCAAGCCAAAATTTCAAATATATATTCTTATTGGATTTAAGCTTAGAATCACACTCATCCTTAGTTCAACACCAAAGCTTCTACGGAAACTTTAAAACCATTCTACATGTTCTGCCAGCTTTTGAAACCTAAAGGCAGATTCATTTACTCTTCTGATAGTTCCCAATTAAACCGAAGCTTTACCCCGAAAAGTAATGCAATAAGACATCCAGCGATACATAAACTTAGTATGAGCATGATCTCAATCTTGATTCCGAATTTCTTTGTCCACTTGACCATACTTGACCCATCTTCCAACATCTCAGGCTTTAACAATCCAGATTTAGCATCTAGTGACGGTTCCATTCGCTCAATCCGCTTGAGTTCCTTAGCTACTTGGATCATCTTTGGTCTGTCTTCATCTCTCTCCTCGCAGCATCTCAAAGCCAGCACCACACATGCTTCCACTTGCAATCTTTGGCCATTTGTGATGTCTTTTGCCATCATTGGATCGATTACTTCATCGAGCTTCCGATTCTCATATAAGCCTTTCACACAGACAGCAATATGTTTAATATCCCCATCAGATCTACCGTATTCGTAAGGCGGTCTGCCAGTGAGAAAAACCAACAAACAGGCTCCAAAGCTGTACACATCGGTATATTCCGTCACGAGTTTTGTGGTATAATGTAATGGATCGAGGTATCCATAGGATCCCCCAATTCTTTCAGCTTCTATTCTTGATTTTCCCTCAGGGAGCGTTATGGAGAGCGAGAAATCAGACAACTTTGCAGTCCAATTCTTGTCCAAGAAAATATTCGTTGGCTTAATGTCTCTATGTATAGTGATCTTAGGGAATGCCATGTGAAGATAAGTCACGGCATTTGCAATCTCCTTTCCCATCTTCAACCGTACACTCCATGGCAATATAGATTCTTCCCCGTTAACCGTGATACATCCACGCTGATTCAGAACTCCATGTTCTGCATATTCAAACACAAATACCGGAAAACTAAACTCGAAGCAGCATCCAACTAGTTTCAGAAAGTTGATGTGATTGCTCATCCGAGCCGACAAGACTATGTCTTTGTAAGGCTCTCTAACTTCGTTATCTATAAATTTACCCTCGTGGAATCTCTTGATCAAGTAAGAATTATCTTCGATGATACCTTTAAACGACTTGTAGATTGCGCCCTCCGAGACAAAACAACTGGAGGCAAAATTCTTGGTGGCTTTCAAGATCTGGGAAGAAGGAAAGCTACGTAAAGGAATGGATTTACCGTTACAATCAGCGATGAGCTCTTTTAAGAAGATGCCTCCGTTCTCCAAGAACCTCCTTTCTTCCTTACTTCTTCTGGAAAACCCAGATCTCAGATTCTGCTTCAGCTTCTTCACCATCGATTCCATTAAACAAATAATCAATTTCTTGGCAAAGAGGTTTCCAGTTTTCTTCCAAAAACAAGAAAGACCTAAAGGTGCTTCTGAAAAAATCAATTTAATCTTTCAAGAATACAAAGACAGTACTTTTCCCAGTCCCTTGGTTGAAAATTCCAACATTGGCTACATTTTGGGTCCCAATTTTGACCTGACTCATCAGTCATCCCCAATTCGTGTCCACAGAACGTATTCTTAACATGAAACAAGAAACAATATAAATTGTTACAAACTTTTCATTAAAGACTAACAATCGTCAAGATGTCAACATTGTGATAATTTGTTCACAGGGTTTTGCTTTTCACGTTATTGGAATGTTGCCTCAAGCTTTTCAGTTATGCATCCCCATCCATGGGAATACACATCACTACAAGTCTACGAGAGATCTTATATTCTTCCAAGAGTTTATGCATATTTCAGGAACCAAAACGGATCTATATAGCCTTGTTTACCTGGGACCAGCAGGTCTATCAACTAGTGATCTCTCTATTCGTTTAAGCTCCTTGGCAGCATCGATCATCTTTGGCCTGTCTTCACTCCTTTCCTCGCAGCATCTCAGTGCCAAATCAAGAAACATTTTCATCTGACCAGGCCTCATGTCGTTCAAATCATCCCCAAATTCAATACTTTGTCCTCTCTCCTGCAGATCCTTCACATAATAAAGAATATTACAATGAACCCCACTCGACACAGCAAAAACAGCTGGTCTTCCCAACAGAAGAACCAACATAAAGATTCCAAAGCTGAACACATCTGTGTATTGTGTCACTAAACAAGTGGTGTAATAAATCGGATCCATGTATCCAAAAGTTCCCATCACATCATCTTCAATCCAGGACTTACCTTCAGGGAGTGATACTGCAAACGTGAAATCAGTCAACTTAGGCGTCCAATTCTTATCCAAGAAAATATTCGTCGGCTTGATATCTCTATGTATAATAATCCTAGGAAAAGCTGTGTGAAGATAAGTCACAGCAATCGCAACCTCCTTGGCAATCTTCAATCGAACAAGCCAAGGCAACAATGGCCCATCCTCGCAACCAAAACCTCCTCGCTCGTTCAAAACACCATTCTCTGGGAATTCGAACACCATAACCGGAAGAGGAAATTCGAGAGAACAACCCAGAAGTCTAAGAAAACTACTTTGGTTGCTTACTCGAGTAGATAAGACAATGTCGTTGTAAACCTCTCGTACTCTATCTTTCGTAAACTCTGACTCTGTGAATTTCTTAATCGCGTAAGGTCTTCCTTCGATTACGCCTTTGTACCAGGTGAAGAGTCTATGACGAGATAGATTAGAATCGGGACTGAATCGATCCGTGGCCTTGAGGATTTGATCGGCAGAGAAGAATCGAATAGGGTTTGAGATACCGTTAGAATCGGCGATAAGTTCATGAAGAAAAGTGTCTCCATTGTTGAAGTACCATTCTCTACGCTCGTCTTTCACATTCTTCTTCCTTCTCCAAGATGATCTCATCGTCGATTTTAGCTCCTCAGACAGAAAAAGTCTAACCTTTATAAAGTTTGACCCGAAGAAACACTAAAACTTTGTTCTAAATAGCGGTCTGGGACCAAAAGACGTGTTTTTTAATGTTTTTATTTGTACTAGGGGCTATCCCGCGCTACGCGCGGTTTGTCTTTATAAACATATGAGCACATGATTGTTCTATTTTAGTTTCGTTTTCTTTTTATTATGATCTCTTGTAGTGATTTTTGTTAGACTTCTCATGAATAACCAAAATAATTAGTTTATGAGCCAGTTAAAGTTAATCATAACTTATAAGTTCTGCTTAATATTTTTGTATATTGAACCAAATTTTCCTAACTTGTATCCATATTTGTACGTTTGAAGAGATTTCCAACTTTTTTTGGGGACTTGTATATAACACACTAATGCTCTATGATTTGTATATAACTCTTTGCTTTTAATCTTGGAATTAAACATGGATCGTCTTTTTCCAATCTTATGCTCTGCCCTTTTTTACCTCAATGGTTTACTTCAATAACAGATACATTTTCTTCTAACTCCAGCACGGCTTGGACGTTTCTTTATTTGGTTGTAGAATGAGTTGTTAGGGCCAAAAATTGGTTAGTCCCAATTAATCTGCACTTATAAAGTGTATGAGATAAATTTGCATGACTCAATAATCTTCCAAACTTTAAAGGCCTTGCAGTTTTCACCGTAGAGAGGCATTTTGTATCTTTATAAACCCAGGCAGCAAATCGGAAGCACGCAAACAGTCATAGCATCTAATTAACTTCTAAACATTATGGATCACGAATTACGCTATTTTAAATTAATAATGCAAGAACATCTTCAACAAACTGCTACATGACACCTGAAACCATTAACCTTACTTTGATATCCATCTCATGATTATATACGGTAGCTTTGGTTTTCTCCCACCTTCGATGAAATTAACTTATTATGTGAGCTTACGGACACCAGAATTCCCAGAGACAAAACCCCATGAGAGCATGTACCAACACTCCACCTTGTTAAATAGATATATTAATATTAATTTTTTTCATGGTCACCTTCTTCAAAAGAAACAATTGGTTGAATGTATACTCCAAACTATTATGAACTATAATTGTTTTAACTACTTACAAATTAGAGGTAACTCCAAGATCTTAATTACGAATTCAAATTTGCATTAATTTTACTTGTACCAACAATTACTTCCAGTATTTGTATAGACACACACTTAAATGGAGGTAGGAAAACTCTTTGGTTTCTTAAGCAAAGACCAAACTCAACAAACAATTCTTACGGTAAGTGATTCCAGACTACATGAGAGAGAAAGAGAGATAGAGAGAGATATAGAACAAACTGAATTTGTGAAAAGAGAGATGTAGAAAAGAAATGCTAAAAGAACTTACACGAAGAAGAACTCATGCACTTAACTTGTGACGTCCTCTGCCTTTAAACTGCAAAGAACATAATAAAAGACCGGCCAATTTGAGCACTATCCTTCCTGATGAAGTAAGGTCATGAATCAAAAGTACAATAGAAACAAATTAGTAGTTCAAGTTATATTCCAAACCGAAGTCTTTCTACAACCATTTTTGGGAGTAAGGCTACCTTTCAAAGGTATTGTGACACTGGCGAGTGATGAATACAGCGGAGAAACTCTGAGTTAAAATGTATCAAGATCTCTTTAGATTTTTTAAAAATATAGAGAAAAGATGATGCGAACTAAGGTGAAAGTTTTCTACAGATGGCCTATCAATGGTGATTTTAAAGGTCGTGAGTATTAAGTATTAATTAACACAATCTCAAGAGCTTACAAAATCTTAAAAGAATTGAACTTCATAACTTTGAATTCATAATACTGTAAAACCTCGCAAATTATATACAACAAAAGTTTCTTTTTATTGGAGCCGGATAAATACCTTTTCTTTTCGGGAATCTTATGATGCTTGTGCTTTTTGGTACTTGAAAAGGCCTTGCCAAGAAAGACTGACACAGAAACTAAGGATTAGAAACGACTATCACATGAGAAATAAAACAAAAGTGGAGGTTATTCATTTACCTTTCTAGAAGGAAAGAGATTCCAGATCATCCCTTCTAGTCATGCTTGCTATGTGTAACAGATTATCGGTATTTGGGATCTAAATTATTTTGTTCTCCCTTGAACTTTCCAAGTTGTTTCAAAACATTCAATTCAGCCATGATGGAGCATGAGCCATAGTCGGCCGCAGAGTTAGCGTAGTCGAAGATTGCAAGAGAGAGAATGGAAGAGGAAGAAACAGTGATATGCCTAATTTAAATCGTCTAAGCGCATACAAATCGATGGAGAAGATGGAGCGATTGCGCCGTTACGAAGAAATCGGAGGAAAATGTAACGATTCCAACGTGAGGAGAGCTGATGTGGAGATTTTTTCTAGGTATGCTGACATGGATAATTCTGATGATGTGTCAACTTAAGGTAGTAATTTAGAAAGCTGATGTGGCTAGCCTTAGAAGCCTCAAACAACTCCTTTTATTAGTAAGAGATTTCTTTTACCTCAAATGATTATACTCGAAAGAAAGAGACATAAACAAAATCAATCATACACTTTCTCATCTTTTCACGGGAAAATCTTCTTGGGGCGATGCTTTGATACTGATCCATCTGTATATTGATGAATGATCAGAAGATGAGTTGTTGGAGGAACAAGACGAAGAAGAAGAAGAACTCAGAAGCAAATCAACGTCAAAAATTGTTCCAAGAGAACGGGAAGGTACTCTTAGAAGATCTCATCGAGCTTTGCAATGGCAAATCCAATCCAATTAAAACCTTCTCTGCTAACGAAATCCTCCAAGCCACCGATAACTTCAGCGAGAGCAATCTCGTGATTCGATTCGAGTTTATGTATAGAGGTATGCTCCAAAACCGTCCTGTTCTAATCAAAAGAGCCATATGGAGTTACTACAAACCCGATACATTAGGAAAGATCTGTCGTGACATAGCGGTCTCATCAATGGTGAGTGGTCACAAGAATTTCCTCAAATTGTTAGGATGTTGTCTTGAGTTTGAGCATCCGGTCTTAGTTTGTGAGTATGCAGAACGTATACCTTTCAATACTCCAAACCCGGAAATGTTGTTACCGTGGGGAATGCGAATAAAGATTGCGAAAGAGATTGCGATTGCGGTTTCTTACCTTCACACCGCGTTTTCAAGAACTATGATTCATACGGATATACAACCTTCTAACATTTTCTTGGATTCAAATGGGACAGCAAAGCTAAGTGGGTTTTGTCTTTGTATCTCAATTCCAGAAGGAGAGACATTTGTTAAGGTTCATGCTGATAGAGTAGAAGGAACTTTAGATTATCTAGAGTATAACTATGCGGCGACAGGATTGATCACTGAGTATACCGATGTTTTTAGCTTCGGAGTGTTGTTGCAAAACTTTTTCACCAGAATGTATGGAGTGGTTGATTGTTGTTGCAGTGAAGATGAGAGTCTATTTGAAGAGTTTGAAGACAAACAAAATGTAATGAACATGAGGATTTCAGATAGGATATCCAAATTTATGGAAGAGGGAAGAATCTTTGAGATGTTGGATCCAAAAATGTTGGCAAGTATGGGTGATGATGAAACCGAAGAACACAAGATACGGCGAATGGAAGCAGTTCTTATGCTGTCACTCAGATGCACTGGTCACAGAGGTGATGTTCCAAAGATGATGGAAGTTGCCAAGGAACTCAAAAGGATTGAGAGATGGACATAGAGTGGATTTTACACAGTAGCTAGAGGGGGCATATAGTAGCTATTGTACATTTATTGGCTCAATGTGTAATAGTAAAGAAGATGTGGATCAAATTGAAATATCTAATTATGGGTGTAGAATTGATATAATAAATGTATTGGGTGAAGTTTCAATAATTAAAAAGACATGGGTAAAATTGAAATGATCTAATTGTCGGAATTTGACTGTCATGAGTTGACTATCACAAATCAAGTTTGCTCCTTTGCAAAAGCCAAAGTTTCGATCTTTCTGTTACAATTATCTAGAGATGAGCAAGAACAACAAGAAGAAGAGAAGATCGGATTTGAAGAACGGAGGGATTCTATTGGAGGAGCTAATCGCTTCCTTCGACGGCAAAACCAATCCGATTCGTTGCTTCTCCTCCGATCAGATCCTTAAAGCGACCGACAATTTCTCCGAGAGCAGAATAATCTCCAGCTGGGGATACTTCATCTGGTACAAAGGCGTAATCGAAGAAAGACCAGTTTCAATCAAGAAATGGTCGAGTCAGAATCTCTCAAGCTTCACAGAAGCGTATCGAGATATCTCTGTATCCTCTCAGATGAGTGGACACAAGAATACTTTAAAGCTTATAGGTTGTTGTTTGGAATTTGATCTTCCAGCTTTAATCTGTGAATACACAGAACATGGACCGCTTAATAGAGACGGAGGACTCTCAAGTGGAGAGGTTTTACCATGGAAAGTGAGATTGAAGATTGCTAAAGAGATAGCTAGTTCTGTGACTTATCTTCACACGGCGTTTCCAGAGACTATAATCCATCGGAATATAAATCCGACGAACATTTTCGTTGATGAGAATTGGACGGCGAAGCTTTCTGATTTCTGGTTCTGTGTTGCTATACCAGAAGGAGAATTGTATGTTGAAGATGATGTGAAAGGTGTGATTGGTTTTGTTGATCCAGATTATTACTGGACAATGAAAGTTACAGAGAAAGTGGATATTTATAGCTTTGGTGTTGTGATGTTGGTTTTGTTGTCTGGAAGAGCTGCTGTGTTTAATGGACCAGATGAGGCTCCTATGTCGCTTAACGATCATGTGTCTGAGGTAATGGAGAAAGGTGAGTTTGATGAGATTGTTGATAAAGAGATATGGAATGATTTGGGTGGTGGTGATGATTTGGTTTTGAGACGGTCTCAGGTTGAAGCGTTTCTTAGATTAGCGTTGAGATGTGTACGATATAAGAAGGAAGATCCAGTGAGTAGTATGCTTGAAGTTGCTAAAGAGCTCAAATTGATTGAGAAACTCTCTTAATTAGTCTTCCTTCTCTTGTTAGTTTCTTTATTCTTGAGAGAATGATAACTTCTGAGAAGTTTTACTGATGTCTCAATGAGTTTGAGTTCTTGTGTTACTAGCTAGTGTTTGTCTTGTTCTATCAAGAACTCAAATGTCAAATATTGAGCTCATTTTTCATTGATTCCATTATCGAATAAAGACATAATCTTGGCAAGCCAAAGAGAGTAGCTTTGCTCGCCTAAGTGTGCATTTTTTAGTGATGATGTCTTAATGTGTTTGAGTTCTTGTTGCTACTTGTCTTTGTATTTTTCTTTCAAGAACTCAGATGTCAAATGTTGAGCTCATTTTCTTGATTGATTTCGTTCTCGATTAGTGCATAAGCCAAATAGATAGTAACTTTTTCTCCAATGTGAAACAAACAAAGTGTGAACACATTTAGTCTCATGTTGGTGCTTCTCAAAGTCAACTCTTTTCTTTAGCCGACTACATTACTCGCTTTGGTTAGTGGACCATACCCACTTTTTAGGGAATAAACTATATTCAATTTTGATATGGCTTCCTTCCTTCTCTTATTCTGCAGCTGTCATGGTGTTTTCGCTTCTGGCTTTCTGAGGTACAATTTCAATTATGAATTCAATTTCGTAGACATTATTACAGGTTGGATTCCATTTCTTGTTTACATATCTCCCTTTCCATTTTGGTGTTCATTAGCTATCATTGATTGTGATAAACTCATCAACTGCTGTTAAAAATTTCTTAGTTCCAGTCTTGTTCTGTGGAGAATAGAGATCGAGAGAAAGTGGGACTGGGTTTATTTGCTGGATATCTAATCTACTTTTCTTCATTGCAGTACCAATGATTTGAAATATTCTCTCTTTATTTCAGCTGTTGAGAGTGGATTAATGGAGTTTCTCTGAGGAGTTTACACACATGAAATTTGGTGCTCCTAAGGATAAACCTTGTAGAGAGTCTTTACGATGGATTGGTTGAGAACAAAAATAATCGGAGCCAAGATAAGGAAGAGGAATGTCAAAGAGAATGGCGAGGTTGTTCTAAAAGAGCTCATTGAATGTTGTGATGGAAAATGCAATCCTATCGAGAACTTCTCTTACGATCAGATCATCAAAGCAACAGATAACTTCTCCCAAAGTAACTACTGTGCTTCTCGGATTGATGTTTATTACCGTTGCTCTGAAGGCATGCTCGATGACCGCCCAGTACTTATCAAGAAAGGGAAATACACACTTGATATGAAAGAGATTTGTCGCGACATAGCGATCTCATCGATGGTTAGTGGTCATAAGAACTTCCTCAAGCTATTGGGATGTTGTCTTGAGTTCACTCCTCCTGTCTTAGTTTTTGAGTATGCAGAGATTATAACTCTTGGTCCGTTGCTTGTATCTCATCCGAGAAATCTGAGGAGGATAAAGATAGCAAGAGAGGTTGCAAACTCTTTGACTTATCTTTTCAAGAGTTTTCATCCATTCGAATCTAGATCCTTTCACCATTTTCTTAGATGGAAATGGGGTCGCAAAGCTCGAGAATTTCTGCAACTGTATCACAATTCCAGAAGGAAAGACATTTGTTCATGATGATACATTACAGAAATACCATGAGTTAGGCATGATACAATAAAGGGGATACATGGGCTTGGTGTATGTATTTTGAAGATCTTTTCTGAGCCCCGAGAATCTTGAAGATCTTGGTGTATGGAAAGAGCCCTGAGTATTTTGAAGATCTTTTCTGTGATCTTGAATACTATGAAGATTACCGGACAAGATTAGTGTTAGAGATAAAATCCCAAAACCATAATTAATTTCGAAACTAGATCTTTTTATTAAAACTGAGAAAAATGTAAAAAGAATTGAGTAAAAACTCCCAAGAGTTTTCCTCAGCCTGATGGAAACCTCCAAAGCTCTCTATTGCTTGGATGAGTTTCACAAACTAAACATTAAGGATATAACAAAATAGATATCCTAATGATTTCCTAAATCACGAAATAGGAAGTATTCGTAACAATCAAACAGCAAATATATTCGCCAGGTTTGTGTTTTGGCAATTCTTTCATTATGTTAATGGGAACAAGTTTTGAATAACCAATTTCCATATATCATTTGTAGTTTTGTACTGATAATAATGCAATCTCATGCATGTTGGTGTTGGATCACAAACAAGAGGTCCGGGACCTTTTAGTATATGCATTAATGCAAGAGTCATTTCAACTTTTTAATGGAATTTCACAAGAATTATTATCATTCAAAAGTTTTTAAATCGTGTAAACAGCTTCTTTTTTAAAAAAAAAAAAAATGCTACATGCACCAGATTTTTGTGATGAGTTTTAATTTTAATTTAACACATCTCCATTAGTTTGCATTCTTTCCCAACTTTGTAGAGAAAAAAAAAAAAACGAAATGTTTGGTCATTGAATAAGGGAATTTGATCACAATTATCACATTTAAAAATAAATAATTTTAAGCTATCCCTACTTGTCATTTCAAGTAAAGACGTAGCGACTCGAGTGTGTTACTAAATTTGATCGATATCGGCGATCTTAGGGTTTAGGTCAGAAAAGAGAGAACGACGGATAAGATGGAGTTGATCGATGATTTCATGTCGAATTCTGTTGAGCGGAGGTGCTCCGCCGAGAGTGCCTTCGATCTTGCGAAGCAGAGCAGTCCTGATCGTCTAACATTGGATCTGTGTCGTCTTCTAGAATCGCCCGATTTGAAGAAGCGCGCCATGGCCGCCATGCTCCTCCGGAAGTTGTTTACCGACGATTTCTTGCTGCGTCTGTCCCCAAACACGAAACCATCTGTCACAACGGGATTGCTAGACCGAATTAACGAGGAGGAGAATGAAGACATCCGCCGGAAACTTTGCGTGGTGGTGTCTGTTGTTGCTTCGGTTTACCTGCCAGATTGGCCGGAATTTTGGCTATCGATTGACGAATTGATTTTTTCAACAGAACTGAGGGATAATGAAGCAGCCATGCTACTCTTTGCGGCATTGTCTCCAGAGTTCTTGGTCCATGGCATAGAGAAACTAGAACGTTTGTTCACTAATATGTTATGCGAAGACATTGACCTGGAACGAACTTCTGCCGTAGAAGCGTTGATCAACTTTATCAATTTTTTGTCAGCCTCATTTCCAACTGAGGCACAACGTTTGCAACGTATTTTGGCTAAAGAGATTGAAATGTTGCTTTTGGGCCTAAAGGAGACTGATAATAAAGATCGATTAGATGAGTCAATCAATATTTTGGATACACTTGTAAGTTTTGATCCAACTTCTCTTCAAGCAAATCTTGATGTGCTGATCAGGTTGTTGTTTGGTCTATTGGATGGCGGCGATGAATCAACATGTACGAGTTCTCTCTTGGTTTTGGTCAAACTATCCTTGCAATTCCCTGAACTGGATCCAAGTCTCATCACAGAAAAGTTGTTTCCTATCTTATTAGAGCGCCTTTCGGATTTAGACAGCGACACTGCGGATTGGTGTCATCTTTCACCGACTTCGTGGTATACAGACTCCTTTGAAATTGCACAATTGCATAAGTTGGCAACCGTTGTGGGAGCACAAGATGATTCAGTGGCGTATACGATAATAAGCCACTACTTTGAATCCTTTTTGTGGCAAGAGAAGTTTGCTGCTTTCTCTGCACTGCATGCTATTGTCGACGGTTGCCCTAAGCTACTAATAGGAAAACTAGAGGAGGTGATGTTGTTATTGTCGAATAACATTCTTTATGATCATGTATGGGTAAAATGTGCTGTTCTAAATGCTACAAGACTATTGTGTTATCTTATGGGTTCTCTTGTACGACAAGAGCATCAGCAAACTCTTTTCCCTATACTTGTTAGAGCTATAGAAGATTTGGAAATAACGGTTCAAATGCATGGTCTTTTGGCACTAATCGAATTGGTCAAGCTTTGTCCAAAGGATATTCAGGCAGTTTACTTGGACGAAATTGTAGAGATATTGCTTGGACGGGTAGCGGAGCAAAATGAAACTGTTCTACCGACAGCTTTAGAGGCCCTTTCTTGGGTTCTAGCTTGTTATGTGTCTCACCCCCAACACCTCTGTAAAAAAGTGATTGATTCGTTGATTAGCTTGGGAAGCAGTGTATTATTCAATGAGGGGATTTCTTGTTTATCCATGAAATGCATCAATTATATGTTCATGGTAAATAAAAGCGATGGGCTTAAGGATGATGCATCTCAGGTATGTTCACACGATCACTCCTTTTTTTATTTTATTTTTTTCTCCCTGTTATGCTGTCTAATCATTCTAGTCATGTATTGACAGGTAATCAATACATTCAAGTCCCTGCATGATGGCTATTTGACCGAAAACAGGCATAAGATGCATGATGGCTATTTAACCGACAACAGGCATCAGATGGATATGGCATGGCTCATACACTTGATTCTTATAGGTGAAGATGTTCAACCACACATGATTAATGTGGTTGAATACTTGTTGCAATGTATGTTGCAGTGGGCTGCACTTGATTTTGATCAGATTAAATCTGATAATGATGGAGCTGAAAAATCCATAGATGAAAGGTTTGTTTGCTATTTTCTCAGTTATACTTTTGTTTTGAAATCAAACTAAATTATCAACTATCTTTTGATGCAGCTTGTTGATGATTATCCATGGATCGATGGAAAAAGCTGAAGCTAAAAGATTATATGCTTGTAAACAAGCTGTTAAAGCTTGTGAGATGGTGGGTCTGTGCTCAAGAATATTAGGTGGGGATTTTTACGAATGGGTCAGCAGGTTAGCTTCTTATTTGGTTCCATTGTCACATGCTGAAGAAGACGAGGTAAGAAGAGAAGCTGTTTCAGCGATGCTGGAAATAGGGCGGTCAGCGAGGATCTTCGCTGTAGAGAAGAAACAAGGAGAGTTAAGCGAAGAGTTGAAGAAAGAGTTGGATAAGCTCTATGATTTGCTTTTATCTGTGCTTGAAGCGTTGGAAAATGTAAGTAAAGGCTAGTATTGATTATGTTTTCTTCTTTCTTCTGTGCTTGATTGATGATATGAATAATTTGCAGTTTGGAGATACTGAGCTCTTTGAGAGTATGAAGAAAGCCTTCGAAGTAGAGTTACTCGAGTTCTTTAAGAGTCTTGCAGAAGCAGAATAGAAGAAAGCTGAGAAGGACGGTTGCTGCTGTTTTTCTTTTATCTAGTAGATATATCAATGAACCTGTGTACAGGAGAAAACTTTTCTTGAGTTCGTTAAGAGTCTTGCAGAAGCAGAATAGAAGAAAGCTGAGAAGGAGGGTTGCTGCTTTTTTTCTTTTACCTAGTAGATATATCAATGAACCTGTCTGTGTACAGGAGAAAACTTCGAGGCCTTTGTTGACATATTATGAAGGGTGTGGATTCTTTTTGTCCAACTCTTATCATATTCACTAAAGATTTAACTACGTCTCATATATTCTATTTTCCAAATTATATAAATAGTCAGATTCGGGTCAAATTTTTCGGATCGGTTCCGGTTCGGATACTCGGTTTCGGTTTTTTTGACCACGCCTATCTTAAATATTCTATTTTCCTTGCTCATGATCTCCCAAGGGCCAAGACAGGTCTCATTAGTTTCTCATTCGTTTTACCGCCATTTTCCGGTGATTGCATGTGAGGAGTGAAAACCTGAGAGACAGAAGAGAACAAGAGCAAATTTGAGATACCTTAAAGAAAGAATCTTTCTTAAAGTTTCAATGAATTAAAGAGTCTTTCTTAAAATTTCAACTGCCACCAAACAGATTCAACAATTCTAGAGAAAATCCAGAATTCGACTTTCTCTAATGCGGCAGTGAAGGTTTCTGATTCCTACCAATTTTCGAAAACCTGCTTGAAACCATTTGACTGCTTAGTCCATTGGTTCTTCTTCCTTCCTAGCTTCCCTAGACCAAAATGTTCACTCCCATTTGATCCAGAGGTAAGTGACTAGGAACACTAGTTTACCAAATGCCTGTAAAATGATCTCTCTCAAAGCAATGATGTTTGATAACCAGAAGGTCAACCTGAAACAGAAGGAACCAAGAAAAGGCTGAGAAAATCAAGATCCTAACCGCTAAAACACGCAACATGTTAAAATTGTGTTTATGTTACCTCAGAATTTCCGCAAAATTTAGAAGCTAAAATGAGAACAGACACAGAGTTTCTAGCAACAGTTGCTCGCTTTCCTTGACTACAATGTTTACAAGCGTGAATATAGAGTCTTGAAATTCGCCGAGCAGGCGTGTGAAGCTTGTGTGCTGAGCTGGAGTGGTCTGGTACAACCGAATATAGCGAAATCTCGCGCGCTGCAACTTCTCTTAGCTCTTCTTCAAGTTTCGAAATTCTTTTCTCCAAATCCTCAACCTTTTGGTTCAATGCTTCTTCTTCCTCCTCAAGTTTCTCACTTTTCTCTTTAACATCGCCTGCCTCGTTTTCACTTCCACAGCTTAGACCACCATTCGAAGCATCATCCCAAACTTCGACTGCCTTATCAACATTGGTGCCTTGGCAAGTTTCAGAATAAGATACAGAATCCGTCTTCTCATGAGCTTTAGCATTAAATTCTTTGCTTTCTTCATTCTCCTCCTCTTCTTCACCATCACAGGCCAAGCCATTTATAGTCTCTTCCTTGTCAGTTTTCTCTGAAGAGTCATTCACTGCATGATCATCATCATCGGAGAGCTTTGATTGTGTAGTTGTATCATCTACTACTACTGAGACATTAGATTCCTCTTTAAAAGCTTTGAGTCTTTCTTGCTCTAGAGATCTTTTAGCACCGTTTGTCTTCTGTGGCTTTTGATCTCTTTTTCCATTCTTTGTAGACCGATTCGACTGTACACTGCTGTTGGTTGTTTTTCCCTTCATCATCAAACTCTTTTCAGTTTTCTTCCATTGCAGCCAAAGCAACTGTATTACTTAACAACTTTCAAGTAAAGCCTGAAAAAAGAACAGCTGTGATCCTGAAACAGAGGAAAAAGGACAAAAACCAGTTGCGTATATTATACACGTCTAGTTACTTCACTAGTCCAAAACGAATATAATCATAATTATTTCTTTTACTAATCTGCGTCCAAATTTTGTTGGATAAACTTTAAATCTTCGGCAAATTTGTTTAAATATAAATAATTATTGGACAATTTATTTGTAATTGTGAAAATTAATTATTATTAGGTGGGAGATGCTTTTTGGTTTGGAGAAGAAAAAAGTGAATAAATGGGTTCACCCCTAGAAGTGAATCCAAATATTTTCTACAAAATTTTCATTGACTTTCTATAATCATGGACCGGATCCAATTAGTCTCAACTTTTAAGATATTAAGATTTTACTCATTGACTACTTTTTCCAAAATGTAAACTAATAACACCAAACTTTGATAGAGTTCTTCTAGAAATCTTAGCTGAATAACAATAGAACGTTCATGAAATTTAAATCCTTGTAACTCCACCTACATGCACAAACCAATAACACCCCATAGTTTTATATCAATGTTTGATTTAGTTTCCGGATTATTTGGTTGTCGACCACATAAATTTGTGTTTATTATTATTCCACGAAAACTATATTTGGGGAAAATGTTTATAGTTTTGGCTAATTCCGTTATATACCGCTAATTCACAGTTCTTTTCTTTCACCAATTGTGCTAAAATGGTTTTTTTTGGGTCAAATTGTTATATGATTGTCAAATATAAAACAAAAAAACGAAATCAAATTTAACAAAATTCTTTATATACAAAAATTAAGAAGAAAAAAACATGTATTGTAACGACGTTGTCTCGAATAAACTGGATTCGCGCTAATATGGAGAGCTGTCATGTTGTTACAATAAAGACGCAAAGTTGAGTCGATGTGAAACCTAAACCAAGAAGGAGAGCTTTGAACCATTTCAGCTCCTTCGTCATCCACGATTTTGCTCTGTATTCGGCATCAGCCGATGATTGACTTACAAGTTGTACGAACCAACATGTCGAAGATCGCCGTGTTAATGGGCATTCGGCCCAGTCGGCGTCACACGATCCGTAGAGTTACAGATCACAAACTGCTTGAAGCAAAATATATACCATGCCTCGGACTATCTTTGAGATAACGAATGACCCGGAGGGCTGCAGTCTAGTGTTCTTCAAGAGGTGCATTCATAAACTGTGGCAAAAGGTGAACAGAAATATACGATATCGGGTCGAGGAAGCAATGTCATGTACACTTCTTCTTCAAGATCTCCATGAAAAAAGTGTTGTGTACAATCAAAGTATGCATTCCTAAACGCATGTTGGAGCCATCCCCAACAATAAAATGTGTGCCTATCTTCAGAAGAGAGAGTCCCGTTAGAATAGAAGACCAACCATAAGATTGAAGTTTCCTAGGTTTTGCAACTAGTACGGAATTACCTCGAAAATAATGAGCTTCATTACACGGGCAAAAAGAGAATTTGGATGTCAAGTTATATGACATGCTTGTTTTACCCGAAGAGCATCATTAGATTTAAACTTGGCCTAATCCAAAAAAAAAAAAAAAAAAACTTGGCCCAATCCCAAAATCCTAATCAACCTTCTTTGAATATTGAAATTGTTTCCATGCAACTATTTGTACTCTTTTTCCACCAAAAAGTTTATACATAAAATTTTGGTAATTTCATTTTAGTTTAATATGGATTTGTTTGTTTTCCCACTCGATAATTCAGTAACGCTGACCCTATATGCCGACATAACTTGTGATACTACTATAATTCCAAGATTGGAAGTGTTCTCTCTACTAAACATGTCGATCTTCATGGTCATTGCACAAATCTTCTCACCAAATTATAGACGCCGGAACTCCTAGAACCTGCTTCTAATACCAGTTTCTTATGACATAAGCAAGAAGATAAGCAGAAAAACATAAATTAAAGCACACGACACCGATGTAATGTGCTTCCGCAAACAGTGTCAAGTGTTGACTACTACATCTACGAAGAAAAGAGATTGGTTTATAATTGAAGACGAAAATTTCTACACTAGGGTAAATAGAGTGTTTATAAAAGAAACCCTAAACGGATTGGACTTGCTTGGTTAAAGCCCAAACACTGCTGCCCATACCAATCTGCATAAACATCAGTGGATAAAATTTCAGTTTTACTCGACCGAGCTAGATTCAAGGCATATCCAAAGTATGTTTGCTAATCGAAAGCATAATTTTAGTCTCAGAAACTAGAACCCAAATTATTAAAATAAAGAAAGAAAATAATTTAGATCCCAAGAACTGAAACAAATCAAGTAGATAAAACCTTAAAAGAAAACTACAGATAAAAAAAAAAGAAGTCCGAAACTGAAACACGAGAGCATGAATATGCGCTTATAAAAATGAAAGATGCGCTAAATCACGTTTATTTTATCCCAATCTCCTTATTAATCAGCACCACATGCTCAGGTTTGCCCTTTTGGCTACAAGAGCAGATATCTCCAGTCTTACTTCACTCTGTCGGCTAAAAAGATCATAACCCTGTTGAGCAAATCCAAAAAAAATTTGTGTTATATGTTGCCAACGTTCAGGATAATTATAAGAGAGTATTATCACCTTTTCGAATTGTAGGGCATCGTAAGCTTCTCTAATCTCTTTGCCCATCCGTCTGCGTATCTTTTCGAGCTCGCTTAGTTCCTCATCAAGCTAATTAACAACAACCATTTTTTAGCTATAAACTTAAAAGGAGATATAAAGGGAAGCATTTACTATTATGAAATGAACCTTAGCAACATCTTCAACAGTTGGTTGATAACTTGTGAGCTCCAATATTGTCTCATTGTTGTTTTCCCCAAACAAGCGTAGCACCTTATTTAACGCAAATGGCAATGTATTTTGAGTATTGTTCTAGAGAGCCTAGCTAGTATATATTAAAAAAAATAATTCTTGATCTGTAAATTATATGCATGCGGCCTTCATACCTCTGCCCGAATGTTGCTAGCGGTTGCACCAAACTTGGCCAGGACCAGAGACGCTAAACATACTTCATAACTAACAAGACCAAGCAGAAGATGTCCTGATCCAATATAATTATGACCTAGCAACAGAAAAATGTATTAGAAACTCAACATATCTCAAAAAAAAAAATCGTAAAAACCTTACCAAGTTTCCGAGCTTCTTGATATGACAACTCTAGTATGTGCAAAGCACGGTGGTTAAATGGTACATCGATTGCGGTGATTTCACTTGTCTTTTGAACCTCCTGATCCGTACCTACGTAAGCAGGTCTCCGAGCTATTTTGTCAGCCTCCACAGATACATCTTTTGGATTGATTCCCATGGATTCAAGAACCTTTTTAGCAATGTTGTTTTGGGGGGCATGTAGTAGACCAATCAGTATTTTATCAGTCGCGACACGAACATGGCAGCGCTTGCGAGTTTCCTCTTCGGAAAACATTATGGCCTTCATCGCTTCCTCAGTAAACCGTTCAAACAGCCTCCTTAGGAACTCTCTCGAGGGTCTGCGTAAACTTATCCTTTCCAAAAACTCCGAATTGGTTAAAAAAGAGGCCTTCATATCAGCCAAGAGACTACCCCTAGACACTATGCGTTCTAGAAGGCTGCAGCTGAAAATTAGGGTAGCCACTAGATTATTTATTATACCAGCGATATATATATGGTCACAGCTCTGGGTTGATCCAAAGCTAATGATTTTGAAACACAAGGATACGGAAAGAAGCTAATACACTACAGTATATTAGATGGAAAGCTTATAATATGTGCTAGAGCTACAATTATATATTGGATCAAAAGCTTCAATTATATCTGATCGAAAGCAGCTTCAAACTCTTAAACTTGGTAAGTTCACAAGCACAGCTACTTGTCAGTGAGAATCAACACAAAGGAAAAGCCTTTTCACCTAACGATGCCGAAAAACAACCTAATTCCAATGGCGCTCAGCAAAAGCCTTGATTTTTTCCTTCCCAAATCAAATTCAGCCACAAAATTGAATCGGCAAAGGTACAAAACCTACAAAACCATAGAGCTTACCTTGAGCGAACACGCTTATAGTTGTCGGTCGGATTCATAGGGATGATGACCGTCGGAGTCTTGGAGGAAGGCGAGACACTTATTGTTGCTTGGGGAAGAAGACAAGAGGTAGGGCACAATAATTTATCACAAGGGTAATCACCGGCGAAGCCCAAGTTTGCTTTTAACTTTAGCAAATGGGCCGTAAATTATTTGTTTATTCGACTTCTGTTTGGTCGAACAGAGTCGTAAATTCGGTTTCTTCAAGCTATGATCAAAATAGTTTATTTTAAGATGATAACCAACTACGGAGAAACGGCATATTTTTCCATAAACTATATCATTTATTACATTCACATTTGTACATACATAATTTTTATTCGTGTTTAAATTACATTAGTTGATCCAAAGCTAATGATTTTGAAACACAAGGATACGGAAAGAAGCTAATATTATAAACTCACAGATTTACTTATCCAATCTCACAAAACGTTGTTTTAGGAAGTTTTTCTCCATTCACTTGTATTCCTTACCGGCCAGTGAAAAAGTTTAGCTATTAGTTTGGCGGGTTGAGCCCGGCCCGTGCAGTAGTGCAAGGCTTTGGGGAGCCCCAGTATATGGGAACAGGTTTTGTCACTGAGAATGTTGACATCTATAGCTTTGGATTCATCATGCTAAGTCTTTTGACAGGAAAGCATGGATACTATCGTGAACCGGCTAATGGTGACAGTTATAACATGATTATGTTGAGAAGTGTTTGGGGCGAGTACCGTTAGCTAAACTGATAGAATAGACCCATCGATGTTAAACAGTGCGGATGACGACATTCCTAATCATTCAAAACTTCAAATGGAAGCATTTGTTGAACTTGCTTTGAGATGTGTTAGATTCAGACCAGAAGAAACCAAGCTTCATATGATAGATGTTGCAAAAGAACTCAAGCGGATAGAAAACCAGACCTGACCGCAAACCTGGTGAGACTGATCAGATCTATCTATTATTTTACAGTCTTAGTAGTGAAAAAGTTGTTATGATCTTCTTGTTTTTTGAGCTTCTTTACGATATATGTTGTATGTAAGAATCTGAGTTTCATAATCCATAATGTAAGGATTGTTTACTTAAGCTTCACATAATCCAAGCAAATGTAATAAAACTTTACAATAGAGTCTATATATATCAGAACAGAGGATCTCTAATGTGATATCTGAATCCACTTTGAGTTCCTTAATTAAGCTACTCCGATCATCTTTGGCCTGTCTTCATCATTCTTCTTACTGCGTCTCAGTGATAGTATAGTATAGCACACGCTTCCAGCTGCAATCTTTAACTAACAAAACCTATAGACATAAACATTGATATAACGTAGATTCTGCTAGCCTGGTAAAACAGATTCATAAACATAGCATCATGATGATTATCCATCAAACCGTAGATCGCAGATGAGATTCACATGACACAATTTGATTGAAGATTCTTTTTGTAGCCATATTTCATAGCCAGCCAATGCCATTGTGGCTGCAGTCTGAAACATTACCATTCAGATTTTTACCCAGAGATAAACAAAAGTTCAAAGATATACTTCAGAAGTAGCTAATTTCTGATACCTACAAATTTACCACAAAGAGAGATAGACAATGTCACAGATAAATACAAAAGAATCACAGATTTACTTATCTTATAAGACTTACCGACCCAAACTTTTAAAGAGTCTGAGATCTCAAAATTTTAACTAGTAGTTTGGCGGGTTGAGCCAAGCCCGTGCAGTAGTGCAACGCATGGGCGACTCGCGAAAACCCAGATAGCAAGCTATCTTAGCGGGCCTTCTCCCTTAAAAAATAGAGTTAATATCGTGTGGACCGATGGTCCACATATCAGATATTAAACTGATAAGAACAGATACTACACTTGATCTTAGCCAAAAGGCCGAGAAAGGTATGAATTGAACGTTGGGCTCAGCTTCTTATTTATACTACAAAGCTTATGACCAACGCTCTCTAACTTGTCGATGTGGGACTCTAGGAAAATTCTCTCAAGTCTTCCCTTACGCATATTTCTTCTTTAATCAAATTACATATGAACTATCAATACAAAACAATATACGCATCTTTGTTCTCTTTGTGTTCTTTGCCATTGATCACAGAACTATGTAAACCCAGAAGAAGAAAGATGGAAACTTAAGAAAGAATCTTCAAAGCAAAAACGGAGGAACATTTTCTTCTCTGGGAATTGATGCTGATTCCATAGAGTTCACTAGGCTTGAATTAGGGCACTTGAACAGTCTGAGCTGTACTTATGTTTCATTTTGAATCCTGGTGGTAAGTTTATGTTGTCAGAGCAGTTCCAAGATTTAGGTTCTGTTCTTTCTTCCTCCAATGTGATTCACCATCTCTTTTGCAGAGTACTGACTACTGAGTGTTTCCATCGATTTGTGCTCAGATTCTGTTTATGATATAATCCCTTTATTGGTCTCAATTTGACATTATAGCTAGATTCAAATTCTAACGTAACAACATGTCAGAAGAAGGAAGTTAGAAGCTTGATGGTTTCTTGAGGACAAAGAAACAATAAAGAAACACAAGAAAATTTCCAGGAGAAAGGTAGCTTGTTGTTAAAAGAGTTGATTGCCTCTTCAGACACTAAATACAATCCGCTAGGAGCATATTCATCTGATAAAACACTTACGGCTACATATAACTTCAAAGACTAGTTTGTTTCAGTAGTTGGTACCCTAAACATTTGGCTTCCAATGACTCATATAGACCACGCTTCCCTAAGAAGCTCATATCTTGCATTTGCTACCACTGCACCTATTTGCTCAGTTTCCTGCTTCACATTCCTGCTCTGTACGGAAATTGGTGACAACGATACTTTTTCCATGATGGATGTAAGAGGAGAATCTAGTTCCTCCAGCTCCTCATCGCTCGTGTATCCTTTTCTTTGTATCATAGATACATTCCTCGACATTCTAGAGATATCTCCTACCTCTGGAACTTTCTCTGCTACATTGAGTGATGATGGAGGATTGTATGAAACAGGAGAAGCTGCGTAAGGGAAGCTAACTCCTGATACCTTCTGCTCTGAAATGCTCTGATGAGAAACAACAAAAAAAGTATAGTGAGTGCTAAGAAGAGACCAAATGAGTGAAGGATTTAAATCTGTTACCTCATTATTAAGCTCTTCTAGGACAGCTCCAGGGACATCATCAGGACAAAACTCATCAGGTGTAAAGTTGCAGAGTATTCTTTTGATCAACGGAAGACTTATAGATGGACATACCTATGAAACAATCAAGAAAAAATTTCTGTGATCAAGAAAGCTTAATCAAGAACTTAAAGCGTGACAAAGATAACAAAACCTCTTCTCTTGTGGATCGGTCCATAAGCATGTCTTTTGGGAGCATAAGTAGATCGCTGAGTTCGTTTAGCAAACTGAAAGATTTCTCACTATCTATTGGATCATTTTCTTCTACTGAATCTCTAGTGTTTATGGAGAACATTTCAGCGAGGCATCTTGACCAATTGCCAATCTACAAGCGAGAAATCACAACATTCAAGAACATTAGTAGTTTCTCATGTTAAGTGCATATAACAATCTGATTATGTTTCTTGATAATGTACCGCATTTTTAAGTTGTGCCCCGGATCCAAAGCTTAAGTTTCCAGCAAGGATAGGCAAGACTTTGGAATCTAAGATAGGATCAGAGACAGGATCCGTAGGAATCTGATGCTCTGACTCACGTAAAATTGCGTTGAACATGGCTACGTCAATTCTAGCTATACACTTCTCCATTACCTGTTACATAGTACGGAGAGAATGTATATAGAAGTTAAGATTCCAATAGCTTTTACATACTTAATGCTATTGGCTTGAGCTTTAAAATGTAGAATCTGAATACCATTTTAGCCAAGATAGGTAAACAACCGCACTCGTGCCCTGCTCCACGCATAGGACAGAGCCGCGATAGAGCAACTTTGAAAGCGTTTTTCCATAGGCTGATTGAAAAGCTTCCTTGCTCATTATCTCCCAAGACAGGCTCATTTGTTTTACTGCCATTTTCCGGTGATTGCATGTGAGGAGTGAAAACCTGAGAGACAAACGAGAACAAGAGCAAATTTTGATATGCCTTAAAGAATGAATATTTTTTTAAGGTTTCAATGAAAGAAAGAGTCTTTCTTAAAATTTTACCTGCCACCAAACAGATTCAACGATTCTAGAGAAAATCCAGAATTCGACTTTCTCTAATGCTGCAGTGAAGGTTTCTGGTTCCTGCCAATCTTCTAAAACCTGCTTGAAACCATTTGAGTGCTTAGTCCATTGGTTCTTCTTCCTTTTTAGCTTCCCTAAACCATTATGTTCACTCCCATTTGATTCAGAGGTCTCTGTGAAATGTCTAGGAACACTTGTTTTACCAAATGCCTGCAAAATGATCTCTCTCAAAGCAATGATGTTCGATAACCAGAAGGTCAACCTGAAATATAAGGAACCAAGAAAAAACTGAGAAGCTCAAGATCCTAAAAGCTACTACACTCATAATGTTAAATTGTGTTTATGTTACCTGGAAACATCATTTCCGCAAGATTTAGCAGATAAAATGAGACCAGACACAGAGTTTCTAGCGACAGTTGCTCGCTTTCCTTGACTCCAATGTTTACAAGCATGGATATAGAGTCTTGAAATTCTCCGAGCAGGTGTGTGAAGCTTGTGCTCTGAGCTAGAGTGGTCTGGTACAACCGAATAGAGCGAAATCTCGAGTGCTGCAACTTCTCTTAGCTCTTCTTCAAGTTTCTCAACTCTTGTCTCCAAATCCTCAACCTTTTGTTTCAATGCTTCTTCTTCCTCCTCAAGTTTCTCACTTTTTTCTTTAACATCACCTGCCTCGTTTTCACTTCCACAGCTTAGACCACCATTTGAAGCATCATCCCAAACTTCGACTGCCTTATCAACATTGACACCTTTGCAAGTTTCAGAATAAGATATAGAATCTGTCTTCTCATGAGCTATAGCATCAAATTCTTTGCTTTCTTCCTTCGCCTCCTCCTCTTCATCATCACAGGCCAAGCCATTTACACTCTCTTCCTTCTCAGTTTTCTCTGAAATTCTACCAGACTCGGACTCTTGATGAGTAACTGAAGACTCGTTCACTGCATGATCATCATCATCAAAGAGCTTTGATTGTGTCGTTGTATCATCTACTACTACTGAGACGTTAGATTCTTCTTTAAAAGCTTTGAGTCTTTCTTGCTCTGAAGATCTTTTAGCACCGTTTGTCTTCTGTGGCTTTTGATCTCTTTTCCCATTCTTCGTAGACCGATTCAACTGCATACTGTTGGTTGTTCTTCCCTTCATCATCAAACTCTTTTCAGTTTTCCTCCATTTTGCAGCCAAAGCAACAGTTACTTAACAACTTTCAAGTAAAGCCTGAAAAAAAGAACAGCTGTGATCAATAGTCTGAAACAGAGGAAAATGACAAAAACTCAGTTGCGTATATTCCTGAAATCCAAGGCAAATTAGGATATGAAAAAAGGAAAACGACAACATTATCGACACTTGTTATGGTTCGTTTCAATCTACATGAAAAGAAAAAAAAATGATTTACATTTTTAATACTAAAAAAGGCAAGTCCCCACATAAGCAATCAGTAAGATTCTCACAATTACCTAAAATTGCTAATAGAAATGAGTGCATTCACTTATATTCACAAGAATGATTTTGATCTTCTATATATGAAAAATAGTGGAAAGATATATAAAAAGTTGAAAAATTATGAGTGCCTGAGAATCTGGAGGAAGAAACCGAGCAACACCAAGAAAAAAAAAACAGAACAACAGAGCAACACCAAGAAACCGGTTTTCTTACTTCGGGATCACCAAGAAATCCGTTTTTTTGGTCATCAAATGAGCTTTTTCTTTATTCTGGAAACTGTAAAAAAGCCACTATCTTTCTCCCTTCTACGGCTCGTGTGTGTTTTTTTTAGAAAAACGAGAAGAATCATATGAGTGGAGGATTTAAATGAGTGCATTTAAAAACATGGATCGTGTACGGTACGGACCGTGAAGATCGGTCGTCGTGAATGATGCCGTTACATGTAAACCGGGAAGCTTTTGTCGGTGGTTCTAGTGTTTACCGGGAGTCGCCAGTCACATTGTACTCGTTTACTTTAAGTCAAGAGTAATGATGACCGTATTGTCACTTTCACTTTCGTCCTTCAGATCTTATTTGCCTTGCCCACTTCTAAATACTAAACAGTAACTATAATTTAGATTCCTACTCTCTTTTTTTGGTTTTTACACAAAAAAAAATGTGAAAGGCAGAAGCATAAATTTTTGCAATGGTCATATGATGTCGTGCAGTAGTAAATTAGTAATTAAAAAAAGGATAGAGAAGCAGAACCCTTGTTTTTCTTTTGGGATGATTGTTTATTTAAAGGGTTTTAAAAATAAATTATTGAGTTTAAACGATTGTGGACAAGGGAAGAGGAGTGAGTGTGTGGCCAAGCTAAGGATGGTAGATCACAAGAGATAATGTTAACTATAAAGATACAGCTAGAAGATAATTAAAGCAAAAGCTTTGCTAGTTTGATTTCTTATAAGCATATAATCTGAAACGACAAAAAGCACTTAATATACCATACCGACATAATGCAAATGGACTAGATGGATGCAAACGATTTAAGAAATATCAATGCAGGTAGCAGCAGCAATAAGTACACCCGCCTGTTTTACCGTCACTATTCGAAAACTGCCAACTAACATTCAACTAAATCGATGGCGATGCTCACTCACTTTTTCAGTTGAGCCAATTTTGTCAAATCATGCAAGTGTGGTAGGGATATCAAATCTCGATTTCGGTTCAGATTTCCCGGTTCTAGAATCGGCTTTTTTTTTGTTCGGTTTAGTCTGATTGGACATCCCAATGTATGGAGAACAAAAGGATTTCAGAATCATAGTCTTGGGAGAGAGTGAAACAGAATAGGAATCCAAACAACCAAAATGAGATGAAAAGATCAAGCTATACTAAAAGCTACCATGTTCATCAGTCGATTTAGGGATCCAACACAGAACCTAAGGTTACCAAGAAGATTCACAATGCAACAATGAAGGCTAATGAAAATATCAGACAAGCAATACTCTTCAAAATGGCAGTACCTATTCCTAAATCTATTCACCAGAACCTGCATCAACATGAGGTCTACTGTTAAGCTCTAAAACTTCATCTACCTACATGAGTGTAATTCTCTTGCAACTCCCTCTCCCTCGACTTATCCAAGTAGTTCATCAAAACCTCTTTTCCAAAACCCAATATCAACACTCTCATGTTCTTTCACTCAGTATTAGTAGAAGGCTTGCCATTCGGTACCCACAAAATCTAACATAATGGTTATAAATGGGAAGCACACGTTAGCAATCATTCGCAGTTTTAAAAATGTATCCCTCAATAGGTTTGGAAAGGAAACAAATAGAAATCTAATGTTCATAACCTAACTCCGTGAGTGTATATAGTGCCAGAACATAGAATCTTAAGCTATGGTAATGAACCGTCTGGACATTTCCATAACTAGAAAACAAAGGAGAGAAACTTTCCCCAACCAGAACTATATTTATACCTTCTGACTATTACTAGTGTGAAGTTGGGACCGTAATCTATACTACACTACACAGAGTCATAAGATAAGGAACTAAAGTTCACGAAGAACAGAAACAAACCGGATTCCCCTAATCAAATGACACATACAATGTTAGCAAAAGCAATTAGCTGTTCATCACTCTGACTCTCTCCAAGTAATCAGAAAATTAAAAAGTAATCAAATTTGAGAATTTATACAGCAAAGGATTGGAGGCAAGTGCTTTAAAACATCATCAAAAAGTAAGGTGAGTTACATAAAACCATCGTCAAGAGTTAAAGATCGCTTATTTCATGAACATATTTATCGACACTAACGAAGAGGAGAGGATGAACAAAGCGAAACCCTAGGTCACTAGTATTCGTGATCATCATTATAAATGGGAAAATCTCCTCAAATCCCCGGAAAAAAGATAAACACATACGCATACCAGATCAACCATCGAATCATATTTCCCAAGTTTTGGAATTAACTGGATGAATCTCCGGCAGATGCAAGCTTCTCCATCTCGAGGCGCTCGAGAGCTTTCTGGTGAGCCCAGGTCTCGATTGAAAGATCGGGTTTGGCATTGAGACCCACACCGAGGATAACAATCGTGAGAAAGCTTGTGATGTAACAAGGAAGCTCCCAATCTTCCCACTTGCGCGACTGTCCCGGCGGCGGCGGAGTCCGGTTCATGAAATATCCTTTGGGTCGTTCTTCGTGACCTGGTGTCGCCCACCGGCTTGGACCAGCAGATGTGGATCCAGATCGGAAGTGGATCCGGTTTCGGAGCGTCTTCGCTGCGACGATCAATGGCTTCGTCGACGCCATTTCTGTGATTCCGATTTTACTCTCTTAGAGATTTTTTTGATTAGACGAAAATAAACGCAAGTGTGTGAAAACCTACAAATACTTGTGAAACGTCGTCGTTGAGAGAACTCGATATCACAAAGACGTTGTCGTTTTGGAGAAAACAAAACCAAATTCTCTATTTCACACAAAGAAATAAGAATCCAAATCTTCTACTAAGCCAAACATAATGATTCAAGCAATCTTGTGTTCACCAATCAAAACGTAATCAAACTCAAACAATCTCGTGTAAAAGACCAGAATTGAAACCAACAAACGAGACATTATTCACGGTGGAAGGTCTAAATTCGAGAGGAACATTCCACGCAGAATTCAGATCATCTGACCATTTCAGGTCAACATTCTCAATGCTAAACCCGTTCACATGTTCCATTATGATCCCAGCCGTGGCGCTATGGTTCACGAGACCTCGACATCCAGGTCTATAATCCACAAGCCCTGCACTATAATTACTCCATCTTCTGACAGTAAGGTTCATGTTTCTGAATTTTATATCTGAGAGTAGTCCATTTGGTGAACCCGATAAAAAGACACCGTTTTCGGATTTGATTGTTATGTTTACAAATAGGAGATTCGAGATTGATCCTTCCTTTGCAGATGAGTCACGCGGGCAAGTTGTTATATAGATTGGTTCTGCTCGTCCCCACCAAGAAGGATCGTAGTATCTTGTACTAATGTTTATGTTTGAAAATGTAATGTCACTCACATTTCCTGCAAAAGGGCACATATTGGGATTACATTACATAAGTTTGTGTTGCATGTAGCCAAATAAAAGAAGAAACTTTATACCTCCGTCGCGTATTTGCATGCCAAGGCCTCTGTGAGATTCAAAAATAGTAATGTTATCAAAGACAAGACCTTTGAAGTCAAACCAGCTCGCGCTACCGAGTTTAATGGCTGAGGATTTGGTCCGGATCCAACAGTCTGTAGCGGTTAAGTTGTAAAGTGGACCAGTGTAAGTCTTAGGACAGATTGCATCATCTCCTGTGTCAATGTGACACCGAGTTATAACAGTGTTGTTCGAATCTTCAATGTCGATTCCATCGTTATTTGGAGTATTGAAGTCCCCAAGGATTGATACATCGTGAATTGATGTGTTCTCACACCTCACAATGTGCAAGCTGCAATGAGTGTGTATAGAAGATCAAACCAGAGATTCATTCAATCTTAAGATTACTTGGAACTATTTTAAGCATTGAGCAATCACAGAAGCCTAAATTCTCAGCTAGAGTTACTTATCTTCGATCTAAGATAGTGAAACAGAGTCAAATATGTTCATAGAGTTCTTGTGAAAAGCAGAGTTTTCAAAACTAACCACCAATACGCAGGCTCTCGTAATGTGATGTTCCAGATCTCAACGTTTCTAGAATCAACGAATCCAACAAGTCTAGGTCTACACTCATCACCCAAGCAAGCTCCGGTCTGATTCCAGCTCACCATCACGTTCTTCTTCTCATCGAATCTCACCACAAATTTCGATCCTTGGCCATCAATCGCTCCTCCGCCGGTGATTCCAACGTCCGTCGCGTTGTTCGCCACCACCACGTACCAATCCGAAGAAGTCTCCGCCGGATAATAGTCCTCGATTCTCGGTCCCCCAAGAAGCACGGCGTTCTCCGTCACATCGAGAACAACACCAGATCGGAGATGGAGCTTAGCTGTCAAATAGTTGCCGGAAGGGAAAGTGACGCGGCAGATGGAAGAAGACGATGTGTAGTGACGATTGCAGGCGTCAATGGTGGACTGTATCGCAGAAGTATCGTAGTTGATACCATCGCCGGTAGCGCCGAAATCGGTAACGGAAAGGGCCAGAGAATCGCCGGGAAGTTGGATTTTCGAATATGAGGTGTACGAACGTGATTGGACGAGAGAGAAGAATAATAGTATCAATAATATGCTTCCCATATTTTTAATTTTTTCTCAAGGTCTTAATAATCTTATCCAATGATAACAACTGAAACTAGAACTCCAGATCTCTCTTTTGATACATGTCACTTCGATATATGTTTATCACGCCGTGATATTATATGTATCAAAAATATTAAATATATATAATCAATAAGGTTTATACATGTCACTTCAACTTCTGCAAATAAAATGAAAATGAAAAACCGACTTTATTTCGTTGACAAAAAAAATGAAAAACAAAGTAAAAGATCTTCAACTAAATAGCGATCAAGCTTGGAATATAAGAAATAACTTGATCCAATTGAGTAGCTTTGGAATATAAAGAACAAGAACCCGTTCTAGTATCTTGTACCAATAAACAAGGATAATCGATATATCTGTAACGAAATAGTAACTCTGTTTTGTTGAAAACTGTCACCGGTCTTATTAGACCCAATGAGTTCCCAAACCAAGGAGAAGTGTTGCTTAGATTTATACTGTATGTCTTCTCCCATACCTTGTGTGAATTCAGTGACCATATTTCTTCACAGTTGGTTTTCTGTTCCACTACGCAAAGACGATTATTCAGACTGTGCATATTAGGCCAACAAGGAGATGGATGGGCAGTCCGAATTTCGACCACTACTTCAAAAACTTCTGTGTGAAGATCGAAACGTATTATCTTAGTTTTTCCTCCATTCAATTCGAGAGTCAACCAATGAAGTGATCCATCTAAATATACAGGAAACTCACAAATGCGATGTGTAGAGCCAGTCACATTTCTCCAACTATTAGTACTAAAATCAAAAACCTCGCATGTTGTATGGCCATCTAGGCCTAGTTCTGAAGAGTTATATAACCATACGATCTTGTACTTGCCTGTCATAGTGTCTTTACCGAATCCTGGATAGCTTGATGCGCGATAACCTATGAGAGAGTAAAAAACAAAAATAATTACTTCGGAAATATTAGTAACATACAACAAAACATCAGTAAACACTTATATATATATATATATATATATATATATATGTGAGAAAATTAATTAAGCAAAAGAATTAAAAAGTGAAACTTACTGCCGTCCAGAATTCGTCTAAGGCGGTTAATTTTTTGAATCTTAGGCCGAGGAAAAGATCGAAACCATCTAGTGGCCGGATTGATGATACACATCAATCTTTCAATACCGTAGACGCAAACAAGACCATCACAGCTTCCGGTAATTACACAACATTCATAGGGATTGGGCATAATATGAGCCTCTTTCAATTCTGAAGATCCTAACTCCACTTTCTTAAGATAACAAAATGGATATGGTTCATTCCAAGCGCGGGCACCGGCAAGAAGGATACTCGGATTTCGTGACTGCGCTCGGATTAGATGTCTCGACGCAAAAGATGTTGATTTGATCATCGAGTTCCATTGCTTCGAAACGGATGTGAATCTTATAAGAGATTCTGCACCAATTCTCTCTAAGATCTCTTCTATAAGAACATTTGGTAGTTGTTCAATATCATTACTCTTCTTCTTTCCATGGCATGCTCTTTTGCGTTTCTCTTCCGGTTTTCTTTCCATGATTCAAGCTTATATTAGACTTAGGGTTTGTTTTTCTTCCAATAACGGCTTTGCACTTATATTTATGTTCTGATCGGATGAGTCGTTTTAGGGATTTTTGTTACCTAACCTAAGCTATATTGAATTTTGCTTTTGTTAATGATAAATATAATTATTATTCCCTAAATATGATTTTTATCTCTATTTATTATTAGTAAGATATATAACAAGATCAAAATGATCATATTCTACTAAATTCTACATTGTGGAAATCTGGTAAAAATAAGAAATAATCATTACCAGTTTTGTCTCTCTGAATCAAATGACTGATACCTTCTTAACAGATATCTAATGCTTATATATTTATGATTATAATTATATATAGAGAAACGGGCTTATACGATATATATACACATTCATGATCTCTACTGTTTTCCCAACTTACAGCTCCATTTTGACCTGATTTGGGTGCAAATTAGCAGAAGCCACCATTACATTTTCAGAAACCGCCATCAAATTGCTGTTATCATTGCCATCAGCTTGATCCTCTTCTCTTCCCCATACCGGCTGGTTCAAGCCGTCAAAAGGCCACTGTTGTGTTGGTGGTGGTGGCAGTTGCCGGTGATGAAAGGACTGTTCGGTCTCAATGGCTTGATGAGGCCAAGCAAGCTGCATTGGTGTGCCATTGAAGCTCCCATCCATTAAAGAACCATTCTGTGTAGGAAAAAAAACAGAGCCAAAACCGGAAAAGATATCAGCTAAGGGATCATTCATAGAGATCTTGATCTAGTCAAAGAAGTCAACTGTTGTTGCTGTGTTATTATTATCCTAAAAGAACAAGGTATAATGAGAGGGTCCCTGGCTATTTAATGGTGGTACAAGCTGTAAGAAGAAAGAGAGATAGAGCATTTATTTACTTTGGTCCAAAACTTTTGATGAGAATCCACAGGTGATCATGAAATTAGATAGGTCACTTTGAAATAACAAGATTTTGGAAGAGACCCACAGAAATTATTGAGTGATGAAATACGTTTTTTTTTAAAAGCTTCATCAAATAACACATCCGACATAAGTCACAGAAGACACAGAAAGGTTTACAGAACAAAGGTGGTCCGAGTTTTGACCCACTAAGCTCTTTGTGTATTTATTTTTTCCCTGAGTTTCCTTCATGAGAGTAGACGTTGTGCTCTTCCTATGCCTTACACTAAAATGGTCTAAATTAATGTTTGTATCAATAAATACCCAAAAGTTTCTCCTTTTGTGATAGAAACTAGAAGCTACTCAAAGAGGTATGGTTTACTTAAATGAGAAACACATGAAATGGTTACTTTTTCCTGAAGAAGGCTAATCAGAAGGACCTAAGTATTGTGAGATTTTGATACTTACTTCTGAAGCCAATATGGTGTCGAGATTGAAGTCGATTCTGGGGTTTACCGCTGCAAGTCTCATTGATAGCATCTGTGGAAACACAAGTCATAGTTTCATGAAATTGTGGCACACAATTCTATTCATTTTCAAACTGTTTTGAGTTGACCTTTTGGTTGTGCCTAAGGTAATGGTACAATATAGGTATAAAGAACAAAAATTGGACCACGGAAAGTCTCACCTCCACTTGACGTTGTAATGACTGGACATGGTTAATGATTTCATCCAGCACCAGCGCGGTACCTTGAATCTGCAGGTCAAAGACTTTCTGATAAGCTTAGGATTCATATTAGGTACATCTGCTTTCACAAACCAAAAGTAGTTCCTATGCAGCTAACTATTGTTAAGATGATGCAATATTTCAACGAGAAAACACCAGGATTCCAAAATACACAGTGAAAGAAGCAGCAAGAGAATGACGTGTTAATCTAAAGCTATTATAAATGGTATCTACTACAATCACAAGTAATCAGTATACCCTAGGGGTTTAAAGGAACAATCAATCAAGTCCTCACAGCTCACCTATAGAATCCAATTTTTTTACACACACTGATGTTCCTTATCATCATCTCCATCACACCAATAATTGCTGCTAACTTCTAACATCAGGGATGATTAATTAGCTGTCTGGGGGAGTGTCACATCATGTTTCCAACTAATTAGGTATGTGGGACTCAAAAGCATATCAATTTTTGTAAAGGATCATTTGCTTTAATCGTCCTTCTAAGAGTCATTGTCTTTTTTTCCTTGATAGATACCGAACTTGTTAGAGACGATACTACCCCTTCCTCACCTTCCATAGAAAGTTTACAACTTTTTTCCCACTTATCATCAAAAGATGGACCCCAAAACACACTTTGATCTTGATCTTTCCACCAAAATCTGTCCCCTAAACCCAAAACCTTAATGGCACATTACAGCTAGCATCCCCACTTCCTAAGGTCATTCTTGTCATTTACAGACTAATCTTCAAGCTCAATGAACACAGTTATGGAAAAAAGAATTCGATAAAGCTAGGTCCTATCACTTCCGTGTGACTGAGTTAACCTTAAAGCTAAGTGTACCCGTGAGATATTTCTCCCCACACGAAATAAAAAAATAAAGTTGAGATCTCTAAAGGCATTATTACTACACAATTACCCAACTGGCTACTTTGGCACACCAGAAACCACTTTTCTTAATAAAAAAGCAATTAAGCAATCCACGTTTTGGGGAAAAAAAAAAAGTAGGTGTGAAGGATTAAGACCCTTAACAAAAAACAAGATCATCTAATAATAAATTCTTACTTTTTGAGTGAATCAATTAAAGAAATATCATGTCGTTAAGCACAAATGAAGAGCTAATGATTGATTAACAAATTGAATACACGTCTTAATCTGAGAGACAAACCTTATCACAGCCTGGGACCAGTTCCTGTAGCAGCTTCATTCGTGCATTTATCTTCTCCCTTCTTGCCTATAATCCAAAAATTAGTGATCAATTAGCGAATTAATCAACTGATTAACACCAAAAAAGAATAATTAGTGAAATCTGTGAGAGAGAGATGCAAGTTACTCGTTCTGCTAAGCTATGGCTATCGGTTGCTTGACCACGACGAGCTCTAACGTGAACATATGGCAGCTTCTCGTTCTCTTCGGAGCTTTTGTTCTTCTTCGTCGAGCTTTTACCCTAGAAAATTTAGGGATTCATCAATCTGATGAAACCAAGAATCAAAATGTAAAAGTAAAACCATTTGTCTCTCACTCTCACCTTCTTTTCGAAATCTTTCCTCTTTCCATTTCGATTGTTCTGGTTAGGGCAAGGGATTTGATTCTCAATCGCTGAATCAGAAATCAACCGCTGAGATGAATCGGTCTCACCAGGCTCGGTCTTGACTCTGTCGAGATTAGCGCTGGAATTGGAAGGTACAGAGCTCGTCGGAGTCTCCCCGGAGATATTTCCGTTTTGTTGCTCAGTAGCAATCACAGAGAACCGAGCTGCTCGCTCCATGAGAACTGAGTTAGAAGGAAAAGCCAATGTCCCACCAAAAGAGTGAAGCGGTGGAGCAATCTCTCCACCGATCCCAGTCACGGCCGCCGCTTGAGAAGACGAAGAATCAGTGAAATGAAGAAGCTCCACTGCTTGTGTAGGCGGAAGCTCAAGCAAAGCCGTGAACGAGCCGCCGGCGTTCTCAGGAGGTAACGTCGTCACTAGTTGCCGAAATTCGTCACCGAGATGTAGCGATTCAAGCCCTATTGGTTCCCGGCCCGGTCCAACACCGCTGGATCTAGCTCCAAATCCTCCAGTCAGATCCATAAACGGAAACTCACTGGAAATCTCCGGAAATAACACCGTCTCACGCCAATAATCGAAACCAAATTCAGCAATTTGCGTAATCAAATCTCACAGCAACAAAACCCTAATTGAGCCTCCAAAGAGAGAGAGAGAGAGAGAGAGAGACTTGACTTTTGTCAGTAAGCGAGCAAATTGCGGCGAAAAATCTCAAGCAAAGAAGGTGGGCAACAATGATGGTCAAAAGAGTGAAGAAGAAATCCCTCCTTACTCTCTATCTCAGAGAACTTGGCGAAGAAGGAATAGTTAATCTCTCTTCTTCTTCTTCTTCTTTCTGAAGAAAAGGTTTTAGTCCATAAGAAGAAGCTTATTTTGGAGTAGGACGAAAGCAACGTTAGCAGTGCTGCAGTGGAGTGCGTCTGTTAAATAAAGGCCACTGTTAGACAAAAGAAAGAGAAAACCAATTTTGGTTTATAAAAAAATTAACTGTTCATTTTTCTTTTTATTTGCTGGATCCCAATGGATATTAGTTGGGCCTTTTGGGCTTTACCCGGTGACTTTTTATCTCTGATTATAATTTTTTTATTATCCTTAATTTGTTAATTTAAAATTTTTGAATTATTTGACACTAGTATATAGTTTTTGTTTAATGATTTTAATGGGGCGAACCAAAAAACGGCACATATTAAATCCAATTGGTAGATTTGATTTATTCTTCAGCAGGACCAGCCTGCTGTCTCTGACCACTTTTCTTTTTTTTTTTTTTTTTTTTTCAGTATAATAATTGGGTTTTCGTATATTATTATTATCAGTAGTTAATGCCATAAATGGTGTTACATCAGGTTCTCTGACTTTTCACGGACTCCGATTCCGGTGTCAAAAAAATAATTTTGTTGACCTGTAATAACCCAAAATAAAAAAATTGTAATATCGAAAACTAATTTAGCACAAAGCACCATTAATTATGTCAGCCGTTGGATGAAATCTCGCTAATATGAAAGCATAAAAATATTTATTTTTATTTTTAAATACTGAAAATTCCTTAAGAATATAATAATTCACAATCATAATTCAAATTATGTTCTAAATTATGGGAAGAAGGAAGAAAGCAAGTAATGGTACTTTAAAAGGGTGTTTCGGGGATAGGGAGGAAAATTTAGGGACAAAAGTAAACAGGTAGGTCCAGTGGAATAACATGTTTCACACAATGGGCCGAACATAAAATCCACTTATGTCTTAATAAACTGAGCCCAAACCCCAAATTTCATTTCATTGCAAAACGCTTGATTATGATTAGCCAATTCTTCATCTACTTAAATCTCAAAATTGGAAATTAAAAAAGTTTTTAAAATAAGTATTGGGTGTAGAAGTGGAATATAAATGTGCAAAAATATCGGTATCACTTTCAGCTATTGGTGGTGGTGTAAGGTTTGGTGTAGTAGTAAAGTCTCAATCAAAGAGAGGAAAGGTACAATCTTTTTTGGCATTTCCAATTTGGCAACGTTACTTACTCTCCCAACGTCCATTGCTTCTTTGGTGTCTCAGATATTGATGTAGCCAATTCTTTAACCAACCTAATTCCTACGTACATATGTTATACACTTTCACATTTATACACTTTATTCTACATATCAAGATTTTGAAGCTATACGACTCTTTTCTGTTTTTATTAAGTTGAATATATTAGATGTCAAACTGAGTATGAAACATCAAACATGCAAAGTCTGTCTTTATCAATAAGAAACATTCTAATTATGAAAATTCTTTTCCATTATAAACTCAAATCCCATTTCAGATGATTTTATCTTTCTAAAATTTGTCCCCAAGCGGTCTCTATGAGGCTATCTTTTTAATATGTCACATATATAACATTTATAAGACAAGAGGATTATTTTCTTTTATTGCTGAAAAAAAGATTTGAGGATTATCTGCACAATACTTATTAACGTATCACATTGAGATCATGATGGATTTGAAAGGATGGATATGGGCGAGACCACAAAGATTTTCGGATGTATACGTGAAGAATGGAGAAAAAAAAAAGTGTGCGATGAATAAAGAAATATGTTATAGAATAAAGAAATTTGCTGGATCCGTGTGTTAATCACGTGACACTGGCCCGAGAAGCCTCTCTTCGTAGTGGAGTGGTGTGGGAATTCCCTTCTTCCCATATTAAAATGTTTTGACGAATAAATGACTCAATAAAATAGCTCTCTCCCTAACCTTCTTCTTTTTGTGTGTTTAATGAAATTTTTTTATTTTTCTATGTAGCTTGCATTATTCGACAGCTGTTACAAACCTGACATGCATGGGATCCACACAACAACACATATATCTCTTATGAGTTATTCCCAAATTGCTGAACAAACGACATCCGTATGCAAAGTTAAGACTGTTGAAAAGTGCATAACAATTATGGTTGTCAAAACGTTATTTGTAAGTTGGTTTAACTAATAATCATTTTAAAATAGGTAGATTGTCAATGTAAATATGGTACATTTAATATTTAAACCACAAAAGAAGAAGCGATGAATCACAACGATTCAATATCTAAGGTGAAATTTGTTAAATTCAACTAATTTTGTGCATTATAAATATTGTTTGGGAATTTAGTCGTATAATCATATTTGTATATAAGTTCTTTAAAATATTTTTAAAATGCATCAAACATCATGAATGCACTTCACCTCCAAAACTAGAAGTCCAAGTCCAAGTCCAGTGCTAAATTTGTTTAGGGGTCGTAATGATTAAAGACTGTCAATATCATATTGAACTGTCGAATTGTATACTTATAAACGATTACGAAGGAGGCGTGTCTCTAAATTTTCTACGTCTACGTTATACGTTTACACGCATAGAATTCGTCGTACATATAAATAAATATAAAGATACACGTACATGTCTATACATATTTGGCACAGTGATCGATACTGATACAGTGTTGTCTAATAGTAAAATACGTTATAGGTAATGAGTGATGCAGGTCGAAACACTTCTATCGATCATTGTTCACATGTTCGTTTCGTTGGATTCAACCGATCTTCTTATAATTATACATTCACTTTTAAGAATGAAACTCTACTTTCAAATGCATTAATTGTAAGATAACTTTCTCAGCATTAACTTGATCATTTAACTATTGCGTCTGATAAAAAAAAAACGAATTGATGGTCAGAAAGGAGTACGCACAACATCTGAACACAATGAAATACAACAACAAATCGTCATTGTTTGTAGCTTAATAATTTGTCAATAACGTTGAAGATCCATTACAACAAAACACGACGTCGTAACAATTTGATCATATAGCTTAATGCACAGACATGGATTAGAAGAAATAAGACCTCTTAACATTAAACCAAAAAAAAAAAAAAAGAAGACCATACAAAATGAAAGAATTTTTTTAAATTGATTAACTGAGAAGAAAACAGTGACGAAAAAGACCGGAACATACGAAGGGCCCAGAAGACAAGGACGAAACAAAGTGGGCCCATAAAAGAAGTACCCAAAAAAAAAGGACTTGTGATAAAGTTGGGCCCATGCTCGATAATCCCTTGTGGAATACCAAAATGATGGGGGGACCCACTGACCAAGTTGCACGGCGAGTGATGTGTTCTGTTTGGGTCTAAATGGGCCGTGAAAACAATGGGCCCAAACTCATTCATTGCTTTGCCAGAGAGTCCTTTTTTGTGTTTGTACCACTAACGGCAAGCTGTTCGAGACTATTTGCCAGTTTCAGGAAAAGTTTTCTGACACAGATAAACTTTTTGTTGGGTTTCCCATTCCAAGTATCATCAAGATATTTGCTAATCTCTGGACGGAAATATAAATATTTTATTTTTTTAAGTATTTTATGAAGTAACCAGTTCAGTATTCTCAAATAAAAGTACAAAATTCAATACGATCAAATATGTACTAGTTTTTTTAAAAAAATCATGCTAAGTAGCAATCATAAAATGGGTTTGGTAACCTGAAACAAAAGTCCAGCCCAATTTTATACCCACTTATCGGCCCAATCGAGCTAAAAATCAGCTGCGCTCTTAAAACGGCAGCGTTTAATGATTAGATTGAGTAAAGCGATTTCACGGTGCAACAGTCGAAGCTTCTCGACTTGTTTTTGTTTCATAGCAACGTCGGTTCAACAAGACCTTGCGCTAGAAGAAGAATAATTTCATCTTTGTTGTGTCCAATTCTCACCTCGTTCAGTGACCAAACAACGGTTTCTTTGTTGCTTTTTGTCGGAAAATCAGAGTGAGTACAATAAACACCCTTCGCAACATTCTTTGCTTCTCCACCTTGTAATCCTCCATTCACTATTTTCACGTGTTTCTCTCTCAATGATTCTCTGATGCGCGTACGCAATTTTATCGTTACTTCTACGTTTTTTCGATTTCAATACATTTGAATTGTTTGTTGGTTTCATTTCCTGGGAAACATTTCTGATATTCGAGTTACCTGTTGATTTTACTTCAAACATTCTCAAGTTTTTTAGAGCAATTACCTGCAGATTTTCAGTTCCTGGGTTTAGATTATAACTAGATAGCTTGCTATTTAGCGATCCTTGAGGTAGATTTTGTTATCAAGTAATGATTTTGGTTATGGAATCATTGGAGCTATAAATGTGAAAGACTTGGAAATTCTTTGTGTAGGTAGGTATCTGAAATTGGGAGACTCTTATTAGAAACGATATGATGATTTGTTACTCTCCAATTACAACATGTTCTAGGAATGCTATCAATATCAAGAGGCATTTAAGCACTCACCTCTACGGCGTTGTGACTCAAGGATCATATAAATTCTCCTGTCACAGTCTTTTGTCAGGACTTTCGAGAAGACATTATACCGGTTTTCGTGTATCAGTCTCTAATAGACACTCTAGTTGGCACGATAAAAGGCTATTGATCAATCAATCGACCGTTGGTCCTAAGGAAAAGCTTGAAGTTTCTTTCTTGTCCCCTGATGCTAAAATGAAATGCTCCAAGATAGAATCCAACATGAGAAATCTCTATTGGTATTCAAGATTTGCTTATACAGGTGTGATTGTTAGCTTGCTTGTTTGTTATTCTTCGACTTCCCAATCAGCTTACGCAGATGCTTCAAGGGATAAAGATGCTAACAACGTGCATAATCATTCGTCTGATGGTAAATTCCACAATGGGAAAAGGGTCTACACTGATTACTCTATCATTGGTAAGTGTCCTATGCCATCACTTAGTCAGCCTATTAAGATTGCTCATCATATTTTTTTATGTAGACCATTGTTGAATCAGAAAATGGCAATGATTTGTAGGTATTCCGGGGGATGGTAGATGCTTGTTTCGTTCTGTAGCTCACGGATTTTGCTTACGCTCTGGAAAACTGGCTCCAGGCGAGAAGATGCAGAGAGAACTCGCTGATGAATTACGTACCAGGGTAAGTATCTGGTTATCATTCATATTTTGCTCCCAAAAATCAAAATAACTGTTTTCTCAAATTCAACGAAGCCTAAGTCTTAATGATATCTATCAAAAATCCAATCCATGTGTTATCTTTGAATATGATAGGTTGCTGATGAGTTTATCAAAAGAAGACAGGAAACAGAATGGTGAGTCTTTCTTTTAGACCAATACAACTTCATTCGCTGGCTATAAACCACTCTTAAACTTCCATATCACATTAGTTGATATCTTGATACTACTAGTGTCACGGGTTTTAGAAGGGCCTTGAGAACATAACATCTTATTAATTCAATGTATGAACTACTAGGCTAAAAAGTTTTTTTTTTTGCATCTACTCATTCTGATGATTCTCATCAGGTTTGTGGAAGGAGATTTCGATTCATACGTCAGACAAATTCGGGAGCCACACGTGTGGGGAGGTGAACCTGAACTCTTCATGGCTTCACACGTTCTCCAGTAAATAAATTCTTCTCCTCTGTTTTTTTTTCTGTTTCTTGATGTGCATGATTTCAGTTTCTCATACACATTCTAGATTAAAATCTAACAAATCCCCGAAACGGGCGGCATATCATTAATCTTTGAAAGATTGATGCTGTTTGTTAGAAGAAAAAAAATGAAGCAATAGAGGTGTTTTGTGATCATAGGATGCCAATCACAGTGTATATGAAGGACGAGAAAGCTGGAGGATTGATATCTATTGCGGAATATGGTCAAGAATATGGTAAAGACGACCCAATCCGAGTCCTATACCATGGTTTTGGTCATTACGATGCCCTCTTGATTCACGAAAGTAAAGCTTCGATTCCAAAATCTAAACTTTAGTAAATTTAGTTTTGCATCTTTGACTTTTTGTCAGGTGATGATGATGTTTTTGTCTCTGACACAACCACAATCTATATGCCTTGTAGAATGTAACCTTTTTAAACCTTTTAATTTGAATAAAACTTCAGTTTCAAAAGCTTAGCTTGTGGATAAAGACAAAGTTCCTTGTGGACACTCAAAAAGAATATATGTGGTCAGTGTGATATCATGCCACTATGGTTGAAAAGCTGAATAATGATTTAAATGTGACAAAGTTAGTTCTAATTCATAGAAGATGTGGATTACACAGTAGAAACAATGAAGCTAAGCAAAGTGCAAAAAAAAAAGGTCGGGCTAGTAGAACTAATAGCCACCCTTGAGATCGTTGACGACGTCGCAAGGGATGGGAGTGAGTGTGACAGTCTCCAAGGTCATACCTTCAACCATGAATCCTAGTTTGGGTCCTTTAGGCTGACTAAATCTAAACTGTGAAAGTAGAAGGTTAGTGTATTTGTTTTTTGATAATTATAGGATGCTAAACACAGTATATGAAGGACTAGAAAGTTAGTATATATCGCAAATTATGGTTAAGGAGATCAGATTCAAGTCATATCCCATGGTTATGCCCTTTTGATTCATGAGAGCAAACCTCCAATTCCAAAATCCACACTTTCCATAAGAAAGGATAGATATGCTTGTTTTGAACCGGTATGGGTGTGAATTTACGAAATGCCATCCGGTACAGTTGTTGTTGGGGACATAAGTGGGATATTCAAATGCAATTTTGTATTGGTGACTTTTGTCAGGTGGTGATGGTTTTTTTTTTCTGACACATCCACAATCTATAGTCATGTCTTCTACAATGTTACCTTTTAATTTGAATAAAATTTCAAATAATTTGGTGGTTTCAAAATCATAGCTTGTGTGCCACACATTGTCAAATCGTGATAATACAAAGTTCATAATGTTTGTGGGCACTCAAAAGATATGGTCAGTGACTCAGTGTGATAAGTAGTGTTGTTGGTCAGGCCACTGGTTGAAATGGAACGATTAAAAAAAAAAACTGAATAATGAAAATAACTAACAACAATACTTTAAAGTTGTTGTTTATTGCTGATCAAGCCAAGAAATGTTACTCTACTAGTAATGAGAGCCTTCACGAGCTAAGTTTAGTGTTTTAGTGTTTTTTAGGTTCATGTCTCCTAACACAAATGCAAATTCAAAATCAGGCTCGATTTCCAAGTAATAAAAAGACTTACTCTCACATGTCCATTTTCGAACAAAAACCAAAGCCAATCATCTTAACCCCAACAAAATTAGAATCTTTAAAACAAACAATTAAAAAGCGCAGAGCATCCCACCTGCATCAGTCAATAACTAAAAACTTTGGATTTAACAATCAATATCTAAACTGTCACAGAGCACAACACATTGTTTTATTATTATTTTCAAATTTATATCCATTTCCCAATACTTTTAAGCTCACAAGAATTCAAAAAACTTTCCCATGTCTACATTACAACCACGTTGCTACTTTGGAACCCATCACCTACAATTCTTTTTCTTCTTCTCTCTCTGCAACTCCTCGTTGCATCACTTGCATGAAACATAATCTTTAGATATTAAACAAGTTTCTTTCAAGATTCTGATTCTCTCCAGAAAAATGCAGTTTCTTCGACTTCTTTCACTTCTTCTTTCTTCCCACTTATTCTTCTTCATTAGCTTCTCCTCGTCGCTAAATCCCGATGGTTTATCACTTCTTGCTCTCAAATCCGCCATCTTTAAAGACCCGACACGTGTGATGACTTCCTGGTCGGAATCCGACCCGACTCCGTGTCACTGGCCTGGAATCATCTGCACTCACGGCCGAGTCACCTCACTCATTCTCTCCGGAAGAAGGCTATCGGGTTACATACCCTCCGAACTCGGTCTACTCAACTCACTCCTAAAACTCGACCTTTCTCGCAACAATTTCTCAAAACCAGTTCCCACTCGTCTCTTCAACGCCGTTAATCTCCGTTACATTGATCTCTCTCACAACTCAATCTCCGGCCAAATTCCGACACAAATCAGAGACCTCAAGAATCTCACTCACATTGATTTCTCCTCTAATCTCCTTAACGGGTCACTCCCTGAGTCACTCACTCTACTCGGAAGCTTAGTCGGCACACTCAATCTCTCTTACAACAGATTCTCCGGCGAAATTCCACCGTCGTATGGACGGTTTCCGGTTTTCGTCAGCTTAGATCTCGGCCACAATAATCTCACCGGAAAAATACCTCAGATTGGCTCTCTCTTAAACCAAGGACCAACCGCGTTCGCCGGTAACTCTGATCTCTGTGGTTTCCCATTACAAAAGCTATGTAAAGAAGAAACTACAAATCCTAAGCTCGTCGCTCCAAAACCAGAAGGCTCACAAATCCTCCCGAAGAGACCAAACCCTAGCTTCATCGACAAGGACGGAAGAAAGAATAAATCGATCACCGGATCAGTAACGGTATCTCTCATCTCCGGAGTCTCTATCGTAATCGGAGCTGTTTCTATCTCCGTATGGTTGATTCGGAGAAAATTGAGCTCCGCCGAGAGCAAATCGGAGAAAAAGAACACGGCGGCGCCGTTGGATGATGCGGAGGAGCAGGAAGGTAAATTCGTGGTGATGGACGAAGGATTCGAGCTCGAGCTCGAGGATTTGCTGAGAGCATCGGCTTTCGTCGTTGGAAAGAGCAGAAGTGGGATTGTGTACAGAGTAGTGGCCGGAATGGGATCAGGTACAGTGGCGGCTACGTTTACGTCATCCACCGTCGTTGCTGTAAGAAGGTTGAGCGACGGAGACGCCACGTGGCGGCGGAAGGATTTCGAAAATGAAGTTGAAGCTATAGGTAGAGTCCAACATCCAAATATCGTACGGCTAAGAGCTTATTACTATGCTGAAGATGAGAGGCTCTTGATCACTGATTACTTACGCAACGGGAGCTTGTACTCTGCCTTACATGGTAATCATAATCTTCATTAATTAACCACTAATTATGAGGCTAATCTCAATTTTGTTTTGTGAAATCTTTGGGGTTGACAAAAAAGAGACAAAAATTGGGTTTTGTTTTGGGAGTTAGCTAGTGCTCCCAAAACCAGTTGATTGGTGGATCTATATAGATAGAGTTTTTTTGTCTATATTAGATTGTGTGATAATAGAAAATTTGTTGGCGTCTTCTTCTTGTTCTTTTCTCATTTAAAATCTTTTGAAGTCACGTGTTTGGTAACTGTTATAGTTCCAGACAAACTTGGATCTTTCTTCTTGTCGAAAACAACAACGTAAATTCTGTTTTTGCGATAGTTTTGAATTAGGAAAGAGCAATGTAGAAGGTGGTGCAAAGATCTTGTTTGTTTTAACTTGATGAGAGAATATTGTTGGTTTAAGAGGTTAAGATTGGTATTGAGGTCATGTTTAAAGAGTGTTTAATGAGACAGAAAAAGCAGAGGTCAGATTAAGATCTGAGGGATGTTTTAATATCGATTGCACCATTGCTTTTTTTTTGTAGGTGGACCTTCGAATACTCTGCCTTCACTCTCTTGGCCTGAGAGGTTACTTATTGCACAAGGAACCGCTCGCGGCTTGATGTATATACATGAGTACAGCCCGAGAAAGTACGTTCATGGCAACCTGAAATCAACTAAAATCCTGCTCGATGACGAATTACAGCCTCGCATCTCAGGCTTTGGTCTTACACGTTTGGTGTCAGGTTACTCCAAACTCACCTGTTCGCTATCCGCCATAAGGCAAAGCTTAGACCAAACCTACTTAACCCCTGCTACAACGGTGACAAGAATCACAGCTCCCTCTGTTGCTTACCTTGCACCTGAGGCTCGAGCTTCTTCTGGTTGCAAATTATCTCAGAAGTGTGATGTCTATTCGTTTGGGGTTGTCCTAATGGAGTTGCTGACTGGACGTTTGCCCAATGCTTCCTATAAAAACAATGGCGAAGAACTCGTGCATGTTGTGAGGAACTGGTTCAAAGAAGAGAAGCCGTTGGCTGAGATTTTAGACCCGGAGATTCTGAACAAAGGTCACCCAGATAAGCAAGTTATTGCAGCTATTCATGTTGCCTTGAACTGCACGGAAATGGATCCAGAGGTTCGTCCGAGGATGAGATCAGTGTCTGAGAGTCTCGGCCGAATCAAATCGGTCTGAGCTCGTTTCGAGGTAACTCAGAAAGTAAGTTCAAATTTTTGCATTTCCGTCGAGTGTAAAATTCATGCACCATCATGCTTTGCTTCTCTATGAGTGAGTAATATCTTTTTGGCATGTTGTAGGGTTTAGGGATCCTGATCATCATGTAGTCACTCTCCTTTGTTGTACATTTGTAATAGATGAAGGACAGTACTTCATTGTTTCTTGGTTTTAACATTTAAGCCTTGACCCTCTTTCTAGAATATCAAATCAAGTCGCTTTAACATATACTATAACCTACAATTAGATCTTTTAATGTAGCATTAACAATGATGTGTGTTTCAAGAGAACACAAAACGGATATTAGATCATAAGACAGGTGAATTAATACTAATGTTTTGTTTTTCTTTAGAAACCACCAAGCTAGCCAATGTTATAAGTTAACGCACATCAGTTACAACTTAACATGGTCTAAAAAAAAGTTCCTTCACAATATAAATACTCAATTAACGAAACATTGCAAACCATAAAATAAAGAATAAAGATGGCTTCCCATAGGAATCTGATAATGCTTGTCACACTATCGTTGCTCATGAAAGTAGCGTTATCTCAAAACGGTGTAGTGATGGGTAAGAATATATTCAAATGGTGGGAAATGTTTCCGAAAATATTTGTATACGTCTCCAACGATATCGAAGGTGGTTTGGACCTACATTCTAGTTGCATTGAGAACGGAAATACGGTTGTTCGTTACCGAGGATTAATTTTACCGGGACGTACGAGAGAATTCGTTCATTTCGAGAAAACTTTCTGGGGACGAAATCGCTATGTTTGTGAATTTAGATTTGGGGGTGAAACACAAACACATCGTTTTACTATTTATAGAGATAGCAGAGATAATATTAAGAAATATCAGTGCAGACACTGTTTTTGGTCTATCAGAAGGAATGGACCTTGTGCTCTTAATTCACATACTGGAAGATATGATATTTGTTATGCTTGGGATAGATAAACAAATTATATATGTTTTGTTATTTATGTGGTGATAATAATTATATAATAATAAAAGTTACTATTTGAATTTGAACTCATTCAAATTTATGATTATTATGTAATGGTTTAGTGAATATGTGGTGTGGTGTGGTCTAACAAGTTTTACTAACTAGGTAAAATTAAATAGCATAAGATTAAACAATTTATTTTGGTAACAAAATTTAAGAATTAAAGTTGGTGTTTGTTATAAAAATTAAAACGACTTTTTTTTTTTTTGATTTTTTTTTTAAATCTTGAGATATCAAAACCAAATTTTGTAAATACGCTAAAATATTTCAAATTTAAATAACACAATATTTAGTCTATAAATAAACTTATAATGATTTATATTATATAAGAAAGTAGCATTTACATTATTCATAAGTTTAGGCTCATAAATTTGCGGTTCATTGTAAATGTTTATAATATATTAAAGGGTGATGAACTAATACTGTTTAATTAAGAATAAGTAGTAATATATGAAATTAAAGTGCTTAGCAAGAAAAATAGTATAACTAAATAAATAAAAAATAAAAAATGAGATTAATTTTGAGCTTGAAACATAAGCATAAGCAGTAAACTCTCTCAAGTGACCCTGCCTTCACTATCTTGGCCTGAAAGGTTACTTATTGCACAAGGAACCGCTCCTGGCTTGATGTATATACATGAGTACAGCCCGAGAAAGTACGTTCATGGCAACCTGAAATCAACCAAAATCTTGCTTGATGACGAATTACAGCCTCGCATCTCAGGCTTCGGTCTTACACGTTTGGTCTCAGGCTACTCCAAACTCACAGGTTCGATATCCGCCAATAGGCAAAGCTTAGACCAAACCTACTTAACCTCAGCTACAACGGTGACATGAATCACAACTCCCACTGTTGCTTAGCTTGCACATGAGGCTCGAGCTTCTTCTGGTTGCAAATTATCTTAGAGAGAGTGTGATGTCTATTTGTTTGGGGCTATCTTAATGGAGTTGTTGACTGGCCATTCGCCCAATGGTTCCTATGAAAACAATGGCGAGGAACTCGTGCATGTTGTGAGGAACTGGGTCACAAGGAAGAGCAGCCGTTGGTGAGATTTTAGACCCGGAGATTCTGAACAAAGGTCACGCAGATAAGCAAGTTATTGCAACCATTCATGTTGCCTTGAACTGCACGGAAATGGAGGTTCGTCCGAGGATGAGATCAGTGTCTGAGAGTCGGTCGAATCAAATCGGGCTGAGCTCGTTTCGAGGTAACTCAGAAAGTAAGTTAGAAATTTTGCAATTTCGGACTGATCATCATGTAGTCACTCTCCTTTTATTGTACATTTGTAATAGATGAAGGAAAGTACTTTATTGTTTTTTGGTTTTAACATTTAAGCCTTGACCCTCTTTCTAGAATATCAGATCAAGTCGCTTTAACATAACCTATAATTAGATCTTTTAATGTAGCATTAACAATGATGTGTGTTTCAAGAGAATACAAAACGGTTATTAGATCATAAAACAGGTGAATACTAATGTTTTGTTTTAGAAACTACCAAGCTAGACATTGTTATAAGTTAAACGCACAGTCAGTTACAACTTAACATGGTAAAAAAAAATTAATTCACAATATAAATACTCATTTAACGAAACGTTGCAAACCATAAAATAAAGAATAAAAGATGGCTTCCCATAGAAAACTGATAATGCTTGTGATACTATCGTTGCTCATGAAAGTAGCATTATCTCAAAACGGTGTAGTGATGGGTAAGAATATATTCAAATGGAGTTTTTTCCCGAAAATATATGTATACATCAGAAACGATATCGGAGGTGGTTTGATGCTACATGCTAGTTGTTATAATAACATACATGGGTATGCTCGTGACCGAACATTTTTACCGGGGCGTAGGACGGAATTCGCTCAATTCACAAAAAGTTTCTGGGGACGAACTTACTATGATTGTTTATTTAGATTTGGTGCTCGCAAACGTCGTTTTACTGTTTATAGAGATAGCAGAGATAATATTGATAAATATCAGTGCAGAAACTGTTTTTGGTCCATCAGAAGGACTGGACCTTGTGCTCTTAATTCACATACTGGAAGATATGATATTTGTTATGCTTGGGATAAATAAACAAATTATAAATAAACATATTATACAAATATGTTTTGTTATTTATATGGTGATAATAATTATATAATAATAAAATTTACTATCTGAATCATGCTCATTATTATGCAATGGTTTAACTTTAATGAATATGTGCCTGCTGTGGTGTGGGCTAAGACTTTTTACTAATACCACCCACTTCAAATTTAGAACATGATGTAAATATAATATGACCTTTGTTAATTAATAGTGGAGAAATCAATACATTTCTTATGTTTTGAATTCGGACCGATTAATATATGTATAAATTAATAAATATCATAGTTCTAACGTTTTTAATTTTATAAACGTTTCATTGTAAAAAAAAATTTCACGACTAATTAGTAAATTACTAATGTTGAAGAGAATCTCATTGACCATGTGAAAATTGTGTCAAATCTCGAGATCGGACGACGGTCGTGTCGGCTTCTTTCTCTGTAGGAAGCAATTCGTCCGCACGGGATTACTCCCGTATTATTTTCTTTAATGGCAAAGTAACGGTCAGATCTGTGTCTGTTGGACGGTTGATCGGTAAGGCGTAGAGAAACTCAGGTAGGCTCGTATACAGACAAACATTACTCCATTAGGTTTACAAGGGTAAAACTGTACTCTCGGAGACAAGGAGCCGATTTGTTTAAGCTTTGATCCCGCCTGTGATGCAAAATTTGAAATTTGTTTCACACGTGTGAGAGAGCCTTCTCTCACACGTGCCAGCGCCTTCGGATTTGTTTCCTCATTATAATCCCGCTCAGGAGACGACCTTCAAAGATTGCCCAGATCGTCACTCTCCCCAAGAAAAGCTCTCTGCTCTCTCTCTCTCATTGTCTCTCTACACAGTTGAAGAGACCGTTTTGGAGTTCCTCAATAGCTTTATTGAAGATTCAAAGGTGAAAACAATCCATGGTGTTTCTTCTATTTGATTGCGTTTATAGACGTTAGGAGTGGTTTTAACGGTGTTCTTGTGATTCGATTTGAAACTTGAAACGGGTGGTTTGTGATTTGATTTTGGGATTTATTTGTGAGAAATTAGATTTGTGTTCTCCGTTTCTTGATATTATTCTGGAAATTTGTGATTGATTTTTAGGAGAAATGAGCGATTTGATTTCTGCGTAAAACCCTAGGGTTTCTTCAAATCTTGGGGAATTTCTCTAATTGAATCTACGTTCTTGTTTTTTCAGCGACGTTATCATAATGCCAGAAGCAAGAGACCGAACCGAGAGGCCTGTGGATTATCCGGCTATATTTGTCAACAGACGCAGTAACGGTGTGTTACTTGACGAGCCAGATTCACGGCTTAGTTTAATTGAATCTCCGTTGAATCCAGAAACTGGGTCAATTGGACGAGGATCTTTGGTTGGAACAGGCGGGATTGTGAGAGGCAATTTCAGTTCATGGAGGCCTGGTAATGGCAGAGGTGGTCACAGTCCATTTAGATTGGCACAGGGAAGAGAGAATAATATGCCCATGGTACCTGCTAGGCGTGGAAGAGGTCGTAGTTCGTTGCCTTCATGGTATCCAAGAACACCTCTACGTGATATAACTCATATTATGCGGGTAATTTCACCAGCACTTTTGTGTTTACCTGTTGATTCTTCTGTGTATAATCAGTTTTGGTCTGGCATGGATTTTGCTTTGCAGCTTGGTTAATTGTTTTTTGCTGAGTCTTAGTTTCCTCCATTTGAGCTGAATTAGGATTCTGCTACTGATAGGTTTGTTAAAGGGTAGCTGTTTCTTACTAATCATAACAGGCTTGCTTAGCCTATCTGATAAAGTTGAATAGTAGAACTGTTGCCATAAGGCTTGCTTAGCCTGGCGATTTATTGTGTTTACACTCTTGAACTACAGGCTATTGACAGAAGAAGAGGAGCTGGGATGGGAGGAGACGATGGCCGAGATATTGAGATCCCAACTCATCAACAAGTTGGTGTTCTTGAATCTCCAGTACCACTGTCAGGAGAACATAAATGCTCAATTGTGACTCCTGGTCCATCTGTGGGATTCAAGCGTAGTTGCCCACCATCAACTGCTAAAGTCCATAAGATGTTGCTTGACATCACGAAAGAGATAGCTGAGGAAGAAGCAGGCTTCATCACACCCGAGAAGAAGCTACTCAATTCTATTGACAAAGTTGAGAAAATTGTGATGGCCGAAATCCAGAAATTGAAGAGCACTCCTCATGCTAAAAGGGAAGAGCGGGAGAAGAGAGTACGGACGTTAATGTCAATGCGATGATCCACATTTAGGAGGAGAGACCAGAGAGGTATCTGCTTAAAGGTGCCTGCACAGTGAGTACATCATCTTCTTATGATATCACAGATGGATCTATAGGTCATCCTCTGATGACATATCTTCACAAGTTCGGTGATTTCTTAGACTTGTATCATTTTCTGATGATTTTACTAGAAGCGTCAATCATCTTTTGACGATTTTTATAGGATACTCGTTTTGAAAAATCATTGTTCTGATGGTAGAATATAGATCACGAATCATCTGCTGATGATGATATCATAGGAAAGGTGATAATAGTTCACACATTTCATATCTGAAGTGTCGTTACTTGTAGACGATTTTGGCTTGTAGAAGAATTTCATTCTTGTTGTACTTTGAATAATTGAGTTGTATATAAGTATTGAATTTTGGTTTTATTGCTTGAAACTGGTGACATCCGTTTGCCTATCTATCTCTGTAGACTTGATCTCGTTGCTAAATCCCAAAAGTTCTGTAAAATATATTATAAGTTTTCTACCCCAATCATTGACAAACAAAATTGTTAAAAAGTTAGCAAATAATTTAATTTGACTTAATCAAAAATGAACAAGCACTAAACCTAATTCAATTGTGTATAATCAGTGATGTATATAGTAAATTTTGTTGGAGTAAGATTTTGACTTTCAAGTGTTAAATCTTGTTTCACGTAAGAAATATCTTTACTTCAGGATTCAAACAACTAAGATTCGTTACTCTTTGGATTGAAGACTTGATACTTAGTAGAATTTGAACAACACTCATGAACGACCAGAGAACATAGTTATGTATTATATAGAAGCAACACCAACTGAATCAGTACCAAGAATATTAACAGTTAAATAGAGAGAAAAAAACGAGTTCCTTCGAAAATAAATAGATTCCAGTGTCTTAAGGTGCCAAAATGAGGAGTTTTCAATCACCCAATGACATCTAAACACAATGACACAAGACGAGAAAATATTCAGAGCATGTCATCAGTTTTGGTGCGTTCTCTTTTTTGAGGTTTTAGACAAGAGCAGGATACTGCTTGGACTGCAGCTTCACCCTTTTCTTGTACTCAACTGGATCCTGCACAATCATCAACAATCACTCGGCTTAGTTCCTTCCTATGTTTCAAAACCTATTAAAAGTGTAAAGAGTTTTCGTTTTCTAAGCGTACCTGACAGAAAAGATGATAACCATCGGTCTGTGCAGGATCAGCAGGATTAGGTGTGTCAAGTAAATCCTGAATACCAACAAGAATCTGCTTCACGGTGATGGCTGGTCTCCACCCCTATAGATATACACATAACAAAAGAGAGCTTGAGGGCAAAGCTGGATTTGCTCATGGAGAAATGCAAAAGAAACCCAAGAATACTTACGTAATCCTCGTTAAGGATGGAGAGACAGACAGTTCCAGATGGATAGACATTAGGGTGGAAAAACCCTTGTGGGAATTTGCATTTCGGAGGTTTGCTCGGATAATCCTCACTAAAGTGCATCGTTAATGGGAAGAATCCACCTTCCCAATCAGTCTGCAGCAGAAACATATCAAATTAGCTATGAACAATAATAGTAAAGATTGATATTAGCAACACTCTTATTAGTCATGTCGAAAAAATTCCAAGTAAAATCAAAGTAAGGCAGAGTTCAGATTCAATGTCGTATTCAAGACCAAAATCATATTCACCAATAAAAACCATCAGATAGATAGCTACTCTTTCCACTAACATCCATATTAGATAATCTTCCATGTTTCTATGTGTATGCAAAAGAATAATTAACATGAGAGAATAATCAAACAGAATCACAAAGTAAAAAAAAGGGAAGAGATTGGTGAAGCTTAGATGCTTGAAGACATCAGGATCAGAAGATGATAAAAACAAAGACTTACAGTCCAGATCAATAAACCCTAATTTCAACTCTTTATGTAGCTAACTAGCAATCAGAAGTAAAACAAGCAGATGTATAAGAAAACTGAAGAACCCTAATTTGGCGATTGATACTTACCCCAGCTTTACCAGGTATAGTGCAATGCCACACCATTAGATTCACGGTTCCATCCTGCCCCGTCTCCGGCTTTGCCACAAAACCCTAAATTTCACCATCAACAAGAAGAAACCCAATCAGGATTCAGAGACCAAAAACAATCAAAAGAAACCCAAAACCCATAAATCAAAATCACGAATTTGGAGAAATAGAAAAACGAAATCACTTACATGAGGATGATTCTTCCTCCACGATTTCCTCTCTTCAGCTAAACGACCACGAGCGATTCCACTAGCCATATCTCTCTCTTTCTCTCTAGAAAATCTCACTCTACAATATCTCAATCTCTCTCTCTCGCCTGATTTGTCTCGCTCGCTCTCCAATCTCTATCTCTCTATATAACTCGAAGAAGACACCGAGGAGATTGGGGGCAGAAGGAATGTGAAGTTACAGATTTACCCCTAAGTTAAAGCCTTAGAAGGGTAATCGGAGTATCGTACGGTCCAGATTTCGCGGCGAATAAATGTCCTTTCGTCCTACTTCCTCCACTTTAATGGATATTGACCGGTCAATTATTTAATTTTAACCAATTATAATTATTATCTATCATAAAAACAAAATAAAAAGACGTGAAGAAAAAGTCAATGGATAAAATGTGGCGTGAAACCTACGCGATGAAACCCAAAAAAGCTACCAAAAGATTCTTTCTCTGCCATAACGTATCCCATTTATCACGTGGCCCATTACCAAATCTGGGCCCATTAATTTTGTGTTCTTAACTCTTAAGCTTGCTTCGATTATTCCCTCTTCTTCTTAAATTCTTAATGGTGGTGGGTCAGTGTAGAATAAGTATCTCTTTACAAGTTGCAAACCAATTGTCAAATAAAATTCTAAGGTTTGGGTAAGATTGTTATTTAGCTGTATATCCCCATTATGATTTTTTATGGGTTAAACTTTTGTCTTGAAACTTGTATTTGACCAATAGGCAAACCATTGTCAACCTCTAATCTCACTAGCAACCAACCAGCGGCACCAAACTCCTAAAGCTCCAGTGATAAACACAAAAACCAGAGAGGCAGAGATTATGACTTACTAACCAGAGACAAGAACATCAAAACCACACAAGATACTTCTTTACTACTTTTAAACAAAAGTCTTAATAATGCTAAAGGACAAACGGAGACATCATAACCATCAACAAGAAAAGTCATCATGACATTTAAACAAGAACGAACTACAAGTCTGGAGGAATTTTCTTTGGGATTGGAAGCAGTTTTTTGCAGGTCAGAGCATGCAATCAGTTCTTGCAGGAAGCCTCCTGAAGAAATTGAGAGGAACAGATGGTAGTTTGTATCTGAACCTCGGATGTCTCAGAACATAGATTCCAATACAAAGAGCCACAACCTGGAAAGGTGTCACATAGAGAATAACTGCTGCAATCAAGCAGAACAAGACGAAGAGCGCTGTGGCACGCGGATCACGCCAGCTTAGCAGAGACTGAAGCCTTTCTCCTTGAGTTGCAAGATCACCTACCACTGTCTGAATCCTCCCAGCAATACTCCTCAACCTGTCATACCTCATCCTGACGATGTCAGATGGTCGGGAAGTAGGAAAAGTGTCGAACTCTTCATCTAGCTCGTCGGGGTGGGCTGAGTCAGCGTGAGAGAGACGTGTGTCCATGTGAGGAGGATGCCTCGGTCTCCAACGGTAATACCAGACACCGATGAGGAAGAGGTAGAGGAAGATGGTGGGCAAGATTAGTTCGGGATAGAGCACAAGGATGATGAACAAGAGATGGATCAAGACTGTTGTGATGGGATTCTTCCAGTTGCAGATCTGTTCGAACCATTTTCCTACTGCGATTAACCCACTCAAAACTCCCATAATCCTGAAAAAGTTTGCTTTGCTTCTCCGCATACTCCACATGTGAGAACCCACATCAAGCATATACTCAACTACTTCTTTCCTTAGAGGCGGTTCTGCTCGGGTCAACCTCATCGATACAATCTGAGTCGCTTGATGCCTCAAGTTATCAAGCTGGCTAACCGTTAGAGGATGAATGTAATGCATCTTAGGTAAGAGAGGCAGTGAGTACATATACATCATGTTGAGCAATGAAGAGCAAGTGAACCTCACAGCCAAGTGAATTTCTCCCATTTTCTTGACTCCGTTAGGATGGAGCACCAAAAGAGGGTATGAATGTGTGTAAACTCGATCAGTCTCGAGAGTAGAAAGCCTGATTCTTACCTTCCCAATTCTTGAATCTTTTGCTCCTCCATTCTTCTCACCTCCATGGAGATGGCAGTTATCAAAAACTCCAACAGTAACAACGGTACACGGATCAAAAACCTCCCAAGTATATTGCTCGTTCCATCTTGGTGTAAAGCTGTCAATGATTGTCCGAGTTCGAATCCATTTCTGTCCGTACTTCGCCACACAATATGCATCTGTGGTTCCCCTACCGTCTTTGGTTTTCATAGGCATTAGACCCGTCGCATTTAGTATTCCTAATTCCAGTACACCAATATTAGGCTTCCATAGTTGCTTCGCTGTTGGTCTAAGATCACTGCTGTAATGCGTAGACTCATCAAGAACGTGATACCCTCCTTCTAAACAAATTCTCATGTGAATCCTGCTAGCGAATTTGGTCTCCTTCTTCTCTCCATCGACCATAATATGCTTCTCGAGGTTATACCACCTGCTGTTCACTGGTTTGTGGTCAAATCTTCTGTCTAAATACTGCAAGGGGATCGCACATCTCCCCAAGACTTCGTCTTTGTTAGGAGCAACTCTGTCTTCCACACTGAGGATCAAAGGTTCCTCAAATGGCTCTGCTGCTACAAACATCAAATCCTCATTCCACATCGGATTAATAGTCCTGCTCTGCGATACTCTAGTCCTCAATGCCTGGTTTCCCACTATAGCCTTCACATAAACCTCAGGATATCTTTGCTTATCACTTGGTATCAAATCTTGAGCTTCAATTACATTAACCCTGAGGTACCAAAGCTTAGGAGAAAGATAAACCTTGGAACGGATGTTGGCAAGAGCATCAGTACCACTAACTGTTGCAGCATCAGAGTGCCAAGCTTCAGGAAAAGCTTCATCAGCTTGAGTACCAAACCAAACAGCCAACATAAGCTCTCCCTTGACTTTATCACCTTTCCTATCCTCGAGCCTATACCATTGCGGGGCCAAGGGACTATCAGGAGGAACTCTCTTAGGTACCTCATTCAAATCAAAGACAACCCGACCAATCAAATCATCTTTCACAAAATCCTTGTCCTTGACAGTAGCTTCAAGGAAAGAAGCTTGAATCCTATCTTTAGAAAAGGCGAAAACTTGGTTCCACTCAGGATTAGATTTCTTCTCGAAATGCCTAGTGGTTCCTTTGTAGTTTCCAAGCTTAACCTCAACATAAGGGTCACAACTACCAGTCATATCTTTCCCAGGTAACTCCTTTGCCTTAACCACACGGACATAAAGATACTGCATCTGCTCGACGAGGTCATAAGTGCTGGTAAGCTTATCTCCAGAGATTTTTCCTCCACCGAGATGAGGTCTCGTCTCCTTCAAGGAGAAATCTTCAGGAGGTGGTCTCTGCATCTTGCAGGCTTTAAGAAGACACTGAACAAAGTTCCTACAAAGTTCCATAAACCACAAAAACGATAATTAAAACATTCTTATTCAATATTAGCTAAAATGAGTAAAAACAGATTAGACTTACAAATGGGTTTTGTGGGTTTGAGAACACAGCTACTTTCTTCTCCACTTCAAATCACTAGATCTGAGATAAACACAACATTTCAAAGAGAGTTTAGTGAAATAAACCCAGGTTATAGGTAGGTGATGAAAATGCAGAGAAATAATAAAGTGGATTTCAAGTTGAAAAAGAATCTCGAATAAAGCATCGTATATTTTTCTAGATCTTAAACAAAGAAACCTCGTTAGTATCTCCGAGGTAGAATCTAACGGCACAAAATCATGAATCCAAAATAAAAAAATAAAGAGAAACAGAGTTTTCAACTTCATCGAGAGAAAACATACTTTTTTTTTTCTTCTCGGAAACACAAACCAAAAACAATGACGCAACGCGAATTACGCTTGGGGGTGAAGAAGATTTAAAACCCCATCTCTTGTTTTAATTTTTGTTTCTCGATTTCAATGAGAGACAACACCAAACACAGAAAACGACAGAGAGAAAATAAAAGCAGAGAGCATGCGAGTAGGAGAAAACAGCCATTAGAGTAAGTTACAACTAAGAAAAAACAGAGAATCCTCAAAATCCATAGAAAAAGAGGCAGTTAGGCGAGAATCAACTAAAAAAAAAAGGAAACCTAAGAAGACAAACCTTAGATCTTCAGTATTATACAGAAGAAGCATGGATCAGAATAAGAGACCGATTAAGACAGTCTCCTCCTCCATAAATAAATAATAAAGAGTCAGTAGTCTCCTCTCTTCTTCCTCGTTTTTTTCAACCCCGAATTAAATTTAAAAAAAAAAGAGAAGAAGACAAGTAGTAGTAAAAAGCAGAGGAGGATGATAGATAGGCACTGGGGAAACTTCTAGAGAGAGAAAAGAAGAAGAGTAAAATTCAAGAGAGTTTTTTTTTGTGCTCTCTCTCTCTCTCTTGTTTTGTTGTCGTCTTCTTCTTCTTTCCTTCGCTTTTTCTACAGTTTCCTTTTTTCTCTACCCGGTGAAATAAAATAAATAAAAAAAGACACGCAAGGCACTACAAAATCGAGGTGGGGTCCACTTAAAAAATAAATCACGCAAGACATACTTCTCTCCGTTTTGAAATCCCCCTATACACGTGTGGAGACGACGGTTCTGCGTAATCTTTCAACGGCGGTCAATTTAAAATTAAAAAAAAATAATCTCTATTATAATTAACTTACTATTATGGGATTTTAGCAGGCGAATTATTGCATAATTGTGCAATTAATTTGACAACTCAAGAAAATGAAAACACTATGGAAGAAGAAAGAAGGAGTCATTGGATCCCTCCGTGTTTTGCAGTCTCCCGTTTTAGTGAAGCATACGTACATTTATACCAAAAGCCGTATTTTGCTTTTTGGGGTCCCATTTCGTTTTATCTTGTTCTCTGGTCAATACATGGCTTTTTTTTTAATCTTTCTTTCTTTCAAAGTTTACCTTAAACGTCTGAATCTCAATCACCATCATAATTCATCCATTTATCTGTTTTATCTATCTACTCATGTGCATGTTTTTTTACTTGATATAGGATTTTCATCTTCGTTTATCCAACCAAACCAATAAATGGATTTTTTCATTTGTATTTGTCATGTGACTTTCTTGCTTTGCTGGTCACTGCTTTTGCTTCTTTACAAGTTTTTCTTTTCTTTCTATAAAAAAAAACATCATGATGTGTTCAAGAAAATACTTTGGGTAAAATTCCAAATGTGTATTACCAAATGGATAAAACAGGACTATTGAGTAGGCCTGGGCAAAAAAAACCGCTAACCAAATAACCGACCGAACCGAACCGAAAAAAACCGAACCATATCCGAACCGAAGTTTTTAAAATAACCGAATGGTTAGTAAAATCCCCTATCCAAACTAACCGAACCGAACCGAACCGATAACCAAACGGTTAACCGAAATATCCAAAAACCTATAAGATACCCAAAAATAATATCCAAAACTATAATTATAAACTCAAAGTATTAAGTATTTTTAGAATCAAAACAATCAAATACTTTAAATAATCAAAATATCCAAATATTGTTTGTTATATTTGTCAAAGTTAAATACTCTTTTACAAAATTGAATCAAATTTTAATTTTTTTCTAATATTTTTCTTTTTTTGTATTTTCTTTTTGTATTTTTTTTCGGTTAATTTTGGTTAGTTTCGGTTATATTCGGTAAATTTCGGTTAATTAGGGTAAAAACCCGAACCAAACCGAACGTGATAAAAGTTTGGTTAGTTACGGTTATCTATTTAAATATCCAAACCGAACCGAACCAGAAAGTAACCGAACCAAAATTCTTAAAATATCCGAATGGTTATTATATTACCATATCCAAACTAACCGAAACCGAACGTAACCGAACCGAAACCGAATGGTTAACCGAACGCCCATGCCTACTATTGAGTTTAAAACACGTTAGCGAACTCTTCTTTTGTCTTGGTATTTACTTTATTAGGTATAAACCGAAAATGGAAATCATCCACACTTTCGGAGCAATCGTTACAAATATACGATTATCTTTCTACCGACTAATGTGGACTAAAAATAATTCAGTTTACAAAACCAAGTTTTGGAATATCTAAATAGGTAGGTATACGGACAAAATGTGTCCATTTGTCAGCAAAGTTTTCTTTATTATCTAATTATACTAAATCAACAGTCATTTTTACAATAACTGATGCATTATCTGATTGACACATCAGCTTAGTACAATTTTCTTACTCTTTTTTTTTTTCACGGAGGATTTTGTTTCTAATAATTATAACAAAAAGAAATCGTTTTTATTTGGTTTTTTTTTTTTTCAAAACCCTTTTTTCTTTCATCCCCACGATCTCCACTTCTTCCATTTCTTCTCCTCCAAAATTTCGATGGCTTCTGTATCTATAAAAGAAAAAGATGGTCTTCTCTAATCATACATCGATTAGTCTCAGAAATCAGTTACTTTTTTCACCCCAAAGGTATCAATTTACCATCTCCAATTTCAGTTTTTTATTTTGTTATAGCTGTCAAAGATTGCTAATATCATACTTAATAAATAATGTTTCAATATATGTGTTTATGTGTTTACAGTTTCGCCAAATACGTCTTCAAGCTCAAGCAAGCATTCAAGAGCTTCATTTTCCTTGGCAGATCAAAAAACAATTGCAGATTTTTATTCGGTATTATCCAATTTTCTATGTTTTGGATCAGTGTTTAACTTTCTCCTTAGATCTACAAAGCATATACAGTACATAATGATTTTGTTACATGATTCAGTTACGAACCCAATCCAAAAGGAATCCAACGTGTTCTTTTAATTTTCAATCAATCCTTACATTACCATCTCCAATTTCAGTTTTTTATTTTGTTATAGTTGTCAAAGATTATTATATATGTCATGCTTAATAGATTACGTTTCAATACATTTGTATATGATATATGTGTTTACGTCTACACGTTAGCAATCTCACCTTGATTCACGTTTAATTGCTTATCACTTTTCCATGGTCTCTCTCAACATAAAACCCTCACTTTTCTGGGTAATTGAAGGGAACAGGAGAAAGAGATAGGGGAGATGAGAGTGAGATTCTACCTGGCAATTGTCTTACACGTGTATTTATTTTCACCCCAACCAAATTAATTAGATTAGTAGCTTATTTTTTATTTTTTGGTTTTTTGTTACAACTTTATGAAATATACATACTATCTTACATTAGTATTTGATTAAATTTTCCAATTATTAAAATATTTTAGATTATACCAAAATAAATGTTTGATGCCAAAATATATTTGGATTTTAATAAAAAAAAATACTATGTCCGTGCATTAGCACGGGCCTAATGCTAGTATTTGTATAAAACAAGAGTTGGACATAATATTAGTAGTTAAATTGCATATGTTTTATCTGTTGCCAGCTCTAATAATTCTTAAACTACTTCTTAGTATCGAAATGGTCTCGTGGTCGTGGCACCTTTAATTCCGCAGAGGCCGTCTTTTACTTTTCGTTCTATCTTTATGATGTGCCACCGATTAATTAAGCGAATGCTTCTGCTCCAAGTATTTGGACATAATTTAATCAAAAGTAGCAAATCTAATTAAATACTTCTGCTCCAAGTATTTGCTAATTTACACGGACCATAAATCTAATTTTAAAAGAGGAAAAAAAGACAGGGAAGATCTTGGTAGTCGCTGAATTGACACGTGTCGTTCATGCTTCGATCAGATTTGTATAGCTTCGACTTGAAGGATTCCAATCCACCGTTTACCCCTGAGTTACCGACTACGATCATATTTTTTTTTTTGATAAACCCAACTACGATCATAATTAAAACTAATATAATTTGATAATTGTAATAAGAAGACAAATTTGCTAAAGTAACACTTTGCAAATTGTAATCCATATCTTATCACATCTAAAAAAATATAGTTGTAAGAGAGATGTAAACACCTCTTTTTTAGCTCTCGATTACAAATATATAGAAAGTGATTAATGCGTTAAACTTTGTAACCAGTTACCAAATTATACTAGTGATTGACCCGCGGTACACCGCGGGACGATATTTTATAACAAAAAAATGAAATTTTAAGTTGTATTTGTTTTGTTAATATTATTTGTTTTGTTTAGTGTTTAAGATTGTATAAGTGTATTTTGATTGTTAATTATGGGATTTCACCCGTAGTATACCATCCCGTATTAATATTGACCATAACCCTTCCCACCATATAACCCCATCCCGTGAAATTAAACATTATTTTGTCATTTTCTCATAAAATTCCAATATATATAATATTTTATCGATCCAAACTTCATAATTGTATTTTGATTGTTATATCTAGGATTTGACCCGTAATGTACCGTCCCGTATTAATATCTTTTTATAAATATTTATAAGGTTTAAACTTCTTATAAATTCATATAAAGTTCAAATATTTATAATATTTGAAACTTTATACAAAATTTAATATTATATATATTTAAATATTTTATAAAGTTTAACTTTTTAAAAAGCTTACATAATTACAATATTTAAATTTTAATAAAATTTAAATATTTATAATATTTTGAATTTGTATATATAACATTAACAAAAAAATATTATTTCGTATTAAAGATGTATGATTACACTTTTGGATTGTTAGATTTAATCCATAAAACATATGTATTTTAGTAACTCAATTACACATTTAGATATTGACCCGTGGGACAATTTTAACTTTTTAATTTTGTTCTTCATAAATTTATGATTTTCATAGTATATAAAACTAATTGGTGGTGTATGATTTTTGATAAATTTAGCTCTTATAGTTAAATGTAGTATTATTTATATTCATATGTATAACAAAATATTTATTAAAGTAAATAAAAGGATTTGTAAAATTATTCACAAACCAAAAATTCAGCCCATTTTCATGGATACGGGATCTTTGTTTAAACTGAAAATTATAAATCTTTTTTTTCTTTTGATTTTTTGAACTTTTTATTAAAGTAAAAAAGTATTTGTAAAATAATTCACAAACCAAAAATTCAGCCTGTTTCTATGGAACAATAAAAAGATTACACCAATTCCAAATCATTTTTTTCAAAAGTGTTTAGTATCTCCGATCAATAAGAATAAAGCAAGAACCTATCAAAGCCAGAGAGAAAGAGAGGGTTGATTACCAACTCGAGTTTTGTGGGTCTCGACCCGTACGCAGACCCGTTCTTAAGTAATATATAAAATCGGTCGCTCGGGATACGATTCACTTCCACCAGCCCTAACCGCTACATCCAAGCTACAAACGCCACATTAAAAAAAAACAAAAACTTTCAATTCCCACATAAACCCTAATCAGACATTAACCAAAAAGAAGACAAAGAGTGCCATTAACGTTACCGTTGATGCTGGTCTCGATTTCTAGGGCGGTCCATCCAAGTAATAAATCTGACCGCAAACCATCATCGCCGGTGCCACCGTACCTGAGTGGTCAACTTTGAAATCAGACCGATTGTGAGCCGTAATACTTCACGTCTTTCTTTCTACAAACCTGCTTGTGTATGCAAATCCATCCTGCAATCATACGTAAATGTAAACAACATTAATATTTTTATAAAAATCGAGCCACAGAAGAAAAAAAACAGGGGTTAGTTGTGATCTAAAAGTGACTACCAAGCAAGGTATTTATATGAAATTAAGAGGGCGGTGTAATATCTACAACAAAAAAGGAAGATTTATATATTTTTTAAGAAGCGAATCTTTATCATAACAATTGATATTTTAAAATTATCTTATTCAATATTATACATATTAATTTTAAGTAACGTTTCGTTTTATTTTAAGATAAAGATGGAATACATAATAACATAACGATTTAGATTTACTACTATATTTAACATTGTTTAGATTCACCGTCATTATCGACATAAAATATTAAAAATAATAATTTATTAGAGATATGAATCAGATTTAAAGAATATACGTAAGATTGTTTTGATATTTTTTTGACAATATCTACTTATCAAAAAAGGAAAATTTACTTTTTAACTCATAATTATCACAAACGATTTGTTGAGAAAGAAAAAAAAAAACAAAAAAAAGAAGAAAAAAAAAAAAGAAGAAAGGAAGACACACGACCACTCTCCGTCTCCTTCTACGACATCCCACGTTTTTCATTACGATCAATGGAGATTAATACACTTTCATCGAGTCTATATTCATTATTCGTGCATGATCCAATCAGATTAATCCAAGGTAATTTTAAAGAACACCCTCTTTTATTAGCTTGAACTGTATGATGCAGGATAACATCAATAATTCAATATGATGGTTTGAAGACTTGGCATGGGCAAGATATCGACTTTCCATCATGTCAGATTCGATCAAAAGGTGATGTTCTATCATTAAATTGTCAATTCTCTTTTGTTATATGCTATATTTTAGGTTTTCAAGTCCAGTATCTATATTAAAAATTTTACATGCGATGAAAAACATGATGAGGTACGATGAACAGCTTCTAAAGTGGTACGTAAATTACAATCGATCCATTTTTTTTAGGTTCTCTTATTTTTCGTGTTTACGAATATTTTAATTTTAGAAAATGTAAATATATCAAATATTCACATGCCAAGTCTATGTATATTTAGATGCCTAAACGATTTTATTGTTTTATTAGTTTCCATTTGTTAGATATTCTTAATATATGTTTAATAGCATTATCAAGCAATGGTAATTAAGATTTGATTACGATTAGGTTTTGGTTAGTAGTTTATATTTAGTAGATATGACCGAGATTATGATAATTAATAGTTATAATTTTAAATATTTGAATTCCATATGTTAGGATCTCAAATCTTGTAATCATAAAAATAGGAATTGTTTGTGGACTTTATTTATTGTTTTATAAATTTCATTAAGACATATATTTTTTCCAGATTTTATTTGTAGGGACTAAATGTATAATATTGAAATTGTGAAAGGATTTTTGAGGTCAAATCTTCACCAAAAATGTATATATAGATTACTCCAGAGGTTTAATTAAAGACAACGTTACCGAAATTGTTTCGTCGCAATTGTGTAAACGAATCATGTTACCATTGACATTTGGAAGGAAAGAAAAAAACTATCTTAAACGTTCGCGATAAATTGTCTTTTTTTCTTCTCAATATATTTACATAAAAAAAAAGAAAAGTTTTAATGTTTACTCGATAATACTCAGTTAGCTGATTAAATATGATAAACCCAAAAATCCAAAAGTTGATAGTGTTCACTTTTTTATAATGTTTTGAAAACGGCTCCGATTGGTGACAAAAAAAAGAACAATAGGAACAAGAAAAAAAAGGAATGAAAAGGAACAAAAAGGAAAGGAAAATGATCAAAACGAGGAACCAAAATGAACATAAGAATTGAACAAATGATTATGGTAAATGGTAACCAAAAAATTGAACAAATACAAGCGGAACATGATTGAATTGCAATGCTATTGAGTTATGGGTTTTTGTCACCTCCTCTCCCCAAACTTTCCAATTTTATACTCTCCCCGTTTTTTGATAAGTGATATTTTAAATTTCTAATTTTGTTTTTAAATAAATGTTATTTTCAATTTTAATACAAAATTAATTACATTTTTATTAGTTATGACGATTTATATTTTGTAAATTTTTTTTTTGATTGATTAGATAATAAATGATGTTTTAGTTTAGAAATAAATAAAAATTAAATGATTTCTTAATTTATGTACATTCTTCTAAAACATCACTTATAAAATAACGGAAGGAGTATTTTTTTTCTCAGTAAACCTCTAACAATATTAATTAACGGTGATAAACTTAGAGTTAAACTTTTTAGAGGAAAAAATAGAGGAAGACATTGGAGTAAAAATAGAGAAAACTCACCTCTATTATAGAGATAGAGATAAAAATAGAGAAATACATTGAAGATGGTCTTACAAGTATTTCCCTTTTCTAAAACCTAATTATGAGTTATGATTATCACCTTTTTATCTTTTGATGAACGTTTATCACCTAACTTATTGCAATAATGGCCTAACTAAAAATTAAATGCGAATTGCATTCAATTCTGAAATGGCCCTCTTTATTTAACTTCATCTGACGTGTCATAGCTCAGATCAAAGGTCAATCTACTCGTAAATCCAACGACCAAAAAGAAACGAAGCGTACATTACTAACGTACACGTGCACACACTGTAACCATCTCTCTCGCTTCGCTTCTCCTTCAATGAAATGATTCGTCACCCAAAGAAAGATCTGCAACTTCACCACCGGACCAGTCTCTCTCTATCTCTCTTCATCTCTGTCTCTCGACCTCGCGCCACGAATCAATCATGACTGAAGAACAAGACCTCATCGACCAATCACCACCGCCTTCAGCACCCGACCCTGAACCAAACCCGAACCCGAATTCAGTAATCCATCCCAGGCGTGTCTCTTTCGAGCACGGACTCCTCCCGATCCAGAAACTCGTTTTTACCGACCCGATCCAAACCTTAGCACCTGTCAAGCAGAAGCTAGCCGATGCCGCTTCTAATAACCGCGTTGGATCGGCTGCAATCGCCGACGTTCTCCAGATCTCCGGCGACCATGCGCGTCTCGTTCTCGAGACTCTCGGTTCTGTGCTTCATTCCGAGTCTGACCCTCTGGTTCGGGCGAAACCTGAGGAAGTTGATTCTGTCGGAGCTGATTTGCGGGATCTAATTTTGTTTCTGTATATTCAATCGTATAAGAAGTTGCTTCCTAGGACGCATAAGGACTCCGCCGCGGTGGCTGATGTATGGCCGTCGACTTCAGCTTTTGATGGATACTTGTCTGCGTTATCGCCAATTCAGGCAAGTTTCTTACTTTTTTTGGCCCTCTTTTTATAATGTGCCTCAAACCATATCCAATACGATCTGTTCGGTATTGAAATGGAACTGTTGTTCTGTGGTATGGAATTGGAACGTGGTAGAGAATAACTTCTTTCGATTTTTCATTGGATTTAACTGAAATTTGCAATGCAAGTTTAAGTTTTCGGAGTCATTTTATTTACCTGAAACTTAGTTAAGCAATGTCGGAAATTTGGGTGTTTCGTTGAATTGATGGTGGATATAATTTCTGATAAATGTTCGTAGCAATTTTCAATGGGGAAGATGCTTGTATTCGTAATTGACTTAGAAGGTGCATCAAGTAAGTATGCCAATGTTAATGTTGCTGAATAAGTATGTTAGTTTAAGTAATATGTACGTAATACGTGTATCTTTGCTGAAAGGATTGCTTTGTATCGCCTTTTTGTTTCGGGTAATCTACTCCTTATTCTCCTTTTTTAATTGCCACTCCCCGTTCTTTGATGACTCTGGGGCAATGGTATGTGGTATGTCTAGAAACTAAAGTCAAACAGTCATCAGCTTGCTTTGTTTTGTGGTTCGGGATCTGATTCTTTTTCCGTAGTCCCTTATTTTGGTTGGTCCTTCCATGTGGTTTATATGGCGATTATGCTAGGTGTGTTCTTGTGTTTTGACTCAGTCTCCAGTCCTGTGATGTTCTTATTCCTGTCTTTGGTATGGCTGGTCTATTGAATCTTTTAGAAAACAGTCATATAATCTTAAGCTTTTCAGTGTTTTCAACAGTCACTGTTCTTTGGTATGCTATCATTTCCCATCACGAGTCAAAACAACTTTATTGGAGCTAAAATTGTTAATTATATCTCCTCTTCATCATTTCTGCAGCTTGTTCGTAGCAACAGCCGTCGATTTATGCCATCACAAGCAGATGATGAAGCTCATCAATTGTCATATTTGCAAAAACATTTGGCAAACATCATTTCTCTCCTTGCCGAGCCTGTGGAGGGAGAAGGAGATGAATCATTGGTAAGTTCTAATCTTTCTTATTTTCTCAGGGGGTGTCACTGTTCTTCGGTACAAGAATATAAAATTCTGATGTTGGGATAAGAATATTTCAGGAAATGAAAGAGAACACAAGTTAATTTTTTTGCTTGTCCAATATCCTTCAGGTTCTCTCTATGGAGGCTTTCGAGCACCTGGGTTTTCTTGTTCAGTTTGGTGATAAAGGATCTGATGTATCTCCATTGAGCCAAGCTACTCCTTTTTTTGCAAATTCTGATCCGGATATGCCCGCTGTTCCGGTCCCCGCTTCCCAAGTGCATGACTGGCTTCTGCAAAACATAGCTTCTGCTTTAGAAAGCATTACTGAGAGAATTTCTGGAAAAGAGAACGGACCTTCTAACGATCAAGATGATGCGATGTCAGATGTTTGTGCTGCTCCAAACAAGGTTGCACCTAGTACTAGAGGCCCGTGTTTAATCGAGGGAGTCTCCAAGACTTCACTTGTTAAGCAGGCCTCCGATCTAAGGGGTAGATCTGTGAAGGTCTGACTGTTCCTTGTTCCATTTTTTCTTCCAGTCGTGGTGTCTCTGTGCACGCATGTCAACTCCTTGTTTTGTGTATTTTACAGGTTGTCAATTGCCATGATTCTGTAATTTATCTTTTAGCACCATTGCGATATGCAACTGTGCACGGATGTTCTGATACTACTATAGTTTTGGGAGCTGTTGGCAAGGTATGGAAACAATGCTTCTTCCTTCTTTATCTTTTTCGGAGATAGTCAAAGCAACATTTAACAAGTTATAATATCTGCCAACTTTTACTAGAAGATGTAGCAAACATATTTCTTTATTTATTTCTGCAGGCATTAAAAGTTGAGCACTGTGAGAGAGTTCATGTGATTGTAGCTGCTAAACGAGTGTGCATTGCCAATTGTCGTGAATGTGTATTCTTCTTGGGAGTCAATCAGCGACCACTTATTGTTGGTGATAACCACAAACTGCAGGTGAAGCTTCTCTTCAAGATTGAGGGTTAATTTACAAGTTTTATGTCATGCTGCTCTTATTTACATTTCTGGTTATTAAGGTAAAATTTGTTAAGTGGCTAGACTTCTTACTAGCTTTAGTTAGGTTAACAAGCCGTTTCGGACACGTCATTGAGTCTAGTGGAAACAAACTTGCAGGGGTTGTCTATCTCATTACTTTATGGTTGCAGGGGTTGTCTATCTCATTACTTTATGGCATTGTAGAAAGATCATTTAGAGATACCTTTAGTCAGATGTTTTCTCAAGAAGGTTTTACTGGTTTTTAAGAATGCGGGCATTGTCAGATATTGCTTCTAGTGATTATGAGCTTCTGTTGTTTTAAAGTGATGGAATCAATTTGACTTTGTTTCAGGTCGCTCCATATAATACATTTTACTCTCATTTGGAAGAGCACATGAGTGAGGTAGGGGTTGAGCCAACTATCAACAAATGGGACAAACCATTGGCTCTGGGAGCAGTAGATCCACATGACTCACTGTCACACCCTGCCGGTGTTGCTGATGCACAGGCTGAATCAGCTGCTTCTGTAGACCCTGACCAATTTGTTAACTTTTTGGTATATTATTTTTTTTGGTCTAATTTTTACCCCAATAACTGGTGAATTCTTTTCATGAATCATCTAATGACGTCTTTATCTATGGTGTCAATGACTATGGTGCAGATCCCAAACTGGTTTAGTGGCGAGGAGACTGGTTCGACGAAAGACAATCCATTTCCATTGCCAGATACTTATATGGCAGCTCAGCAGAGAAACGTATGTTTTGATTTTAGTATGAAACCAAATAACAAATGTACTTGTAGTCTTTGTCCAAATCTGATCTCGTAACTCCATTTTGCTGTGTCATCAGCTTAAGAACTTTGAAGAAACAAGACGATCGTTAAAAGAAGCACCTTTGGAAGAAAACCGGAAACGAGAGCTATCAAGTGCACTCCATGTTTATTTCAAAGACTGGCTTTACGGTAATAACTTTTTTTGTGAATCGATCCCTACTCTACTATATTTATGTGCATCATTCATTAGGTTTTGACTTTGTCTCTGTGCTTTTGTTGCGTATTTAACAGCATCTGGAAATATAAGGCAACTCTACTGCCTACAAGGTGACTAATAAGAATAATAGACCAAGTGGAAAATGTCTCGTTCCTGTAGAGCTCCCTCGATCATATTTGGCATATTGCTACTGAAGAAACCCTCAAGACCAAAAAAAGGAGAAATCAGCCTGATTCAGTGATTTGTAGTTTGGAACCAATACGCACCACGTAACTTATCTGCACAGAATTATTCCCTTAAAAGCTTTCCTTTAGATTATCATTTTCTTGATTTCTTCTTTTGTTTCTTTGACATTTCTTCGATCCCTCGTTTTTGTTCCCCTCTCTTTTGAAAATCTCATCTCCGAATAGAGCATGAAGACTTGAATCATTATAAGTTATAACTTGTAAGCAAAACTTTTTTGATTGTCTTGTCTTGGTCTTCATAGATGTAACCGAACGCAAGAGTTAGGCTACCATGGTAGAAGCAAATTTCCGAAGCTTTAGAGCTCAGACATTTCTCATATTTGCAGAAACTACAAAAATAATTTTATTGTAGAATTATCCAGAAAATGACATGGGTAAGTGCAACAGAATATGAACATCTCCAGATACAAAAACAGGAGTTTTCTTCTACCGATAAAGCTTATTCCTTATGTCAAACGTGATCTAACAAAGAAAATTGGCAACAACGACTTAGTGGAGAACACAGTCAAACATACATAAATTAAGAACCTAATTGATCGAAAATATGCAACATTAATAATCATCCATCTTAAAAAACATTAACCATGGATTACAAGTAGAGAGAAACCGAGATTTGAATAATGTAGGAGTAGGAGCAAAACTAAACTCCTACGTTTGAAAGCTCACCACTAGTGAAGAGATTCAAGAATATTTTACCTTATGAACTCAGAAGACGGCAGAGACAGAGAAAGCCCAAATTAGGGTCCAGATAGTATTATTATTGGGCCTAATTAAAGCCCATTAATGGTTATCTTTTCTTTCTCTCTTCCTCTCTGCGCTAACGGAAGCTTCGTCGGCGATGGCAGAATCGACGAGAAATCTGACTGGACTTGGAGGAGAAGCAGCGAAAGAAGAAGATGATGACTACATGGGAGACCTATCTCAGTTTATTCCACAGGAACTTACCCAGACCTCCAAAAGAAAGGTATCTTCAGGACAAAAGTTTTCAACTTCTTCGATATATATATCCATTACTGTCAAGCTCCTGAGTCCATATTCGTCTAATTGATCACGAATATCTGCAAAATTTCGTTTATTTCCTGTGTTTAGATTAATCATCTTGAATGCTTTTGCAGGAATCTGAAAAGAAAACTGTAATAGTAGAACCATCACGGAAGAAGTTGAAGAATCTTAATTGGCACGAGAGAAGAAGATTGGAGAAAGAGAGGAAACAGATAGAAGAGGATGAGCAGACATTGGCTCGTATAGGTGACACTCCAATTGGAGAGTCTAACATAGGGTTTAAGCTATTAAAGCAAATGGGTTACAAGCCAGGTTCTGCTCTTGGTAAAGAAGGCTCTGGTATGGCTGAGCCTGTGACTATGGATATTCGAAGATCGAGAGCCGGTGTTGGAAGAGAGGATCCACATAAGGAGAAGAGGAAAAAAGAGGAGATTGAGGCGGAGATTGAGAAGAGAAAGGTGGAGGAGATGTTGGAGGATTTTGGGTCTAGACAGAAGTCTCAATGGCGTAAGAAGAGAGTTTTGATTAACTTTAGGAAGGCTAAGGCTGCTCTTGATCAACTTGAGAACGTAGAAGTTGTTCCGGAGAAGAAAAATGAGGAAGATGAGGATGGTAAGCCTGATGAAGAAGAGGAAGAGGAAGAGGAGATCACTGAAGAGGTATGTTCTCTTTAAAAACAAGAGTTGGGGCTTTTGTTGTTTTTGGTGTCTTTCATCTTTATGAGTAATGAGACTGATTGAGTAGAGTTCGAGGCTATCAGTTATGAAATCGAGAGTCGGCATTGCATTATTCTTTTGGTTGACAATTTTAGTTTTATTGGTTCAGGATTTGCAAGAAATATTAATGAAACTGAGAGATGAACATCGGTATTGCCCTTTCTGCGGGTTCCAGGTAATTGAATGCGTTCAAATCTTCTTTTATCGGTGTTTTTTCTCAACGGTAAATGTTGAGTTTGTGTAAGTATACTAACACGAAATTTCACGATATGTGAATCAGTATGAAACGACTGAAGCTCTTCTATCCAATTGCCCTGGCGTGAATGAGGATGATCACTAGATAAGTCACAGTAGTATGGAAGCTCACAAACAAAATTCATGTCTGCTTCACGTTGAAAATTTCCTGTTGTGGCTGAAGAGGAAGTAAGATACAGAAGAAAGACTGCGTCTGCAGTTGAGGTACACACTTAGAGAATTTTAAGGACTAGCTAATTCCCATATTACTCATGCTTTTGATAGATACTAGGATGATTAAAGCATGTGGAACTCTGATCTGATAAAACAATATATTGATGATGTTGGTGTTTCAATTTGATCTCCAAATTCATGTAAACCTACGTCTCAGTTCGATGTAAAATTGTAAACTAATCAAAGAGATCATCAATAAAACCAAAGTTCTTAGAAAGATCAAAAGCCATTAAAATAACATCCAAACGGAAAACCATTATCAGGCATCATTGCCTGGTTTTAAGTAGTATACAACAGATAATTGATAAGATCTTAGTAGCCAATCTTACACAGGGTAAGCGCTTGGTGCAGATGAACGAGTTAATCCAAAAACAATTGTCTTAAAACTTAAAAGGGTAAAAGAGATTAGACTCAAAGAGACCAATTGAAATGTTGAGGAGAAGAGTCATAAGCTCTTGTGTTCTCGGGTTCCATGTATTGCCTGAGAACTTGCTGATGAAGAGACAACTCAAATCCACCCATTGTGCTGCCATTGCTTATCTGGAAATCAGCTGGCTCAGAGATTTGACTCACAGGAGATATATAATGTGAATTGCTCTTTTCGCCCGCCATGACTTCCCAAGTTTGGCTGAGGTACTGATGATGGGTTGAAATGGGCGGTGGCTGAGCCATTGTAACCCTATCGGAGAATGAGATCAGCGAGTCGAAACCAGAAGATGGTCGCCACAAATTTGTTGGTGTCTGAAGTTGCTGCTGCTGAATTGGGTTTGAGTTTGACAGAAGAGAGAGAGCACAGCTTGAATCTGTGCTATTGTTGTTTATGATCTCTGGACATGTAGTAAAGCTTGAGCTTCCATGTGACAAAACATTCAAAAGTTGATGGCTTTCCCTTTCCGGGTTAATCTGCCACGGTCCAGACCGCCGCATCACTGATTTTGCGGTTGACCACGCCATAGGATCTCCTAAAACGCTTTTGATCATTGCAGCATTGGGGTTCCCTGCCACACAAGAAATTCAATAACTTGTTTTTGAGGTCCATTGAGCTGAAAAAGATGTGAAAAATGGGATCTAACCGTAAAGAGATGGAGCGATTCGAGAGTAACGAGAAGTGAAAAGAGACGTTGTGGATTGTGGCTTTCTTCGACGTTCGTTATGACAAGCGAGTCGTCTGCGACAACTTCTTTTCTCTAAGTCAAACTCAGAAAGCTGGTGAAACCTGATTTGATATAAAGAAAAGAAAGCTTCAACGAAAAGCAACATAAATAATGCATAAGACAAGAGACAAGACCACATAATAACTAGCTGTAAAGTTTTAACAAGACTCTTCAATTACGTTAAGAGCCAAAACCCCAAAAAGCTCAAAAGTGACATAAAACCTGAAAAAAGCTTAAAGCAGTGGTTCCCTTAGAACTATTCCGATAACCGGAAATGGCAAAATGAGTAAATCAAAGAAGAAGACAAAAAAAAGGGTGAAACCTGCTACATTGTTGGCAAAACCTTTGATGAAGACCAGAGACAATGACTTTAGATGATTTAGAGTGAATGCAACAAACTTTGTGTCTTGAGTAATAAGCTTTTACATTGCTTAGATCCATTCTACAACCTTCCACTTGGCACCTCGCCGTCATTGTCGACTTACGACCCGTATTGACCCGGTTCTTGCTTCCGGATCCGGATCCATCCTCGAAGTAGATCTTCTGACCAAACCTGAGTCCACCACTGAGTGAAGAAGACTCGGTGGAAGAAGAACCACCTGACTCGGCCTGACCCGAACCCATCAACAACTCCATTATGGTTTTGGTTTCCTCTTACTCAGACAGTGAAAGATATGCTTCTGCTCATCTCTCTCTGGAAGTAGAAAGGACAGAGGAGAAGAGAGGAAAGAAAATGTGGTTTTGCTGATTTTAGATGTTGCTATCTTTTATTAAAAGATCAGAGAGAAGAAAGAGAGAAAGAAAGAAAGAGAGAGAGAGAGAAGCTGACAAAAGAAGAGACACTCAAGAGTGATTGACACTAGTCCACGACAGCTACGTGTTTTAGCGTTTGCGTTTTGGGATGTTGGTGCGTTTTGGTGGTTTTTGTAATGAACAAATAAACACAAAAGGGATAAGGATATTTTCTTCTTTTCTTCTTTAACGTACAAAATGATATCCTTAAACGAGACCAGACCAGGGAACATAACTCCCATGTAAAATCTATAGCTAATAGTATATTTTAATTATTATATACTAAGTAGTCTAATGATGTTAAAATCACAAAACTATTGATCTTTATTGTAGTTTGTAAAACCATGAATACATCACAGACCTATAAATGGATGGCTATTTAACTAACTATTGTATACTATTTCTAATTAAAGAGAAACAACAACTTTATTGGTATTTTTTAAATACTAAAATAGATAGAATTGAGGATTATGGGCAGAGAGACCAGAGTGTTGGAACTCAACTAAAGGATGTGACTCTTCAAAGGAACTAGAAGGTTATTGAACACTTTTTGAATTCAGTTCTATTATTTTTTTTCCAAAAATACTTTTAAATGTTTCTTTTTCTTTTAAGCAAATAGATTTGTTCTTCTTCTTCTCACCATATCCAATGCAATATCTTTCTTGATAATTGAAAAAATATTTATGCAAAAAGAGAGTATGGGAAGTTCGATTTTCACGGTCATGTATCCATCAGAAATTGTGTACTTGAATTTTCATAGGGTTGTGTGTATCAGTTTGATATTATTCCTTTTACTTTTTGCTTTATCTTAGTACAATCTAAGTTCCTTTGTTTTGATTTCCAAAATTCTAAAAATACAACCTGAAAAAAGCCTAAAGCCCCCACTAATCTGGCTTCACTAGCTTCACAAATCTTCTTCCTACTATGAACCTTTTCTTTTTCGCTTTTCACAGCTTATAACTGTTGCATTTTTTCATAGCCGTTTTTAGGCTCCACTTTGTTCAAAAGAGAGAATGAGTTTCAGAACGCCATGAAAACTAAGAGAGAAGAGCAATATCCGAAAAATCGAAATTCTGATTCCATGTAATGAAACCAAAACGCACCCGCATCAAACTCGGGTTTCTAACAGCAAAAGTATCCAACAACAAAAAAAAAACACCAAAAAGGCGGTTTCAGAAGCGTTTTAAGAACCTCTTTTCAAACCCCATTACATTCAACAACAGCTTCAGCAGCTCGTCTTGGTTTGTTCTTCCTTCTGCTCCCATTCTGCCTAAACCCAATAGACGACGATGATTTCATCGAATCTTCTGTGCTTGATTTTGATCCTACCCCATTCTCTTCTTCAGTTATGTTGCTCTCTTTAGACTCTACTGGTTTCTTCCTCTTCCTCCCATTCTCTGTCACATCTTCTTTACTTGTTACAGAACCATTTGTATCATCATCCTTGTCTTCTTCCTCTTCTGTCTTCTTTACTAGCTCTACTTCTTCTTCTTCGATTTCATCTTTCACCGGCTTCTGTGGCCTCCCTCTTCTCCTAAAAGCTGGAATCTTTTCTTCTTCACCGCTCCCTCGATCTTCTCTAGCAGTAGCATTCTGCCTCTTGCCTTTTCCTCTACCTCTTCTCATAACTCTATTCAACTCCACCAACCCAAAAGCCTCAAGCAACTAGACAAGAAACCTGCAAGTTGAAAAGGTTGCTTTTTGATTACCAGCAGTAACTCATCGAGATAAACATACCTCACAACAAAAGACACAACAATACAATGAAGGAGGAGAACTAAACTCAAACAATGAAGAAATTTGTTGAAGAATGCTAAAGTTATGAGACTAAAAAACTGTAAAGCAATGTCATTCTTTCGATGTGCACAAAATTGGGGATCATTCCACAAGAAGACACTTCATTTCGGATCAAAACAAGCGCAATCACAAACACGAAAGCAAGATTCCATTTTTTCATGCATTAGAAGTAGTGCATTGAGCAGCTTATGTGACAAGATCCAAATACAATTTGTTTCCAAAAAGGTCTGAACAAAGGAAACATATAAGCAACACTTGAGTCACACTAGACATTAAACAATTTGATCTCTTCAAAAGCTATATCATTTAGAGCTCAATAGAAACCAAGAACTAAGCTAAAAGCAAGCTCAACCAATTATCTTCCACGAAAACTAATTGCATGAACAGTCTAAACAGGAAAACAAGCCCTAGTTTCCTTGCAATCTCTTCAAAAACAGGATTTTATCACCAACGAAAAAACAGAGAGAGAGACAAAGACTGACCTGTGAACCCATTGGTCAGACTGAGGAGACAAAAACCCCAAAAAAACCTATAAAGGGTTTCTCTTTTTACTAATCTATGTTTGGGTTTTGAATCGATCTAACTCACAAGTTTCTACAACAAAGGTTAGTAGAAGAGGAAAAGCCAGATCAGAGAGATTCTAAAAGAAAACTGATAAAACCAAACAGAGGAAATCGAATCGAATAAAAATCAAAAGGATAAGACTGAAGTTAAAAGAAAGAGATCTAAGAGAAGAACAAGGAGGAAGGAAGAGAAAGAGCAACAACTTAGTAGTACTAGTGTTGGTTGAAATTGTCGTTGAAAAGATTAAAGTTGATTGCTTTCAAAAGGCTTCTCTTTTTTTTTTCTTTCTTTGTTCTTAGCTTCTGTCTGTGAGTGAAACTATATAAGTATAAAAAAAAAACGTAAGAATGACGCTTTTTCTTCTCACCATCACTGACTGACTCAAATTGGATCTTAAAGCCCGTTGAAGATGGATACGGATTTCACCCACGCGCCCCCATTTTGGCGCGTGCTTTCACATTCTACTCGTTTTCGAACTTACTACTCTCTCACTCGTTGGGTTGGATAAGAGACAGCTAATAAGCCGCGTTTCATCTTTCAATCACGTATCTCCTTTTCCTTTTAACCTTTGGGCTTTGGCCTATTAGAGTACACGTTTTTAAAAATTTTATTATTGCATTCAATTTATTGGACCCGATTCTATATGAATAAGAATAATAGTGCATTAAACCAATTTATTGGACCCGATTCAATTTATTTCGGTCTAGTGCTCGGTTATGAATGATTATTTGACTAAGACGGACAAAAAGGTCAAAGCAGAAAAACCATAATTTCTTCGGTCCTAAAACCCTACTGAGCAATTTAGAAACCCTAAGTACTGTTCCGGTCCTTGTTTTTTTTTTTTGTTGTTCATAAAATTCAATTCCAAACGAAAATTGATTTCATCAGTTCGATTTTAAAATCAACACTCGAAAGCAGAACCCAGGTTTTGTTATTGAATTTGGGGGTTTTTGACTCTGTTAAGGAGGAAGAAGAAGAGCTAGTTTTGCAAGAATGAGGAAGAAGGTTGATGAACGTATCAGGACTCTGATTGAAAACGGTGTCAAATTGAGACACCGTTCCATGTTTGTAATCATTGGTGACAAGTCTCGTGACCAGGTTTGCTGTTTCTCTTCTCGAAAGTTTTCTACTTTTGACTCATATCCCTGAGAGAATGTTTTGTTGGATACTAAATCTACAACTTTTTTTGTGTGTGTGTGTGTTTCTTCTCTAACAGATAGTGAACCTCCATCATATGTTGTCCAAGGCAGTGATTAAATGTAATCCGAGTGTCTTGTGGTGCTACAAGGACAAACTTGACATTAGCAGGTTCTGTTCTTAATCCCAAATTCTCAAGGCTTTAGATGATTCTTTTTTTTAGCTCATTTTATGCTTTTAAGAACAAATATTTTGAGAATTTAGCTGGGCACAAGTGTGGAATGGAATTTGAAATTTCTGATTGTCCTTTGAATATAGATGATAGTTTTTTTCAGTAATGATGAGAGTCTGTATCGTTTTCTTTGCAGTCATAAGCACAAACGTTCGAAGCAGCTCAAGAGATTGAGGGAGAGAGGACAGTTGGATCCAGACAAACTTGACGCTTTCTCGCGTTTGCTTGATGTCGGAAGAGTCACTCATTGCTTGTACAAAGATTCTGAACGAATTCTTGGAAATACTTTTGGCATGTGCATCTTACAGGTACTTTTCTTTCTTCTTTATATTCATTTAAGATGACTGTCACATGTTCCCTATTTCATTTTGTCAGTAATAGTTACTATTTCTTCTTGATATGTTCAGGATTTTGAAGCTTTAACTCCAAATCTACTAGCAAGAACAATAGAGACTGTGGAAGGTGGTGGTTTGGTTGTATTAATATTACGATCACTTACTTCGCTTACTAGTCTATGCACTATGGTTATGGTATGAACCGCCGTTTTCATACTTTAATTCCTTATTTTTGAGAAAGCGGGAGAAAAGCATTATCTAAGTGCTGTTACATGATTTTTTCTTATTAGGATGTCCATGACAGATTCCGAACTGAATCGCATTCTGAGGCTGCTGGCCGTTTCAATGAGCGTTTTCTGCTATCACTTGCATCGTGCAAAGCATGTGTTGTCATGGATGATGAGTTGAATATATTGCCGCTTTCCTCACATATCAAATCTATTACTCAAGTTCCAACAGAAAAGGTAATTCTTATAGCAAATTGAGAGAATGTTTTCCAAACTTCCAGATAGAATTGATAACTTTACAATGTTGTGTGCTACTAAAGGATTCCGAGGGGCTCTCTGAGGCAGAGCGGGATCTGAAGAGTTTGAAAGAAGAACTAAGTGATGATTTTCCTGTTGGTCCGTTAATCAAGAAATGCTGTACATTGGATCAGGTTCAAAGCTATCATTTTTATGTCTTGCTAATGTTCTTTCTTGTTGCATGGCTGATATTAATGGAGATTCTGCATTTTCATTTTGTAGGGCAAAGCTGTAGTAACATTTTTCGATGCAATTTTGGATAAGGCTCTCCGCAGCATAGTTGCTTTGATTGCAAGTCGAGGGCGTGGAAAATCTGCTGCACTTGGTTTAGCTGTTGCCGGGGCTGTTGCTGCTGGGTATATTTCTTGAATTAGTTTTACTACATGTTCCTCTACTCATCAGTATTGATTTTTCTGGATGTTTGTGAAACTTATTAATGTGTGATTTTCTTGCTCTTAGGTACTCAAATATCTATATAACTGCACCAAGCCCGGATAACTTGAAGACATTCTTCGAGTTTGTTTGCAAAGGCTTTGATGCACTTGAATATAAGGTAAATGCAAAGTTCTTATCCTACAGATTATTTTTATATTGTATTTGTTCTATTTCATTGAAAAGAGCCTGCAAGGTGAGAGACATATGCATAGCTATTAAATAGACCTACACTAGCTCAAGGATAGAAGAAATCATTATTCTATTTTGGGATGTGGTCATATATGGTTCTAAATTACCTTCCACTATTATTTTTATAGGAGCACCTTGATTATGATGTTGTGAAAAGTGCGAATCCTGACTTCAAAAAAGCTATTGTACGGATAAATATCTTCAAGCAGCATAGACAAACTATCCAGGTTTGTTAATCCCTCAATTAATTCATGATCTTCAAGCTGTGATTTGAGTCCATCTCCGACGTGTTCCATGCTCTTGATATATTTCATGCAGTATATACAACCACACGAGCATGAGAAGCTCTCACAAGTAGAGCTCTTGGTTATTGATGAAGCGGCAGCTATTCCTTTACCAGTTGTGAAGTCTTTGCTTGGTCCTTATCTAGTTTTCCTATCGTCAACTGTCAGTGGGTATGTGAAACAGGATCTGATGCTATTAAAAAGTCATATGCATATTCTGGTTTTAATTCAGGGATAATCATGCTACTGTATTTTATCCGTTTTTGTTTTTATGTTTAAAGCTATGAAGGCACTGGGAGATCTTTGTCTCTGAAACTCCTCCAACAATTAGATGAGCAAAGCCGGGCTCCTGCTACTGGTCTTGAAGGCTCGGGTATGTAACTGCTGCACCTTGCTTTCATTCTTGGCTATGAAAATTATTAGGGACATTTTTAGAGACCGCTCTATCATCCTTACGAGGATATGCTCATTTTTCTTAGAATCATCGCTCAAATACCCCTATTTATTGTTTAGGAAGGTAAAGTATAGTGCTTCCAGCATTTGGTTTAATGTTCCATATCGTGTGTTTAGCAGTTATATCAATCTTATAATTTAGGTGGCATAGTCATTTGAAGGCCAGTTATCGTAGTTTGAGAAATATATGTGAATGTTGTTTTTATAGAACATGAGCCTCGTTTTCATTTTTTCCTTTAAAGAGGCTTACAAAGATTAATCTAAATTCCATGCAAAGTAGCCCGCTTTACTAGTGTATCTGATGAATTCTTCATATGTAGCAACTCTAATTATATTCGCAGGACCTGCATTTTTTGGTAGTTCTAGTTGATGTGATTCATTCCCTGACTCTCTCAAGTTTCTTCGAACAGGTTGTCTTTTCAAGAAGATAGAACTTAATGAGTCTATTAGATACGGTTCTGGAGATCCAATAGAATCCTGGCTTAATGGCCTACTTTGCCTTGATGTTGCTACTAGTCTGCCTAATCCTGCGTGGTATGAAATTTTTAACTAAAATTTTATAGTGTCTACTATCCTTTCTAGTGTTACTGATCGTCTAGAAATGTTTTTTATTTATTTGATTTGTCTTTTCTTTCTTCTTTTTGTGTAGCCATCCTTCGCCAAGTCAGTGTGATCTCTATTATGTCAACCGAGACACACTCTTTTCTTATCACAAAGATAGTGAATTGTTTCTACAGGTAAATTTGGTTTATTGGGATCCGTTCATTATTTTGACAATAGACTGATATAAGTGCATCCTACAGAGAATGATGGCTCTCTGTGTCTCGTCTCACTACAAGAATTCTCCTAATGATCTTCAACTGCTGGCTGATGCTCCTGCTCATCATTTGTTTGTGTTACTTGGTATGCAACTTTTCCTTTTCCCCCACCTAATTTAATTTTCAGAACTATTCCTAACTGCTTTTAAACACAGGTCCTGTTGATGAGTCCCAAAACAAGATTCCTGATATACTCTGTGTTATCCAGGTATATTTTTGCTCTGTGTAAAATTGAGCACTAACGTGTTTGGTCTGTTGAACACCAAACAGTTTGATTTAGGTTCACAATGACCTCGAACAGTGATACATCAGTCGTCATGAAAATGGACTTACAAAGATTAAAGTATAAGCTATCAATCTGTTATAGATGCTTTTTTCCACATTTTGTGGAAAATCATAGTTTCTCTAGCTTCTGTCCTTATTCAGTGTTACAAAGATTAATTTGTGTGATTTTAAGCATCATTGTAACTGCTATATTCAGGTCTGTCTCGAAGGAAAGATATCTGAGAACTCAGCCCTTCAAAGTTTAAGGGATGGCCATTCACCATATGGAGACCAAATTCCATGGAAATTCTGTGAACAATTCCGGGACACTGAATTTCCAGGTTTCTCTGGTGCTCGGATAGTTCGCATAGCAGTCCACCCTAACGCCATGAAGGTAATATTTTGTTCTGCTCATATTTTTAATTGTTCAGTTAGGTTTTGTGTGCGATTAACAAGCTTCTGATTACCCTCTTTGTAGATGGGATATGGTTCTGCTGCAGTTGAACTCTTGACCAGGTAAATTCATGGAATGTGCATACACGAGTTTGTAATCATGTTATCTCATACATTACTTATATCAATGTTATGTTTTGTGCTTTAAAATTTAGACTTTGTACTCTTAATTAGGTGTGGTCATACTCTTACTAATACTGATTGACATTTGCAGATATTTCGAGGGTCAGATAGCTCCAATCTCAGAAGCTGATGATAAAGTTGATGTGGAGCATGCACCCATTAAAGTAACTGAGGCTGCTGAGAAGGTTTCTGCTTTTCCGTATATATCTATGTGGGCTTTGGTTTTTACTAAGTGCAGAATGTGGTTCTTTCTTATGTTCACTAGCATAGTTATTTCTCTGTTTCCATTCTTAGCTGAATCCATTTTTGACAGGTCTCCATGCTCGAGGAGCAAGTAAAGCCTCGCACAAATCTTCCACCTTTATTGGTTCCACTCCATGATCGACGACCTGAGAAGCTCCACTACATTGGTGTTTCCTTTGGGCTTACTTTGGACCTCTTCCGATTTTGGAGAAAACATAATTTTGCGCCATTCTACGTTAGCCAAATCCCAGTTGAGAATATTTCTATCCTTTCTCCTTAATCGCTTATACAAATTTCACTTTTAATAGTTGTTTGTAACACTGATTGTTCCCTGTGTTTCGATCAGAGTGCTGTTACTGGTGAACACACATGTATGCTTCTAAAACCTTTGAAAAATGATGAACTAGAAGTCAACGAGTCCGATGAGTTGGGCTTCTTTACTCCCTTCTATAAAGGTTTGTTGATTCTTTGATTAAGAACGGAACTTTCTCCATCTTCCAAGTATATCATAGTTTTTGTTTGATGGATTGACAACTTATTTTGCTTGTTCAGATTTCAAGATAAGGTTCTCTAAGCTGTTGAGTGATAAATTCAAGAAGATGGACTATAAACTTGCAATGAGGTAAGCACTAACAACTTCTTATCTTTATTTTGCGATGATGACGATTTCAGATAATTATATATTTTTTGTGTATCATTCTTTGTCCAGTGTTTTAAACCCCAAGATCAACTTCCCCGAGGTTGATTCTTCAGGGAATTCATCAGACGGATTTTTGAAGGCACTCGACGGCATATTATCTCCATATGATATGGAGAGGCTCAGAGCATATACTAAAAATCTGACTGACTTCAATCTGGTTAGATTTTTCTTTTTGAGAATGGTTTTCTTTTGAAATGTCTGTGAACTAAATTGACATTTTAGTAATTATCTATTGGAACCAACTCTATACCAACACACATTGGACGTTGAAATGGTGCAGAATTAAAAACAAATGTCTTTGGTGTAAACTTGTTAAATAGATTAGATCAGTACTAACTGCTTTCAGTTCTCCTTCAGTTTGTAACCTGTTTCATTGTCTTATCGTTGAAAGGTTTATGACATCTGCAAAACACTGGCACATCAGTATTTTGAAGAGAAGCTCCCCGTATCACTGTCATATGTTCAGGCATCTATATTGCTATGCTTGGGGTTGCAGGAGACGGATTTCTCTAGCATCGAGGTAACATGTTTTACTCTAATTTTAAAGATTTCAGCCAGCTGCTCATTATGTTTCAGCACATCCTGATTAATAAACTTGCAAACACATTTGAATGTTCAACTTTGCAGAGACAAATGCAGTTGGAGAGGGGACAAATACATTCTCTGATCCTGAAGGTCGCAAGGGAGTTGTACAAATATCTCAATGGAGTTGCAGGAAAGGAGATCGAATCAGCCCTCCCTCGTTTGAAAGAGGTAACTCCATGTTATTTATTGCTTTGTAATTGATCCATCAACTATGATCATAAGAGTTTACATTTACGAAACCAAGAACAAAGTTTGGATCTTTGAATGCATGCTGTGTGCAAAAACGTATAATTCAAAGTCTGAGCACTTTTGAGAGAGAATAAGAGTAACTAAAAGTCTCTCACACTGTTTTCATAGTTTTATGTTTGCTATTGAAATTTGAATAGTGTCATCTGTTTTGTCTTCTAGAGTTATATTTGTAAAAGGCTAATTTACGGTTGGTTGCAGAGAGAGCTTGAACCTCACAATGTATCGGTCGACGATGATATCAGGGAAGGAGCAAAACAAGTCGAGGTGATTCTCCTACCTCCCTGTGCCGAGTAAAAATATTATATTTGTGTTATACTTCACTTATAACATCGAACAAACTTGTACATCTTTTGTCTTTTTTAGGAACAAATAATGAAGGAGAAGATTGGAGGATTAATGGATTCTGAGCTTCAACAATATGTAATTGGGGACAAAGAATCAGAGGCTCTGCAACACTCAAAAATCTCTTCAAGTGGTATTATCAGTGTTAAGTCCACCAAATCGGAGAATGAGAACGGGTTTGACAAATCCGCCAAAAAGAGAAGCAGTGATAAGCGTTCCTCTTCTTCCTCTAAATCCAAATCTTCCAAGAAGAGAAGAGCCTGATGGAGTAATTTTAACAATGATCAAATCAATTTTGAGCATGAGCTATGAAATTTTTGTTGAACTGACAAATTATGTTTGTTGTATGGTGCGGCTGAAAAATTGAGTGGAAATCATAAATGTTTAATTTGATACACTGTCTTCAAAAAAGAGATGTGCCATTTTAAACTGGTCCAAATCACAAAAATATATTTATGTAATGATCGAGTCAGAGAATGTGGATACAATTGATGATGATGAGCATGTGCAAATGATTGAAATTTGCAAGTGATATGATGTAATGAAAGATGTTCAAATGATTATGATCACGTTTATTTAATTTCTTCTATGACTTAACAAACTCTCTATCAATTTTTACTTCTCTGAATTATCAAAAACAAAAAAAGCTATATCTAACTTTGAGTGCATGACGTTAGAAGTTATAACGTACTACCCACCATTTATATATAATATAATGTCGCAATTTTAGATTCATATATATTATAATTTTTTTATTTGTATTCTTGAAGCATGGTCACTCCACGATTGGGTTTCTAATTAATTCATCATCGCTGTTAGACCGGTCCGACAGGTCGGTCCGGTTCGGTTTTAAGAACATTGCTTAATTGCCTTAATTTGATCCCCACGCTGAATTGATTCGGTCCCATAAAAAATTCTTACAAATAAGATTAATCAGAGATGAATATATATAGCTTAAACATCAAGAAAATATTCCCTACCAAAAACATGTATAATACTTTTAGTATTAAACATACTCGAATTTGAAAATTTGGTATCCAAAATCTTAGAACGGAATGAGATGGATACTGATCGGGTCGGATATGCCACCCTTAAGAATAATGCATTAATCATATATATGTTTACTTTCGTAAATATATATATGTGATATAAACATGGAACCAGCTGATTAACAAAAGGTAAAAATGAATGATAGAAGAAAAGAGGAGTAGTTGCAAGTAGTGGTTAAAAGATTGATACCAACTCTTTCATCTTCTGTGTCATCTATGGATCCTCCTCACGCGTTGCTGATGCACTTTGGAGACACCTCTTTCTTACCTTGCCTTCTTCTCCACTCTCTTCTTTCCTCCTTTCTCTGTTTCTTCCTACTTTATGTATAGTATATATTTACACATTCTACTTTAAAAGCCTAGTCTGAAAATTGAAATGAGGTTTTTAAATCGAAGTAAGTTAAGGTTAGTTAATTCATTCATGGATCTACAAGATTCAATGAATATATGCATATAGGGAGAGTGATATATATACTATAGTTCTATCTTAAATTCGAATAAGACTGTTACATTTTAAATATCTAGAACTTAATTAGAACTATCACACAGATTGACACATATAAAGTCTCGGTTAACGACATTAACACAAAACATAGGTTACATGTCATGGCCAAATTTGTATTGAGAATAATTTTCAATGCTTAAATTTGGTGAACCTCTAGAGTTAAAAACTGTTACTCAAAGAGCTAAGTTCGTCAACAGAAATTAATTTAGTATTTAATTTTATTAAGGATGATAGTAAGTTTTTTAGAAAATAAGTAGATCAGTTATTAGTTTTTTCTTCCCACAAGTCCAAAATGAAAATCGGAAAGTTACGCGGAAATTTGCATGAAAGTTACTTATACCAGACAAATTAATATATGTGATGCTAATTAAATGTCTTTCAGTATGCATTATTGTTAAAACATATACCAAACAACAATCCTAGGTACCCTAATCTACTAACTTGACCAGTTGATAAAGAAAAGTCAATACAATCAACTTTTTGTAATTAGAAGGAAAGGTTTTAAGAGGTGATCTAAATCAAAATTGTGGTTTCTATCTCATTATGCTTCAGAATTTTTTTTAATGAAGTTTGATTACAGAAACTAAAACTCCAAAATCCATTATTGCTACAGGTATAATATATAGATAAGAGTAGAAGTTTTATTTATTGTTTTTTGTAGTTGCTTTAGCTTTCAAAAAATATTTATCAGATTTGAAAAAAATCACACACACACACACACACAATACAAGTCATATATATTTGATATATGGGAATATATAAAAATATAATAGCAGTTGTGCTCTGCGTGTATTTGGTCTGTGTCTTCGTGCAAGATGAACTCCAAGAAAGACGAGAGCTCCAGATATTCAGGTGGCCGATCAACTGGAAATCAGCCACTTTGATTTCTTGTCTAATTTTTATTTTCCAAGTCTCGAAAAATATTTAATCATCTATCTAATAGTATCTTAGAAAGTATGTATTATATACTGTTATCTTTAGACCAGAGCCACACTGGATTTATTAGATTAAGTTAGCAATTAGTTTTGTTTTATATAACCCTCGGTCTTTGAGGTTTTCAGCGAAGCTTAAGCCTTATGCGCCGTTCGCGGCTATTTAAAAAATGAATGTATCAGACAAATAATTTATTTTATTATCCACAAACAAATAATGCTATATTTTATAAATACTTCAAATTACAGAAATCGTCTTATAGCTTTTATATACCCATATCTCCTTTTTCTTTATTTTATTATCCACAAACAAATAATGCTATATTTTATAAATACTTCAAATTACAGAAATCGTCTTATAGCTTTTATATACCCATATCAGTAAAACATTTCAAATATACAAACAAAAACTCCTATTTGATTATTTTTTTCCATATACATAGTCCAATAATCAAAGTATAACATAAATGTGTTAAGAAAATTTGATTAAATTTGGATGAAACGTGTATTACCAAAATTAAGTTCTTCTATACGTGTTTCTTTCGAGATTAATATTGTGAGTGTAATTTAATAAGTAATACGATGATCACTAAGTAATAACGACATGCATACGTAATTAACGATATGAATGTGTGTGTGTGTGTGTGTGTGTGTTTGTGTGGAAGACATGTGCTTATTGGGATTTGTTTGGCTTCAAGAACCCCTAAAAATTCCTGCAACTGGTCCAAGATTCCATGACGACAAGGACCTTTGGCCTAATTTGCATTGATCCGATTGCCTAAATTTAATCCCTTCGTAGATCCAAATGAACACCAGCCAACAAAAACAATCATCAATAATTTAATTCTCGTTAATTACAACCATTAGTATTGTAAAAAAAAAAATCATATATATTTTTCTGGCTGATACACAAAACTAAATCTTTAAGGCCATATTTTGGCATCTGCCTCCAAATGTTTTAGCTTTTACATTTAAATTTTTTATTTTTATACACAGGTGGCGTACATAAGAAATCGAAGTTATTCAACCACTTGATTGTGGGTATAGTGTTGACGCTAATTTTTTTTTTTATGTAATAATAATAGTTATCAATATATATATCTTCATAATGGTATATTGATATCACACTAAGTTGTGTTAAACAATCTTTTTTTTTACAGCAGTGTTAAACAATCTACATTACCAAATAAATATATCTTTAAATTTATACTAAACAAATTGGTAACTAGAATGATACCAAATTTATGAGTTTCAGTCATGAAGACTCAACTCGATCGAGAATCCCAAATTTTGTTTATGTACATGTAGATCAGTAAAAAATAAAAGAGGAAAATTTAGTGAAAAACGAAAGTGTTGAATATTCTATTATAATAAATCAATGTTGTTGATCCGATCTAAGTTTGGGAAATGTGGGAATTTGGTTGAAATTAAGAAGAGTGTATAAATAAGGATTTAGGAGAAGTTGTAGGGTAGAGTTTTGGTCTTATTCAAATCACCAAACACATTGATCATTGATTTATCTATGTAATTACGTCTATAAAATATTATAGATTCTTCAGAAGGTTGTCTGCGTTTATAGTGAAACATGAAGTGGCGAATCTGAGATTACAAAACAATTAATATTAGATAAATATAACGACAAATAAAACATAGCTAGGAAGTGTTTGGTTTCTTTAACCTTATCAAATGTTTTAATTAGTTTGAACGCTTCCCGATACCTAATTGGGAGTTGAAAAATTCAGTCCTCAGCCAAACCCATTTGTGGCTCACTCTACTTCTTGTGTTACGCCACACATACACATAATCTTTTCTTTTTATTTTTTTCTGGCAAAAAAAAACTTACTCAAAATCAAGAGCTATCATATTTGTTGTTTTCTTTCATAAACTTGGCTTCCAATTAATTTGAAATATGGAATCATGGATAAAAGTTCCATGAGTGAAATTTAAATGACCTTCTATCTACCACAAGAGATATATCATATAATTTTTGTGACCATATGAAAACCACAAATTATATGAGTATTTATATCATATATTCAAAGAAGACTGACCAATCTATGTTGTATCTATAAATAGATAACGTTGTGTGTGTGTCAATATAATATGCTAATTGAAAAATAAAAAATTATTGTGGTTCACAATCTATTTTGTGTGTCTATCCTAATCGGTAACTTAACTCAAATCACACACCTATAACTAGCTTAGCAAGACACTTCTTCTTATTTTTATAAGTCTATAACAACATTTTCTCGATAGAACTAAATAGCCTTTCATAAGAATAACAATACATCAACAAAATTCGTCATACTTTTAACTTCGTGGAAAATTCTACGGAAATTTACATTCGCTGAAAAAAAAAAAAAGACTACGCACAGTCACACACAGGACAATCATATTCGGAGAAAACCAAATTACAAAAACGCCCACTAGTCCAAAAGTTTAGTTAAGAAAATAACAAGGAAATGAGTGGCTAAAAAGTCAAGAAAATCCTTTATAAAGTCCCGCGAGTGTTGATCACTATAATGCAAAGAGAGAAAAGGAAACACACAAAATAAGTGTGAGAGAAAGAGAGAGAAGGAGTCTATCTCTTGAGTCTTGAAGTCATGCAGCTCAAATCATCATCACCATCTTCATCATCTTCTTCTTCTTCATCATCCATGAAACTCAAAACTCTAATCCAAAATCTCCTCACACACCCTCTCTACCGTTTTCTAAGAGCTCTTGCGAGAGCCAAATCAATCTTTCTAGAGATCTCAAAACACAACAACAACAACAAGAAACGAAAACTCATGATGCCTTTTCCAACAAAAGCTTCAAAGAACCAACGCAAGATCTTCTTCGGATCTTTCAGATTGCATTACAATTGGTGTTCCTCCCATGTTGCTCCTGTCCCTCAACCTTTTCCTTTCCCTTCTTCTTACATCAATGGTGAAGAAGATGATGACTCTCAGCTCTCTGGCTACCTCGAGTGGCTCGAACACAAGAAAGTCGAAGATGTGGAAGAGATTAGAGATGTTGTAGCTGATGATGGTGATGATGATATTGATCATTTGGCCGATATGTTCATCGCTAATTGCCACGAGAAGTTCTTACTCGAGAAAGTTGAATCTTACAGGAGATTTCAAGAAATGTTAGAAAGGGGTTTGTGAATTATCAGAGGTGGAACATAGATTTTGAGTCTTGTCTAATTAATTGATAATCATGTTGTAAAATCTTAGCTGGTTTGATTTGATGATATACCGTACCACAAGGTCGTGAAATGTGTATCTTGAAAGTTTTGGTGGGTAATGTACGAGAAGTTGAAACTTTTGGGGTTATTAGTGAAACATTTGATATTGTAAAAACAATAATTGTTGTTGTCCCTCTAATTGGGCACATCTTTAAGTTGTGAGTTTGATTAGTGTTTGGTAAATTACATCCAACTTGCCTAATTTTTTATTATCTTGAGAAAGATTAAATTAACTAAACGAGGTTTAAAGAATTACAAAAAAAAGAAGAAGAAGGAATTAGCGCTATTGAAATTTCACGAGTGTTAAAATGATTTTTATAAAATAGTATCATGCAGTTTCCTTAGGCCGTGAATGTTTTATAGTAATGTCTTTATGTATATAACATGTTTAGTTTTGATCTTAATTTCATTTTCTTACGCAAATGTAATGCCGAGTCTGTAGAAACAGAGATATTTGTATTATTAAATGGAACTAGGTCAAAACCCGCGCTCCGCCGCGGGATATTTTTAAATATTAAAGAAATTTAAAATTTAAGTAATGATTTTAATTACATATTTAATATTTAAAATAATTTGAAAGTAAAAAATGAACCAAATCAAATTGGAATGTTAACCGAGACCAAACCGTAAATCAATTTTAGTATATAGATAAAATTTGTATCCCGAAAAAATTAGAAAAAGATCATTTTTTCTGGAAAAACAAACGAACAAAGGAGAGAGATAGATTAGAGAAACAATTAACAGAGAGAAAAAAAAAGACTTTTGCTTTCATATCTGAAAGACTTTCACTAATGGCAGCCAATAAGAGACGATTGCTTTATTGTGTGTTTAAAAAAGTTTCTATCGCCGGAGTACGACGGAGCTATGTCGGTGTACTGCAATCGAACTCTAAATCTCCTACGTCTTCTTCTCAGCGATTGATGGAATTGGAATTTGGATTCAATGCCACAAGTAAATCTCTTTCTTTCCTCTTATTTTTTTTCAAGTTTCCGTTTTTGTTTTCTCCGATTTGAATATATCGTCGATGAAATCGCTGAGCTTTCATCTTTTGACAAAATTTATGATATATGTATAGGGACATGTCATAGCTTCTATAGAACTCATGACTTAGATACTTGAGAATATGTAATATGGAATGATCATCTTTGATTTTAATGTTCCATATGCATACTTGATTCATATGTTGAAGAGGCTTAAAAGGCTAAGAGCTTTGTTTGTTTTTAAAAATTTGAAAATTTAAATTTTGTTTTTATAGGAGTATAGAACGTTACTTAAATGATTTTTAGTTATTCATTAAGATCTATGATGACGCTTAATAAATCTGATGATATTTTATTGCAACGGTTCTTATCCAATTCGATTTGTATTTAGTTTTATCCAATAAGGAAAAATATTACAAGTAAATTGAAGTCCAACAACCCTATTCTAAAACATTAAGCCCATATGTTAGAACCCAAGAACAAATGGGACAACGATTATGAAAAGAGGAGGGATGATTATTGGCCAAAAAAATCTGATGTGTATTAATCTAAATGTTTTCATTGGATGATGATTTTAATGATGTATCATGCCCAAAACACTTCAAAAAACTGAGGTGTCAGCACTGGAGAGAAACCTTAATATATTATTATAATTAGTCACTAATGTACATTATAGTTAGTTTTTTTTAATGTTTTGTATTTTATTTTTATTCGATCAAATTTCATATCACTAATTAATTTTACATACAAAAATTGGAAATTTACAAAATCTCAATAATCTCCTATTTCCAGAAGTACACACAATATTAATTCGGTTGTCTTATCAATTTTCACAGTGATTAGGCTTTCAGACTGATCAACATTAATTAAGAGAAACAATATTATACAATATATGCATAGATATTCAATGACAACATATTCTAAAATAAACGTTTAATTGATTGGGGCTTTTGCAAAAATGCCCCTTTTTCAATGCCACTTTTCAAAAATGCCTCTTCTTTAAAACCTTATAAAAAATGCTCCTAAAATATAAGATTTACCCAAATATGTATGTAACATTATTAAAACATACACAAATAAGTATCTAAAAATCTTATTTGTGTATGTAACATTATTAAAACATACACAAATAAGTATCTAAAAACCTTTGAAAAACCTTTAAAATATCTTGTAAAACTTTTGAAAAACCTTTAAAAACCTTTAAAATATCTTGTAAAACCTTTAAAAACACCTTATAAAATCTTATAAATACTTGGATCGAGTCTTCAAGTAATAGTTACCATCCATAAGTACCTTATAAACCTAATAAAATTTTATAAATTTTTCATATTTAAAAAGGGGCATTTTTGAAAATGGACATCTAAAAGGGGCATTTTTGAAAAGGGGCACACCAAAAGGGGCATTTTTAACAATTTCCCTTGATTCATTTGTTAAATTCAATTTTAATGGTCTGACTCAACTACTCATGTAACATTTTTTTTATTTGTTTCTAATTATTATTATTGTGTTGCAAATAAAAACATATATTGTCTTAGAGAAAATGTTAAAGTGGATAATGTGGCACGAAAAAATCTTACCGACCCACATTTTTTCATTTATGTAAACAACATTCAACCGAATTGGTTATTATGAACTAAATCAATCAAAGCTAATCCAAAAAAAGAAAAAAAAACACATGGATTATGGTACAATTTACTATTTCTATATAAATAGCAGATATATTTATTCTACTGTATACCACACAAATATTTACGTTAATTTGATTCATCCAAAAAAGATATTGGCCAAATATAGCTCCTATCACAACAAAATCTTTTGTCACCGCAGCCCAATAACCACTCATGTTAGATTTGTTTACGTCTCTTTATTGGGACAAGGGTTTTTAGAATTTTTTGTTTTCTAAGTGAGCTATTAAGTGGGCTATTAAATGGGCTATTATTTTGGTTGGGCCTAAACAAATGTTTATTTTGAAATTTGATCAGAAAAAGTGATGTGGAAAAATAGAATGATGTTATTGGAAGAAAAACATGAGCTGTATTATTTGAAATGTTCTGATTGGGTATCGATTTTAACTGAGGTGTCACCTCCAGAACACTCCAAAAAGCTGAGGTGTCAGCACTGGAGAGACTTCTGCTGTTTTTATTGTATTGATGTGTAACTTTCAATCTCGTAAATATCTTGGATTTATGATATTCTAAAGAAAAACATCGTGATCATAATAGCCAAAAGAGACTAAAAGGATCGAACAAATCTCGAGGAAAATGATCTAAAGTACAATTTACTGTGCCTTCTCAACTACTAATAGATCCAATTTTCACCTAATTTTGGACTTTATAGGACTGTATTGTGGTATCCTCGTGTAATTACAATAGTCATTTCTCCAGATCGCATATTTACCCATAAATAATATATAAAAAGACTCGGAGAAATAATAGTTTTCTCATAGGAGTATAATGTAGAGAAATACTCACTAAACATCACAAATCAGACGAAGCTTAGCTACTTAACATTGATACCTTCAAAAAAAAAAGGGGTTAATCAACGCTCCTTTTCCTTTAAGAAATATGTACCACTTATTCCGCAATTTTGTTTCTTCCAATATTCATCTATGCATAGTTTTTAATAATTTTCTCTTAAACTTCAAATAATAAAGTATCACATATGCGTTTAATTGAAACTTTGCTGTTTTAATGAAAATATTTTAAGTATTTATTTTGCTAAATATACACGATCGAGGCAGGCCCATCTCAATAGAGTACTACTATAGTTATATAGTCAATTTTCGACACCCCTAGATATTGTTTCGTTGACTTTTGCAGTTTATAACTTTATGTAGCATGCTCGAGACCCAAAATTAAAATTTTTTATAAATTGCTTCTTTTTTTATAAAATATTTAAAATGTCGTTTTGATATACCCGACTTATTTTATTTATATAACTCAAACCCTTTTGTTATCAAATAGTTAATAAGAAACGTGGATCGATTGGATATATAAACCACTACGTAAACTTGAAATTATTTACCTATTCACATTTAATTAGTTTCTTAAAAAATAAAGAAATTAATTAACTCTCCGTAAACTAGTGACTCATTTGTTTTCAAGTAAACGGATTGTACACAATCATTAACTTCTTTCACAAGTCATATAAACTCGCTTCTTCCACAAATCTTCACACTCCTCCCTCCCATTCACCTCTGCGACACATTCTTGAGCCAGAGCGAGTTTTAGAGTTTTCCTTTAACCACAAACTTCATCTCTCCGGGTTCCTCTGTTCTACAGATTCTCTCTGTGACTCTCTCTAATGGCGGACCAGAAAGATCAAGAGCCAAATCTTCCCGCCGGTACGTCTCTTCAAAAACTTCCGATGGGGATTAATCTATTGAATTCTCCCATCGTCTTCTTGTTAAATTTCTATAGATTCATCTCTCCGGGTTCCTCTGTTCTATAGATTCTCTCTCTCAAATGGCGGACGAGATAGATCAAGAGCCAAATCCTCCCGCTGGTACGTCTCTTCAAAAACTTCTATTGAATTCTCCCATCGACTTCTTGTAACATTTCGAACGCAATCTCAGTAACTAGGGTTTTCGAGTATGAAATGATTAGCTTGGGTTTATATATTTCAAGGTTGTGGATTCCTCTGCTTTTCGTTTTCTTTCTTCCATTGATGGCAACGGCTGCTGATAAAGAATGGTTCTTTTGTCTTTGTACCGAGTGATCTTGATTCTGTTATCTCTCGTGATGCAGAAAAGCCAGAGTTTCTCCCACTAAAGAAGAGAGCAACGGCTGGAAAAACACTCGTTGGGTATAGCACACCCGAGTCTGACTCCAGCAGCGATAGCAGTGACGAAGAAAGTGACGAAGGAGATGTGGTGTGTTTACCGGAGAAAGATGTCAATAAAGAGACACTCCACGAAGTCCAGAAAAAAGCTTTCTACTCTCTTCTCCAAGCTTTCGCTTTAGAAACCTCGACAATGTCAAACGTAACAGTAACCTTTTCTTGGTTAAATCTTTCTTCCTTTCGCTAAATTCGTTCTGTTTCTGAGGGTTTTGGTCATGTCTTTTGTTATCCAGAAGAGGACTCAGATCATAGAAAAACTGATGAACGAGTGGGGGATCGCTAACGAAACTCAAATCTCTTTTGTGGATCAGATTCAGAAGAATCTTCTGACCCTACAACAAATGTATGTAGTCAAAGCTCGAAGATATAATCTCTTCCTTGTTTAAAAATCATCTTTGTTTTCTCAGGAAGGATTCTAATAAGAAGGAAAGGCAGATACTACCAGAGACGCCATTGGCCCCACCTGTAAGGAAGAGATATTGACAACAATGATTTGGCTTTTACCGCAGAGTTTTAACTTTCATTGTCTTAACCTTTTCTCTGTTTTAAGGCAACGCAGAGTTCGACATTTGTTCCTAAACCTGGCAAAAGCTGGGGCAGTGTTAATCCAGAGTCTCTTATTGGAAAATGGGTCTGTATGAAGCTGCCTGATGAAGCTGAGTTCACTGAATACATCATCAAAGCATATGATGCGGAAAAGGTACTTAATCCTTTCTTGTATCTCATGCCTCAGACTCAAGCCGTTCTAAGAAATCTACTTTGCAATATCTCTCCAGGAAATGCATAGCATAGTGACCGCAGAGTCGAATGCAATGGAGGTTGATGGCATTGATCCGTTTAGCTGGATAGATATCAGAGAAGTAATTCACAAACTCTTATCATCTCCTTTTCATCAAATCAAAGTCTTTAATATCAGAAAGCTCAAACATTTGATCTCAAACATTGTAGATTGCGCATAACAATATCATGTGGGAAGGTGGACAAAAGCCAAACTTTGATGCTCCTAACCAATCTGCAGCTACAGCTCAACGACCCCTTTTCTGAAAACAAGGCTCTTTTACAATCACATTGACAAGGTAACTTTGCCAATGCCAACACACACATTCTCAGTGAAACTCTTAATGGTTTTGGTAGAAATTTTACCAGGGAAACTCTTGTCTTCAATGCAGGACAATGCTGAGACTGACCAAGACCCTCTTTTGCATTTTGTTTTGAGATCTTTAGTTACTTGTACGATCACATTACACAAGACTTTTTTTGGGTGTTGTTAGCTGGAATTAGAGAAGAAATGGGTCAGTGTTGAAGTGTAAACAGAATTCAAACACTTGCTTTTGTAAACAGTGACTTGTTAGCTTATCTCATCCCTTGTCTCATCTATAATCGGAAAATTTTTCGTTATGGTCGGCGACATCGCTCCGGTTCGATTCAGTCACTACTTTGGGTGGCTCTCGGCGATCTGAGTTCTCGGTTTCCAAATTCGTCTCTCTCCTGATCTCTTCAGCTTCAATTACAAGGATACTGAAAATTTCCGATTCAGAAGCATAGAATCTGCAAATCTAGACACGAAAACGCAGGGGATTGGAATCTCCGGTGGAATTTCGAAACAAATAGATCCTAGTAAAGTTCGACTTCTCGCCGGAGCTCATGGACACGGAGCTATTTATATATTTATCATTAACTTAGAAAAACAATTTAGTTTTAATTAAATATTAAAATAATTTGTTAGTAGCGCGGTTAAAAGCCTTAAAGGACAGTAATTTATTGCCAACACATAAATGACAGTGACTATTTTTCATTAATTAAGTGAAATTCAAATGGAAAAAACGTTGGTTAGTAGATTTTCTTGATTTTTTTTTTTAACAGCTTTCTTGATCTTATCTTTATAATTGCAAGTGTTAATAATATGTTATCACGAGCCACATATTAATTCTTGAAATTTGCTGCTATTATCCACAACCGTTAGATTAGAAGTCCGTACTAATCCAAACAGTATTGAGTAAATCATGTTGAAATTATTACCCGTAAATTCTTCAGTTGCTGACGTGTCGATACTTTAATCCAATTAAGTCAAGTTCATCAACTGATCAAGAAGTAACTTCCCTCACAAGAAAGTATAATTTCACTCTTTACGTTCAAAACTCCAAAAGCATTTAAAGGTAAGAGAATCCAAAATCTCGCAACTTCTTCTTTCATCGACCCATGCAACGTTGTTGAAGATCCTTCGATTTCTATCTAGGGTTTCTCTCAAAGACGCACAAGCTTCATCAACAAGACTCTTCTCTCCGATTCCTCTGTGTTCTCAGCAATGTCGGACCAGAAAGATCAAGCCCCAAATTCTCCAGCATCTCGTAAGTCTCTTCCAGGTTAACTTTCTCATGGCTTTTGCGATTCTAGAGTTTCTCCTTCCTCTGTTTTCTCCTTCTCTGTTTTCTCCTTCTCTGTTTTCTCTCCCATTGATGGAATTAGACTGATCGGTGGTGAACTTTCTTGATTCCGTTGCTGTAGAATCAACTGATATACCGATCAAGAATACAGAGACTATCCCGAGCTATAGCAGTGACGATGCTATCCTGTTCAGCTCCACGAACAAGAACGAGAAACTCAGCCTACTCCAGAGAAGGGCTTACTTTTATGTTCTCCATGCCTTCAGAGCAGAATCTCCTGCAATATCCAGCGTAAATTAATCGTTCTTGTTCTATAATATGCATTGATTCGCTTCTTGGAACTTGTGTTCATGTCTTCTCTTCTTCAGCAAGGGATTACGATCGTGAAAGAACTGATGAAAGAATTGAAAATTGACCTCAACACTCACCAGAATTATGAGAATATAATCAAAGATGATCCAATGGTCCAACAATTGAGGTATCTTAATCATGGCTTTTACTACTGCAACGATGTGATCTTCTCTCCCTGCTTCTCTAAAGTTTGTGTCCTACCCTCTGTTTATCAGGAATGTTTCACTAGCGTCTGATGAGATGGAAATGCAGAAACTTACTGCCGCTGAAGAACAGAAAATTACTGGCGTAGATGGCCAACCTCTGAGAATCCGTATCAAACCGAACAAGGACGACATGGCCAAAATTGTAGGTTTTATAATCATCTCTTTCCAACTCGTATAGCAGACAATTCAATCTGGCTTTAACTCCCATTTTCTTTTTCCTTTTCTGATTGCTTAGCGAGACATGGCCAAAATTGTAGGTTTTAAAATCATCTCTTTCCAACTCCTATAGCAGACAATTCAATCTGGCTTTAACTCCCATTGTCTTTTCCTTTTCTGATTGCTTAGCGAGACAGGGTTTTAGCTCCTGCAAAGATAAAAGATGGAAAGGTTGTAGCTCCTGAAAAGATACAAGACGAAGAGGCAAAACCGAGTTCTACTTCTGAGGATTCACCTGTCCTAAGCTGGGGCCAGGTTTCTCCTTGGTCTCTTGTTGGAAGACACGTCAATATACAAATGCCTGACGAAGACGAGTACATTGAATTCCTCATCACCAAGTATGACGCAAAAACGGTAAGTCACTTCATGTTTACTTGTGTGTTGTTCATCAGGTCAGATCTCAGCCCTTCTAAGAAATATAGTTTCGAATCTACAGGAAACGCACCACCTGGTGAGTGCTTTCAGCAACAAGGATTATGAGGACCCGTGCAACTGGATTGATCTCAGACATGTAAAATCAAATTGTTATATCTCTTCTTCAAGTTTTATATTCGTCCTCCTTTTTTCAGAAGCTGAAACCCCTAATCTCAAACTCTTTGCAGGTTCCGGCAGAGGATATGCAATGGACAAACGGAGATCCTGGATTACCAGTATGGAAACGCTTTCTTAAACCAGGCGAAACTCTCTTGCACGAAACCAGTACAACTCGAAACAAGAAGCAACATAAGGAGGTACCTTGCAAACAGCTCCAACAAATTTTCCTTGTGATGCTAAACCCTTTCACTGACACAATTTCTCAATAAAACCTCTGTTAGGTTGGCAAAACTAGCACTGGGATTCCTATCATCAGAAAAGTTGATAAGGGAAAGGCTATCGTTGACGCATAATCTCCAATGCAGTAGGATGCTGAAGATGACAGATGCATGACAAGATTCTACATTGGAACAGTCTTATAACCTTGTTTGAGATCTCTGGCTCTTTATACAATCTACTAAACTCATATTTTGCTGCTATCTGGAATTAGAGAAGTGTACTATAAACAATTCCAATACTCTTTTTTAAATGACTGCCTTGTACACTTCTTAGAAATTCTTGATCCTATAGAAGATAGTTAAGTATTGCAATAACTCATCACCTCTTTGAACGTTTCTTGGGACGAGTAGAAGAACCTGTTTCCTTTTCACTAGTTTCACTGTCCCGCTTTGTCATTAGAGGAGCAGTGCCTCTTTTAGAGGCGGCACCAGTGTTTTTCTTTGCAGGACTACCCTTTTCAATTGTTGGCTTTTTCCCAGTTAATCGTTTCTGACCAGCAGGCTGTTTTACTGCATCCACTTTGTCATTCTTACTATTACTTTTCCTCTGTTCAGCTCCTCTCTTTCCATTAGAGGAATCAGCCTTCACTGTATCTACTACGGTTTCAGATGATGAAACCCCTTTCATTCTCTTAAGAAAACTAGCAGCACTTTGCTTTTTTGAGCCACCACTCGTGTTGTTACCCTTCTTTTCTTGAACACTTTTCTTCGGCACAGAGCTATCGTTTGAAGACCGGCCTTTACTAGAGATACCAGCATTCAAACTGGTCTTAACGTTTCTGCTCCCTACATATTTAGCTGCTGAGGGTGCTCCTCCTCTAGTCATCTTCTTAGAAACAATAGGTTTCTCATCTTTATCAGAGGTTCCATCTTCCTCCTCTTCTGAAACTGGCTTCTCATCGACTGTTGGAACTACTTTAGTCTTTTTCTTAAAAGTTTCAGTGACAGACGCTGAAGATCTAACAGCCAAGGAACTACGTTTCCGACAAGCTATAATAGGCACTGAAAGTGTTGGTTTTAGAGAAGAGACTGTGACTTCCTCCTTAGACGTCACCAAGGATTCCTCTTTTGGTGTTGGTAAGGTTTGATTAGGAATATTGAGACTCATCTGTTTCTTGATAAGCTGGTAAAGCTGCTTTGCGGCATTAAGCTCAGAAGATGGCTCGCCATAGAAAACTCTCACATTGTTGATTAGTAGCAGTAAATCCCGAAAGAACTTGCTCCTGGAGGTTTTGTAGTAACCTTCTTCCACACGACTTCGAATCATCTCAAAGTCTATGTGCTGCCTTATTATCCTTTCGTACTCGGATGTTTCCTGCAACTTCCCAATCAAACAAAGAATACTCAGGCTTTAAGATAAGCAGTATGATAATGAGTTAATATCATGATAATGAGTTAATATCATGATACTAAAGTAAAGACAGCAGAATTTTTTACATTTAAGGAAAAAATAATCATCAGCAGATTATTTTTGAACAGGATTGTTTATTATAGAATCGAACAAATTCTAGAAAATTATTTTGCAAAAACACGATGGAATTTGAATTGCTGCCAAAAAAAAAACATTTATGTAACTTTTAATATTTTTACCTGGCTCTCGAGCCGGCGCGAAAAGTGAGAGCCAATGGGGTGAGACTGAAGAATCTCGATAAAATCAGTCAACGGCTGAGATTCAACGGGGATCTTATTGACGGTCAGAGATTGATCCTCGTTATCCGGTTGGTGCTGGTCTACCGTCTCCTTTCTCGGTAAGCTCGCCGAGCTCTGCCCATCACTCGTTTCTTTCCTATCTTCCTCTCCTTTCGACTCGTCCATTGACTCAACGAACTCGGGCGAGTCATTTCCCTCTCTTTCTGGTTCTGCTCTATCCGATTCCTTGGCCACGCTCTCGCAACTTCCTCTACCCGAATCCTCTCTGACCGGCTTCTCGTCGTTGCCTTTTCCGTCGATCCGGTTCGGTTCTTCGTCCACTGGTTCAGCGATTTTAACATCTCTGTTCGTGTTCTCAGATCCGGTTCCGGGACTATTATCATTCGGATCTGGAGAATTTGTCGGCTCGGCGACCGGTACGCCGGAGTTATTTCCCGATTCACTGTGGTTCTCTTTCGTCTCCGCGATTTTATCTAGATCTGAATTCTCGGTTTTCAAGCTCTTCTCTCTCTCATCTTCCAATCTCTTTACCTTCAACTGCAAGGACCTGAACTCACAAATCCACGATTCAAAATCGAAGGTAACGCAAATCTAGAATCGAAACAAAAACGAAAAGGCAATGGTCGATTGAAATTACGAGATGGATAGATCGTAACGTTCGACTTCTCGTCGGAGTTCATCCACACGGAGCTTTCTCAGCTCCTCAAGCCAAGGAACAGAAGAGATCTCGGCGGCGAGGGTTTCGTCATCAGCAGATCCCGGCGAGGCCAGGTTACGGGAGAATCGGTGCTTGAGATCGTTGTACTTGTGACGACAGTCGATGGCGGTGAGTGTACGAACATTGGGGTTCTGCTTATGGATTTCAGAAGCGACGGAGTCCCATGAATCAGTACCGTGACGGTGAACGGCGCAGGCGAGGAGGAGCTCCTCCATTGTGCTCCACGTTTGTTTCTCTGGTGAATTTTTGTCGTTTTCCGGTTTTGCCATTATGTAAATGTAAAATGGAACAAAGTGGATTTTGCTTATTGTCACTTGTTCAATTTGTAGAAACTGAAATAGAAATGATCGTCTTCTGCTAATCGTTGCTCTTGGCCTCCACTAAGAAACACCTTGGGGCTGATTATTTTTATTTTTTGTATTTGTCGGACAAATAATTTTTTAATTATGTAGTAAGGTTTCGTTATTAAAATGTTCGTGCAAATGCAAAGGCGCACCAATTGAGAAAAATGTTGAACAACTTAGCTCTTTTTGTCGTATCACTTTAATGGGCCCAAGCATTACACCGAATCCATTACCGGTTTGGAACCAAAAGTCCCAACCAAGAGAGTCCAATTTTGTTTATCCATAACATTTAAATTTTAAAATTGGATTGTACGGAAGCAGTTAATTTAATGTTTAATCCAAACTAAAGAAGAAGAAAAATGACTACTGTGGACAATACATTCGTTCAAGTTGTCTGCACTGTAATATTCACCTTACCGACATCGACATTGACATTGACATTGACCTTAACCATAGAATGGAAGAGCGTCGAGATCTTGCGGAGGACTATGTCGTGCCCGATATCAATGACTATGAGATATTCTAAATCGTCTTAGATCACTTTGCCATTGACAAAATATGGTTTTGCTGCAAAAGTATATTGCGATCCGTTAGGTTTCAGGTTTACCGAAGGACGAGTTCTACCGAAAAAGAAGATAATTTTGCTGCTACTTGGAGAGACCGGTAAGTCTCCTCGCAAACTCTTCTCGAATTCAACTACACTTGCCAATGCTTAAGAAGATATACAAAATACGTTCAAGGTCATAGAGTTCACACTGCAAATTATAATCACCATCAAGATTTACATTGATTGATATAATACTGATTCAGATCAACTCAACATGCTTATCGGTTCCATAAAGAGAGTTCAAAATACGGATGTTAAAGATGGGTAAAAACCCAGTGGGTACCCGAAGCCCATGTTTAAAACTGAGCCCAAAACCTGCTTTTCTAGTTAAAAAAAATATGGGTTTAATACGGGCGGGTACCCGAAACGATAGAGTCTTACACGGGTTTACCCTATCAGGCTATGGGTACCCATCGGGTTTTTTTCTCTCACTTAACTGTTATGTATAAAACGAAGCCTTTTTGTATTTTTTACCTCCAAAAATTCAAAACACGAACCCTAATCCGATTGTTTTTATTTGTTTATGAGTGAATGCTTTAGATTTTGTGGTACCCGATTTGATTTCAGATTTGGAAACAATAATTGAAAATGAAACCAAATTTGATGATTTTGATTTTGTTTGATCTTGTTCATGTTCTGATATTTTCTGGGATTTGGAAGCATTCTTGAATATTGATGACTGAAGCAGTGCTCGTGGTTTATTTTGAATTGGCAATTAAAAGTTGTGTCGATGGCTTTGACTTTTTTTTGTTTTAAACTTATTCTCTTAGCTTTATCTCAAATATACTAAACTTCTCTATACGAGATTCACATATATCTCGTCAATAGTTTTGGATGTTGTGCTACGTAATTGGCATTTGCTGGAAATTGGGTTCATGCTGAGAACAGAGGAGCTGATTCTCGATAAAAATAATAAAAAGTTATCAACATTTTTTTGGTAGTTATATAAAAATAAGATTATCCAATTTTTATAAATTAAAAAACTGAATTTAGATGAATACATTACAAGATTTAGATGAATATGATAAGAGTGTAAAACACAAATACATATAGTGAAGCACCAAAAAAAAAACACAAATACATATAGTAGAAATACATATAAATTCAAAGAAAAAAAAGAAGAGAAAAAAAAACTCAAGTATAAAAATTTGGGTACCCACGGGCTAACCCGAAACCCATCGGGTTTTTTCGGGTTTACCTATTAAAACCCAAAACCCATCGGGTTTTCTAAATTTGGGCTTTTCGTGGGCGGGCTCAATTCGGGTTCGGGCTGGGCCGGGTTTTTTTACCCACGACAACATCTCTAGTTCAAAAGCATAATCTCATATAAAACTCTGAAGATTCCATCAAAAGATTCAAAACAAGTTCTGCATATCTAATCCAGAAGATTCAACGCACATATATACAAAAGCCATAGCTGATTAAGTCGACAAATGTAGTGGAATTCGAATAAAGCCTGTGATTACCAAATAGCCGCCATAGAAGCTTCAAGCGGCTCCTTTTAAAGCTTTCTTCAGCTCCTCAGCCACATCGCCCTCTTCCTTGCTTTTCTTTCCGCCGTAATCAGACGTCGTAGTTCTCTCGCTGCTCCACCGATCAGCTCTCGATCTCCCATTGTTGTTGCTCCTCTCGGGTTCGCGGTATTTTGAGTGTGATCCGTAATCAATAGTAGCCGGCGAGTATGGACGGACGTTTGATATTACTTCCCGGAGATCTTCGACGGCTCTCTTTAACTGTTTGTTCTCCGTTCGAAGCTCCTCCATCTGCCGATTCACGGCCAAACAAACCTCCGCCACGTCACCACTTGGTGTGAGCTGACCCGAATCGCTCGAGGATTTGGTCACTTTTGCATCTGAGCCGTCCACGTGTTCGATTCCGATTTTATTCATCACTAAAAAGGGGAATCTCCTCAGGGAAATCGCAGCCGTTGGATCGAAATCGCGTCTGATCTCCGTAGGAACCCTAACGCCCCACCGGAAATTCAAAACGGCGCGTCCTCTCACAGGCAAAGACGTCCTCGCCGCAACCTCAACGCCGGATAACAATCCAGCAATATCTCCAGCAGAAGTTGACGGCAGAACCGTTACTTTCCTAAATCCTCCGCCGCATCCATTGACCGCTGGAGTATCCACGACCTCAATCGAAGAATCATCTTCCGAAACAGATCCATTCATCGATTTGATCAGATTTGTTTGAGACGACGAATGAGACTTTTTGATAGAGAAATCGCCGAATTGAGGTTTGAAGTGAAGCATAAAGCTAGGGTTTCCTTTACCTAAGAGATTGAATTCAGCGCTCATGAGCATAGAGCTTGAAATCGGAGAACCGAACGATCCCGATCCGGTTTTGACGATTAGAGAGAAAGGGTTCCACGAATCGTTTGGACGGTAAGCGACTTTGAGAGAAGGTCCAGATTCGAAGAAAGTGGAGAGATTGAGACTGAGCTCCTTGGATTCTCCGGCGACGATACCAGATTGAAAAGGTAAACCTAAGATACTCAAAGGAACCTTAGCCCTAAAAAGAGGCTTTTGCTCTTCACGAAACTTCATCGATGCCTTCATCTTCTTCTACGTACAAATTCCCCAAAATCAAAAATCGAATTCAGCTAGTAACTTATAGAGAGTACAGTGATCGAAGTAGAAGGATTTATACGAGTTTTTAATAGTTTTAAAGGAAATTTTCCATTTTTTTCTTAAGAATTGGGAATTTTGTAAAGATTTTGGTTGGACATGAGGATAAAGGCTCCAGAAGTCATTTTTCCGATTTCACCCTCGTGTTAAATGAAGAATAACGGATAATGCAGACTGGTCTGTGGTGTAATTATGTGGAAGTTCCAAGGCTAAAAGATAAGATGGTTAATGATTAAAATGAAAGGTGGACAAATGCCCGGTAGTTTTGTCTATCTGTTCTGTTTTTTTCTCTGTTGATTTACATAAAGCCCGTAAATACACATGGGCTTTTAAGTCAGGCCTGTACGCTGGGCTCTATCACGCCGTTCGTTTTGTTTTGGCGCGATTTAGGGCTTTTTTTGTTTTCTAACCTTTTGTTTTTCTTTGTATGAGTTTTTCTTATTTTTATCAACGATACGATTTATCCATCGTCTTAAAGAGGTTAATCAATCGAAAGAGAGTAAAAAGGTGAAAATTAGTCTTTAGTGGTGGCTGATTAGATTCTGCGTGGATTTATTTGTCCGTTTATAGTCTTTGTTGATACATGTATTTACTGAAAAAGGAGATTTTAGTATATTATTCCTTGAGTTTATACTGTAATTTTCGATCAAAGATAAGACTAAATAACAAATTAAGCATGCAGAAGAATTGAAAAGGCTTTTAATGCTCTTGGTTCGTCACAACAAGGTGTTTCACATTCCGCAATGACCTTTCTGGTTTTGCAAATCATTCAGGGAGGATAGATTTGAACATCATCGCTTCATCTACTTCCACATCTTTATTGCAATGTTGAGAATATAAGGGAATTGTATATATGTAAAGGATATATGAGTCTTTAGTTATTGTGTATACCCTAGTGTATATATATATATATATATATATATGTATATGATTCCTCTTAATGAATTGATTCACTCTCTTCCTACAAAGAAGATTAACCGAATCGTTTTTTTATGTTTCTATGTTTTTATTCTTTTTGCCATGGAATCATATGTGTAGGTTTCAGATTCTATATTTGTAACCTAAACTGTTTTCATTATCAATGAAATATTTATAATTTAGCAAAAAATAAGAATTGGAATCATTATCATCAAGAGCTGACCAAAATAAAGATGATATAGCACATACAGTTCTATAGCAGAATTTACCAATTTACAACCAGACGACTTTGCAATTAATATCATCATTCACGATATCAAACACAAATAACTTTAATATTTTATAAAAAAATTATATTAAATTTGTTGGAACAAATGTTTATATGTGGGGGTTCTTCAATATTACAGCTAAGCTAGAGATGTACAAGAAGAAGTTGTGAAACTGGGAACCACGTCAAACACATATATGGGAGAGGACCACAATCTATACGGCTAAGGTAAGGACACGTGTCTAACATCCAATGGTTTAGTTGCCCGCATGTGGGCCGAATCTAGAAGAGAGCAAAAGACTCGTGTGTTCGACTCTGAGTCTCTGACGCAAGCATTTGTACAAAAAGCTCTCAAACTACAAAACCAAATCTTTTCCGTTGAGTTTCAAACTCTCTCTCTCTTTCTTACTTCGAGCCGTTAGATCTCTTTCATATCTCTACTCTTAATCCGACGGCCATTATCCATTGTATCTTATCTTATAGTGGATGAATCATTCACCACTGTGATTGAATCAATATAATGTAATTTTGTTGGGAAATATGCTCTGAGGCAAAGTCAGATTGTGCAACAAAAACCTAGGGGTTTATGTACGGTTTAATAATATGTTTTATTAAGGATGATCGACACACGTATATGTTCTCTAATTAACATTTTGTTTGTTCATGTATTTTTAAGTAGTTATAGAGATAATAGCTAGGAAGCTAGTTGTCTTTGTTAAGTTATTTTTCTTGCCAAGTTGTCAGAGATATTAATAATAACACTATAGTACTATATATAGCTATGCATTTTGGTATATTCGTTTCTTATTCGTGGTCGATCACTAATATTTATGAGGAGCTTGCTGTATATAGATTTTGATTTGTTTTAGATAATGCATAGATGTGTTGGGTGATGAAAAAGAGAAGTTATATATTAATTAATATATGCGACCTTAATTTTTATTATTCTTTGGTATTCTCGTATCTTGATCATAAAGAGAATGAAAGAAAAAATGGTGAAGAATAGACGTCAGGAAGTGAAACTGCCTCGTGCATTAAGAGATAGAGGACGTGATCAGACGACTAAAGGTAAAAAAGCTAAGTGTTAGTCACCGCAGAGTCATGCCATCTCCATGTCTTCACATTCTACTTTTCCTTTTTATTATCACTTAGCTTACCTCCTACTTTTGTATTAACTTGTTTCCTTTTTGTTCCTTTAATTTAGTTGCTTTTATCCAAAAAAAAAGATCATTTAATTGCTTCATTAATGCAAACTCAGTGAATAATTATGATATGCATGTGTAATAAATTCACAATGACAATATTATACATGTATGAGTGTATGTTTTTGGCTGATACAATTAGAATAAACTGTAAATTAGAAGTTCAGACAATGATATGCAAAAATTGACTTCTATTATTAACTAAACATTATAATATAAACGAATATTGTATTGTTGGAAATATAAAAAAACCAATCATATAAGTTTGTTGAGTTTGTGTGTCATGGGGCCAAGTTTGTGAAATCCTACTTATCTATACAACTTGCATTTATCTATTATACACAAGGACACGCATATATATAGGCACAGAACATAAAAATTCCAACATTACGTTAAATATTAAAGAAAATACAACATGGAGATTAATTTGGGTTGTGTGAGGGGACCAATGTGCTTCTTGTTCCTCTATTCCATGTCTTAAGAAGCTAGCATACTAACACATCTTTCTCATATATAATACAATAAATACATGTAATTAGTTATTCCAACTAGTTTTAAAAACTAGTAAAGATTAATTTAATCCAACTAGTTTCTCCAATAAATGTATATATCAACAAGACCAGAGATCCATTTGTTTAAAATATATCCTTCTTACTATTAACTACATGATGGCTATAAATTTATAATTTTGGATCGTGGTTTGAGTACAATTATCAAATAGATAAACAAAATGACCATTAAATTACATGCCTATATCTAGTTCATATATATAAAGTACTCCACATAGCATAATTTAAAAGGATATCAGTTGTCGAGAAAAAGTTTAAAATATCTTTTTCTTTCATACTTATTATTTCCTCTCCTTCTATATAACCTTCAAATATCTTCACTTACAATCAAATTCACCAACTCTCTCTTCCTCTCTCTGTATTGCTAAACAATAAACCCTACTTATTCTAAAAATGGAAGCCACGATCTTCGAGAAAAGAAGAAACTCATTATCAAGCGTCGCGGTGCACAAACAGTCATACTCCATAACCAAATCAAAGCCAAAGATCCGTATAATTCACATATTTGCTCCTGAGATCATCAAGACCGACGTTGCCAACTTCCGTGAGCTCGTCCAAAGCCTCACCGGCAAACCAGACGACCAGAGAGCTTCCAAGACGAAACCTAGAAGAGATATGCATCGTCTTCATCGTCAGGTCCAAGACATGATCAACACGGAGAAACTAAGAGAACCCGAGCATTGTGATCAAGGGTTCTGCTTAAACTCAGAAGAGATCTCGATGACTTGGAACGGTAATAATGGTGCTGGTGAAAGCTCCGGAGGGTTCTTGAATGGTTTGGGAGATTTCGAAGGGTTTATTCAAGAACTTGGTGAATTTCCGTATTTGCCCTTGTCCTCCATGGATGCTTCTGCTTCTTCTAATTCCTCTTCTTCCTCTCATTTACATGGTGGATCAGTTTTCTCAGATCAATTCCCTTAACTCGATCTCTCAAAGGATGTGTAACTTTTCTTCTTCTTTAAGTTGTATCTTTTATTTTGTTTACTAGGTTTTTGTGGAAATTAATTAAATTTATTACTTTTTTTTTTTGTTTAGTATGAGGCTAATTGATTTGATGAAATGAGCTGAGACTCCTTTATTTCTCCCTTAAGGTCTTATGATTTGTTCATCGTCTTTCAACATGTAATTTACACTGATAAATGTTGTGTCTAGCTTTTGCTTTCTTGGATATCCTCTAAGCCATTTACAATGTTTCATAATTATCAGAGTGAAAACTGATAAGTGATAATGATTGTAAACACCTATAAAATGGAAGCCCACATCACAAATATTCAATCCAAAACATTCACTAACAAAATCAACAAAGGCAAATATTGGCAATCGAATGAGACAAAAGACGAAGTAGATTTAAGATATACTGTGTTGAGGTCCGTAAGTTGTATATGCTTTTTGTTTACATTTACAGACATAATCAGGGTAACATAAGAAACTGTTTTTAACTGTTGTATTCAAGATTCTCTACAACGCTCGATGAAGACATCGAAGACGATGTTTCAACCCTTGTTAGAACTTCAGGCACTCCTGCGGTATCTCTTACAATCTACACAAAAACGATAAAAAAGACTCGTTTTTTAATATCATGTTAGCTTCAACTTGTATGAACATAACATTTCAGGAACTTACAAGAATCTCGTCGTCTAGATAAGATATCATGAAGAATCTTTGGTAAGTTCCACCTGAAAGTCAATAACAACAACACTATGTGGTTATAATGTTACATGGAGGAGGGGAAAATGTTGAAATGATGCTTATGGCTTACCAAGGGGAATTCTTAGACCATTGGCTAGAGTATCCTTGATAGGTGCAGGAAGCTGCTGCAACGTGGTAGAAGCTTGGCCCAATAAACCTCTTAGCTGGTCAGGTACTGCTTCTTCAATAACCGTTGGCGACTCGAGCATTCCCTCTAAATACTCTTCTTTCATCCTTAAAGGCCCTTCTATTGTCAATTTCGATGACAAGATGATTTTGTTTTCTATCTGCATTATTTTCAACAGAAACAAAGAAACTCTTTTTGAGTCTGGTAACACTCAAAAACAAAGAAACATCCATAATTCTTATCCAGAAAAAACGTATACAATTTACCGAGTTTAGGAGTTTGATGTTTGCTGTTGCCAATGTGTTATTATCCTTAATAACTATCTCCATACTGGATAGACTCACCAATGTCGAAGGAAACCTCCTGCCACAATTCCAAACAGATAGAGCAATGCTTAAAACTCTCAAGATATAAAACCGAATGATTCTGTGTTTTTCCATGAGCAAGATTGTAAGAACACTGACTCGAATATAACCCGAACAGCAAGTGAACCAGGAGTGTTGGAGCCAAACCACTCAAAACTCCATCTACCTTCAAGATAAGGAGACCTGAAAAGCTAGCTATTAGGTACCAGTCAAAAGGCATTGGTCCCTCAAATAACACCTTAAAGCTTAAAACTATGAAGCTCAAAATAGGGCAACTTACGTGGTTGGTCTAGGAGTTGGATTAAGGCGCTCAAGAGTGGTTATCCTCTCATTCACATCAATCTTTTGCATATCAGTGATCTTCCCAGTAACTAGAGCCTCAAATCCTCCAGAATCATTGAACTGTAATCTAAAATGGTTTCAGAACTCCAACAGAGAGCAATCTAAAATTCACTCTTAAAGTTCATACTTTGCAACCTGTGAATCCATCCAAGCAATCTAATGAACCAGATACTAAATTCAACCTAATTCTCACCAGTTTCTAAGAATGAAAGTTTCAATTTTTAAGAAATTCGAAGAGAGGAGAACTTACGGCGAGAATAAGCGATTCCTTAGCAGAGAGACGCTCCATTTCTCTGGCGTAAACCGAAGGAATCCCTTGAACGGCGTCTTGAACCATAGCTCTGCATATCATTCTCCGGCAACAACTCTTCTTCTCCGACTGAAAATTGAGAGAAACCCTTGACGGCGGAGGAGAAGACGACGGTGGTGATACGGAGGATGAGAAGCTCAATCGAACCGCAGAGGTCCCAGAAACCGAACCATGTTGGATCAATGCCATTGACGAAGAAGGTATAAGGGGAAAAATGTCAAAGATGGATTTTTTATTTAGCTGCGTAGAAGTCTGAAGAAGTAGTAGTAGGTAGAAGAAGACAAGAGAGCAGAGTCTTTATTTACTGTTTTCCCTCTTTCAAGATAAATTTTATTTTATTTTTCCACATGTAACAAATATTAGAATTTTTTTGAAGAATATAACGAACACAAGTACACAACTAATTTATCAGTTTAAAATTAATTTTGTTTTAGCATAACTGCATAAGCAAGTTTATATATATAAAAAAAAAGTCTAATATAAGTGTATGTTTAAATTCGTGTAAAATGCATCAAAACAATATTTACTTCAAATCAAAAAGAGTGCTACAATACTAAACGAACATTGATGATATAAGAATTTGCCTCCACATTTTAATTTTGTGCATTTATTTCAAACATGATTCTCCTCATGCTCTATCGAATTAATGGAGAAAAGGAGAATAATGACATTATTATTAGTAAATTAATGATACTCCTCATGCTTCATATCGAATTAATTGAGGTTTTCACATATATTTATTTCCATTAACTCGTTTTCTTGGGCAAGAAAAAGGAAAGAGTCGAGCTTATAATACTCAGATCTTAACTTTATTATATATTAGACATTGCAGTGAATCTTCTTTCCTTTTGTCGCGTCAATTGGAATCCGAGTATATTAGGTGAGACTTGTTTATGTAAAACTATAATTAAGTTAATATTTTCTTGAAGTTTACTCCGTTAGAGATTAACATCAAGATCGTTTTCCTGTTTTTGATAGGTTATTAATTTTTTTTGAAGAAGATAATGAAGTCTTGTTCCTCACCGAAGATGATGATGATGAAATCCGTGACCGCTTGTCTAATTTTAACCCTTTTGATAATTTCCGTCGCCGCAAAAGGTGGTGGTCACGGTGGTGGAGGTCACGGCGGCGGAGGTCACGGTGGTGGTGGTGGTCATGGTCGGGGTGGTGGTTTATTTTTCTCTGGCGGGCACGGTGGCTCTCATCATCGTAACAGCGCTTCCGTTGACGGTTCAAGCATGGGTCTAACGATGGCATGCTTGGTGTCTTCTGTTTTGTTCATGTTGTTCCAGAGATTCTGAACTTTTTAGAAAGTGAAGAACTTATGATATTTACTATAGCTTTGTTTCTCATAGTTTTTCATAAGATATAGACACTCTAGAGAATTTTTTTTTTTTTTTTGTTGCGTGTAAGTCACGATGCAATCATATTTGATCAAACATTTTATTTAGGGTTGCCAATTCGGCAAACCAAAAAAGATACATATTCTTGTGTTCCGATGATATTTTGGATCTCGTGTTCGTTTGATTTGAAACAGGAGTTTCCTTCGGGAGCAAAATTCAATATGCACGGCTAACACACCACGTAATATAATTAGTGGAGGAATCTCGAAACAGGAAGGTGAAAAAGGCTAGTGAAGCTCGACTTATATGTAAGCTTAGTAATAGTTTCTTCTCCTCTTTACATGGGCGTAGAAGCATTTTGTGTGAACAATCTGACGGTCCGGATTTATTGTAATCATCTTTTGCTATTCACATCCATTCACATATATTACAACGATCACATCATCCCTACACAACATTAGGTTCACAATCAAATATGACTACACCGAACAAAATCACATGTCTATATATTATTGGCTTAAGACACACTCTTTTTATGTTTTGGTTTTAATGTTAAGCTAGAAAAAGTATCTCTTACGTTCTTAATTGTTAAGGATGAACTAAACTCTCTTCTCATACAAGCAAACAGCAATCACTCGTAATTACAAATACTTAGAATATCGCATTGTCCGAGTTTTTTTGTCTGCATAATAGAGGAACTGCTTTAGTGACGTTCAAGGACCACATGAGAGGACTTATTGACGTCTTCATGTTTATTAACTACGTTGAATTGATACCAAAAAAAAATACTAGACAAGCTTTGCGCACAAAAAAAAAAAAAAAAAAAAGCGATAGGCAATTAAGTTGGGCTTTAAAGATATCTTGGGCCTTATTCGTGAGGCTCAAATTTGGCCTCTTCTTTGTTTTGGATTTAATTTTCGATCTCTGCTTGAAATGTCGGTTTAGAGTGTAAACTGTACGGCCTATGGTGGGTCGAAGCAGCTGAGGCAATCAGGCTACATTCCGGTTAGATCTCTTCGGCCGCCGGCGGAGATGATCGCCGCCATAAGAGCAGCGATTCTCAAGCCACAAGACTGTTGTTCTTACCTCAAAACAGCTTTTTTCCATTCTACTTCTATCTTACAACGCAAACATCAATCCGTCAGTCTCTCCCTCCCTCTCTTCTGCACATTCACATTGTTTCTGCTTCTCAATTGTTGCTTGGATTGTATTTCTCTATGATTGTTGGTTCAATTGTTCAGAGTTTGATTCTATGGATAAAAACCTCGTTTTGATTTTGACATCATCTGATAGAATTCAAAAGCTCGAAGCAAAAGGTTGGGAAGAAAGAAGGCTAAGCAAGATTTGCGTCGTAATGTGAATGCTTTCGCACAACACTTATTTGGGGTAATGTCAAGTTTGTGAATTTGTTTTGTCGGAATGAAACATTTTTTTTGTCAATGTATAACTAAAAAGCTTTCATCTTGATGTAGTTTTTGTAATTTTGTTTCCCAGATTTGGAGTGATGGGTTTGATTACTCTGGTAAGCACACCTCGTGGTTCGAGAAACAGTACTCTAGAGTTTCCAAAAGGAATCGGATTGGTAAAAGACACATCCCTCAACATTTGGATAAAAGTAAGTAAGACAAGTCTCCTTTGCCTCTGCTTTCTCTTCAATGACTAAACTATATAGTTTGTGTAACTGCTTCTACAATTAAGGTCTATAGACTGTAGCTACCAGTGCTAGTGGTAGAGTTTATTTTAAGTAAAAGGCAGTCTAGTGATCACACATGTGTTGTTTTGTTGGTTTCACTTTTGGATGTAGATATTAGTCTCCAACAATGCTTTCATTTATGTAGGATGTTTTGATTTTAGTGAAGTTGATGATGGATATGAAATTGAGTACTTTTTGCGGACTGCATTGGGTGGATCCCGAGGTTTCTCTTGGTCAAGCCGTCGTGAAGAGGGGGGAACTCGCTCAGGGAGGTACTCTAACAACTTTAGAAAATCTTGGGGTTCGAGATATCGATTAGATGAAGAAGAAGAAGAAGAAGAAGACAAGTATTCTTCAACAGAATCGAGCGACACAGAACCAAACCAGGAGTCTCATAGACAAGCACTTGGTTTGAGTTCATCAGGTCCCTTAAACCTTGAAGATGTCAAAATTGCGTAAGTAAAATTTAGTCACTTCATCTCATCAGCGGGAAGCTATATTTACATCGATCATGTTTTATTACTCTCCATAAACTCTTGCTTGCCAACTTTTTCCTCAGATACCGAGCTTGTGCATTAAAATGGCATCCAGATCGTCACCACACCTCTACCAAGGTAACTAATACAATCTCCTCCTCTATATTCACCACTTCATTGTGTTTTTAACAACTTAATGCATCGAGCCCTGTATGTGTTTCTTGGCACTGACTAGTGACTACAAATTGGTATGATGAAACACAGAATGAAGCTGAGGAAAAGTTCAAGCTCTGCACTGTGGCATATCAATCTTTATGCGAAAAGCTAGCCATGAACTAATAGTGTAGTTTATCACCTCGAGTTTTGATAAGAGTTGAATAGGGTATGACAAGTGGTTAGCTCAGAGAGATTGCAAGATCTTTTCTCTGACCACGGCGATGCAGATTGTTTATCGACTCTGTGCTTGATACCGACTGCTATTAGTGTCAGACTCAGAATGAATCACATTTAAACCTGGCATTTCCCCAGTTTTCTTGTGTTGACGAATGTAGGAAGTAAGAACTTCCATTTATGTAGAAAATGGAGTAAGAGAGAAAGGAAAAAAAAAATCCATTTATGTATGCATTCATTCTTTTAATTTTCTTGCTTCTGCAGTATCAGATGTCAAATGTCAAACTTTGCAAGTTTTTTTCTTCGGTCCATTAATTACATAAAAATTGTTTATTTTTCATTTAAAAATATCAATATAACTTTTTCTAATCTTTTTGTTTTTTGATAATATTTATTTATGTATTTTACACCCTAAAGATCTCTGATGCCAAAGTACTTAACTAACAAATTTCACCAAAAAAGTACTTAACTAAAAATTGTATATTTTCATAATTTGTTTTTAAAAAATAAGAAAAATAATTAAAATATAGAAGTTTAAAGCACCTATATTTATACTTGATCCTTTTTTTTTCTTTTCAAAAGATTATGTTAAAGGACCTTTTAACTATTTTTATACTGATTGAGGTTTTAACATATAGTATTTATTTTGATTAACTATTAGGAAAATAACTCCTTATCGCGTCAATAGGAATTTCCGAATTTGAGTAGATGAGGTGAGACTTGTTTATGCAAAACCCTAAGTTGCTATTTTTTTTTGAATTTTCATCGTTACAGCTTAAAATCAATAGCGTTTTCCCTGAAGAAGTTGATGAAGTCTTGTTCCTCAAAGAAGATGATGACTATAAAATTTGTGACAGCGAGTCTAATCTTAATCCTTTTTATAACTTCCGTGGCCTCAAAAGGTGGTGGTTTTCGCGGTGGTGGCAGTAGGCGTGGTGGTATAATTCCAATCCACTTCGGCTCTAGTCATCGTAATAGCGGTTTGGTTGACGGATCAAACATGGGTTTAACGATGACGTTTGTGTTGTCTTCTTGTGTTTTGCTTATGTTGTTCCAAAGATTCTGAACTTTTGAGAATGTGAAGAACTGGCCTTTTAGGTTTTTCATATAAGTATAATTGAATTTTTTATTTTTTTGCAAAAACTTGTTATTCATTTGGGGACATCTGATTAAAACGTATATTTCAATTCGCGTTAACAACAACGACATTAACATTAAAAACGGAAGAACTGGTTTTTAATCATCTTTTTATTTGGGTTAAATTATGTATTTGATGTCAACATTTATATTTAGAATCTAAAATGTATTTTGAAACATAAAAGGACATTATTCTTTTTTAAGAATCTCGAGACTACAAATGTTTGTGACTTTGTGTCTAATATTTTTCAGCGATTCGCTTATTTAAAAATATTCGATCAAATTGAACAAGAAGGTTTGAACTTATAGAAATAAAACAAGAACGAAATTGAGCTTCAAAAGTTTATCGAAAAAAAAAGAAAGAGTAAATGGATAATTATTATCTGTATAATTTTATCTTTCTTTTTTTTTAACTCGTATTTGTATAATTATATATATCTATTAGTTCATTTTCTCGGGAAAAAAGGATAGAGTAGCCAATAAGGGACTAACCTAAACAAATTAGGGCTTGAGAGAGTACTTTTTCCTTATTAAGTGAGGGTTTCCTCTGTTACAGATTAAAATCACAAGCGTCGCTTGTTTGTTTTAGTTTTTTTGTAGGTTTATAGTCCTCTTGAACAAGATGATGAAGTCTTATTCCTCACCAAAGATGATGGTGATGATGAAATTCCTGACCGCCGGTCTAATCTTAACCCTTTCGATAACTTCTGTTGCGGCAAAAGTTGGTGGTAGTGGTCGGGGAGGTGGCCGTCGCGGTGGTCGTGGAGTGCATGCCTTCGGCAGCGGCTCTCATCATCATCATTATCATCATCATCATCATCATCATAATCATAATCATCATCGTAATAGCACTTCCGCTGACATCTTGATTTTGGTTTTTTCATTGCTTGGTCTCCTTATATTTGTTTCCATTGTGTTTTATGTGTATCTTCGCCGTCGTTCCAAAGAACCTGAACCTTTGAAAACGTGAAGAATATATCAGAATAATGATGGGGTTTTTTCCCCATAAGATAAGGTATAGACAATTTTCAGAGATTGTAATTTTGCGTGTAAGTCACGCTACCAAACGCTATTAGATCAAACATCGATCCAATTCGGAAAAAAAAAGACTTGTTTGTGTTCGGATTTGGGAGGTATTGTGGATCTTGTTTGGTTTGCAAGAGCTCACAGAAAAGTTTGTCTATAATGATGATATTCTCAAATCTCAAACCAATTATTTTCATATCTCTCCGATATCTTATCTCCGATTTTTTTGGTTTCACAACAGACATTAAATTTTTATCAGGGCCCAATGGATCCAGTGGCCCGTTTAATCTATGGAGTCAGACTCGAGACTACGCCATTTGCCCAAAAGTACTCACGCAACTGTAGTTTAATTTGAGTTTCTAAGATAAAATTTTCTCTTTTAAATTAAAACTTGGAAATTTTTAGAAATCAAATTTATAAATCACCTATACTTGAGTCCTTATGTGCATTTGTTTGAGTAGTTATTAATGTGTTAAATTCTCTTCGTTCATGCTTCTCAATCGATTCCAAAGTTGTGTGTTGTCAATCATCCGTAATTTCGTATCGGTTCAATTGTGGAATTTTCCTAAATAATTGATATGGATCAATATGACCATATTGTTAGATTTCTTATCCATTTATAAAATGTATAACTTTTCTATTAAAACGAAATAATAGAGAAAGTTTAGCATCTAAACAAGGGTTTTCACACCAAAAACGAAAGACAACTAATGAGTTTTGGTATGCATTTATAGAAACCATTTGGTATCTTTCAACATTCGTCCTTCTTATCATTATAATCACCTTTTCTTAATAAAGAGGATTGCACATAAACATAAGTTTTTTTTTTCTTCTCTCTATTAATCAGAAAACAATCTTGTCTCACAAAAAAAAATGATTCTAAATTTCCCTAACCGTCCGATCACAAAAGATCGTGATCATCGCGTGGAAACTTTAGACCATCCTTTACCTAAACCGGAGCGTACCAGATTCCTCTCTCTCTCTCTCTCTGCTTAGAAGAGTTTTTGGGTTCGTTTTCCCACTTAAGCCAAATTGGACAAGATTTGGACGTTTGTGTATCTAAAAGCTAAAAAAAAAGGCGAATTTTTCCATGGCGTTGTCGGAGTTTCAGCTAGCTCTGAGCTTGGTGGTGGTCTTGTTGTTCTAGCTCATTTGATCAACCCCATGGTCTTACACGACCTAATCGAAACTCCAGGTCGTTGATTGATTCTTCTCTCTCTCTCTCCAGCTCCAGATTCTTCTGATTCGTTTTGTTATCATTATTTTTGTAAGATTTGTATCGGTTTTTGGGTTTTGCTAAGCTGATTTTTGCTGGATCGAGAGTTGAATAGCTTTTTGGGTTTTCTTCAATCTGGGTTCTTTTTTTGTTTTCGGTTGTGGATTTCTCAGGTGAGGGATTTGAGAATTAGGGTTTCCGATTGGGGGTTTTCTTGTTGATGTTTACCTTTCAAATTGTTTTCGAAGATCTAGAGTAATGGAATAATGGCTCGTCTCTTGCCATCTCTATTTGTAATTAGCCTCATCTTGTTTATCCAAAGACGACTCTTTTCTTCGTTAATTCATCCCCAGCTATTGAATCTGAAGCAAATCTGAGAATCTACCAAACTCCCACGCCTGTATTTTGCTTCCACGGTAAATATCTCTTCTTTTGATTTTCGTTTTTTGTTGAATCAACTCTTTTTTTCTATTGCAAAGTTCGGAATTTTGTAACCTCTTTGCTTCTCCATTTCTTAATTCAGAGAATTTTAGACTTTGTGTTCTTCTTTCTTAATGTTTTTGACTTTGTGTATGCTTTTATCTGGTGGATATAGTTACTATGCTAATATGCTTACAGGTAATTGTTTCTCTTCCCTGCAGAATAATAAAGATCACACGGAGTACATATTGTTCCCCGCAAGTGAAAGCAAGAGCCTTTTTGTTTATTGATGGGTGAGGAGTTAGCTGATACAATGAACCTGGATTTGAATCTTGGGCCTGGTCCAGAGTCTGATCTCCAACCTGCACCAAACGAGACTGTGAATTTGGCTGATTGGACTAATGACCCGCCTGAGAGATCTTCTGAAGCTGTGACGAGGATCAGGACTCGGCATAGGACGCGATTCAGACAGCTTAATCTCCCTATCCCGGTTCTATCTGAAACCCATACCATGGCTATAGAACTGAACCAGTTGATGGGAAGTTCTGTCAATGGAGCTGCTATGCAGACTGGTGAGGGTAGTGAAAGAGGCAATGAGGATCTGAAAATGTGTGAGAACGGCGATGGAGCCCTTGGGGACGGTGTATCGGAGAAGAAAGCGGATATCGATAAAAGCAGTGGCAGCGACGGTAACTTTTTCGATTGTAATATATGTTTGGATTTGTCGAAGGAGCCGGTTCTCACCTGTTGTGGCCATCTTTACTGTTGGCCTTGTCTGTACCAATGGTTACAAATTTCGGATGCGAAGGAATGTCCGGTTTGCAAAGGAGAGGTGACCTCCAAAACCGTGACACCGATCTATGGGCGTGGAAACCACAAAAGAGAAATTGAAGAGAGTTTAGATACTAAGATCCCCATGAGACCACACGCGAGACGCATTGAGAGCTTGAGGAATACAATTCAAAGGTCGCCTTTTACAATACCGATGGAAGAAATGATTAGACGTATACAGAATAGGTTTGACAGGGATTCAACCCCGGTCCCTGATTTTAGTAACCGCGAGGCATCGGAGAGAGTCAACGATAGAGCCAATTCAATCCTTAACCGGTTGATGACATCTAGGGGAGTTAGATCAGAGCAGAACCAGGCTAGTGCTGCAGCAGCAGCCATTGTCGCAGCAACAGAGGATATCGATCTGAATCCAAACATTTCTCCTGATCTTGAAGGAGAAACCAACACGAGATTCCATCCTCTGTTGATCAGGAGACAGTTACAGTCGCACCGAGTTGCAAGGATCTCGACTTTCACTTCAGCGTTGAGTTCTGCTGAGAGGCTTGTAGATGCGTATTTTAGGACTCATCCATTGGGGAGGAACCACCAAGAGCAAAACCATCATGCTCCTGTTGTGGTTGATGATAGAGACTCATTCTCAAGCATTGCAGCTGTTATAAACTCTGAGAGTCAAGTGGATACTGCAGTTGAGATTGATTCTATGGTCACTCTTTCGACATCGTCTTCGGTGAGAAGGAATGAGAATGGTTCGAGAGTGTCTGATGTAGACAGTGCAGATTCTCGTCCGCCTAGGAGGAGGAGATTTACTTGAGAAACATAAATAAAAAAGCTTTCAACCTGGAAGCTGACGATGATGATGATGATTAAGAAGAAGAGAAGAAGAAGAAGATTGTGTAACTTTATTTTTCCTGTGTTGCTTGTTGGTTTGTTGTAATTTGTTTTGTATTTTTCTCAATAGGGATGGTTTTTTTTAATCGAAATTTTTCTTTTATCTTTTTTTTTATGACGGTAAAATCTCTTAATCCTTTGAATCCAATATGGAATGTGTTCTTGATATTCTTATAAAACACCAAAAAAATTTAATCGATTTTTTTTTTTTGTCGGCCAAACTTCATTATATGAAAACCCAAATGGGAAAATTACAAACATGATACAAGCCTCTTTTAAGCCCATATTAACTGAACCCAATAACATTAATGACACGTAACCATAAAACGTGTATGGTTAAGAAAATATGCGGGCCCACTTCTCTTATCATCTCGATTCTTCTTGCCGACTAAGAATTGTATCTGACTTGATTCTTCTCGCCGGCGATTAGTAGATGGAGACTTGGAATCATGCTTTAGGGACCTCTTTCTACAATGATAACCGCATCAAGTGTTGAATTAACCTTATAAGACTTCGAACTCAATCCCACCTCCAAGAAGAAGCTCCGTCTATGACCTAACAAAGAGGTCTTCAATCCTTCACTTTGAGGATATAGCGACGAAGATGTTACTCTATCACTGGAGAAGCATCAAGTCGATGGCTAATTCTACCAAAAACAAGCGGGATTTGAGAGTAAAAACTGTAGAAAGAGAGAAGAACAAAAGGAGAAAAACATATCTTAGCCGACAAACTAAACTAGATAAACAGAAATAAAGATCGACTAAGAAGAAGAGAATCCGAACAAAGTCGGAAAAGCATATAATACAAAAAGATAGAAAATTTCCGGTTAACCGGAATTCGCCACTCTCTCTCTCTGAAAGATGAACAGTGTGTTAAGAGAGAGAAAGTGAACTCCAGACAAATTTTAATCGATTTCCAAACCATAATTAGATAGCATAAAAATTTGTTGGATTTGAAAATCATCAAACTTTAACTTTGTAGACTGAAGTAAGTTAATATATAAATCAAATTTGATGAATCTTATCAACAAGACGCTTTGGCCGAGTGGTTAAGGCGTTTGCCTGCTAAGTAAATGGGGTTTCCCCGCGAGAGTTCGAATCTCTCAGGCGTCGTAATTTTTAAATCTTTACTTTTTCGTTGTCTCCTAACTTTTTGAGTAGTGTGTTTTTTTATTGGACAAATTTGTTACAAAACGATGATTATATGGCTGTAGAAAAATCCAAAAAGACTTTGAGCAGAGTACATGTCACATGCGCACAGCGACATCCGACACGTCTATTATTCTGTTGAATTATCTCACTTCTTCAAATGGTTTTCTTCAACAATTATATTTCACTTCTTCTGAAAATCTTATTTTATAAGTTAGAGATAATTAGCTGAGAGACATAGATTCAGAAGGAAATAAAATTTTCGGTATAATCTTGTCGGGCCCAAGACATCATAAATATTTAGCCCACTATTTGCCCTCTTATGCCCTTACGCGCCTCTGGATTTCGATCCAAGAATTAGCCCATTACTTGAGACTTTGTAACCAATTATGTTGTTCTCGAGGCAATAAAGTTGCCGTCTGACTCTTAGTTTCCATTTCATTATCTCTCTTCTTTTCACTCTGAAAACCCTAACACAACTCTCTCTCTCCATTCTCTTATATAATCCAGTGATTATCTTCTCCGACGGCTCCGGCGACGCCGTTGTTGTTACTGTTAAAGCGTAGATGGTGCAGTGTGTTACCACTTTGTACGGTGAGCCGGCGATTACGGAGACCGACGTCTCGGGGATTAGAATCTCGCCGTTCTTTTGTTTTTGCTCTCCGACAATACGCCAACTTTTTAATCAAAAAAAAATTCCTTGTTTTGTCTTCCGGTTCTGATTCTTCGTCTTCCCACAACCGATTTGCGTAGATCTCTTTGTAAATGTGTTTATCGATTCGTATTTTACTAGTATCTTACTAATAAATCCTAATTTTATCTTTTTCCTTTTGCTTTCCATAACTGTTTCTGTATCAAAAAAACTTTTCCATACTAAATTCGGTTCTGGTTCTTCGTCTTCCCACATGGGGACCCCTTAGATCTCTCTTTCGATGCATAAATTGATTCGTCTTTTACATATATTTTAGATCTCTATTTTATATTCATATATCTTTATACTCCTTCATATATTTTTATAGATCTGTATTTCCTCATCCTAGATCTGCATGCTCCTTCACATATTTTTATAGATATGTATTTCATATTTATAGATCTGCATGGTTGTTCACAAGTTTTTTTAGATCGTTTTTTTCTTTGCAGATCTCAAACCTGACTCTGTTTTGGTGCATGAATCTCCGCAGGAACATGGAAAATGTCGATCTGCCTTCCTTTCTGCTAGGGAGTTTAAGGTATAATTACCTAAATAAATAATGATCTAACATTTAATATAGCAGACTACATGTGTTAATTTTTGAATACTTTGGATTTAAAGCAGAGACCCACGAAGAAGGCGAAGAGGACCTGCATGCGTTGCCGTGGGCTTGGGCATAATCGAGCGACATGCAAGATGCCTATATAAGCAAGTAACTATGTATGGTAAGCTAGTTTTTTTTTTGTTGTCAAACGTATGGTAAGCTAGTTATCCCTAGCCTGCGGTGGTTAACATTTTGAAGTTATATAAGTTGTCCCTGTTGAGGGATCTAACACATGGTGGTTTACATGATGCAATTAAATAAGATGTCCCTTTTGAATGTGTAAGACCAGCTCGGCGGTTTAAGTTGGAATGGGAATCAGAAGAAATCAAGTGGCCAATTATCTTTGTAAAATATTAGTGCCGCATGTTAAAGACTTGCTAATGCTTTGTTAAATGTTGTTGACTTGTCAAAAACGGTGTATTGCGTCGATCTTGTGAGTCCGCACACCTTCGAATGTAAAATATTTAATTTTATGTTTATCTATCTATTTATCCTTCTAAAATTATAGATTCAATTACACAAGTGGTGGCCTAATAAATGTCTCTGAAAAAGCGAAAACGAAATAATGATGAAAAACCATAATTGTTACTTTTGGAAAAAAGTTTAAGACTTGAATAATGTAGATGACATAAACATTATATGAACATCTAAACGATAATATCTCGTTACGATAAGGCTACACCGTAAGACACCATGTAGACGGAGAAGATAGATGTGACGACACCAACTACGAAACCTAGTTTAGTAGAGCTCCCAGCTATGTGGGGTCCGCCACGTTGAATTAGGAGGCTTTCTTAAGTTATTAGGTAGTTTGGGAAAAAATTCATAAAAAGAAAACGAATCCCACGCGCATGTTGACGATTGTAGTCGGTTATTTCGTAAATAAGTAACAAGCCCGAGTCTAGTTTGGACGCTTTTTGTATCGTTGTCTTGGACGTCCAACCCTATTGTCTCTCAGCTAATTTCCTCCCCTATTTTTACCTCTGAGCAAATTCACTCTATAAGTTATAACTATTACATGATATTTTCTTGGCAATAAGAAAAAGCACCGCAAAAATACATTCACACGAGGGGAGACAAAAAAAAAAAAAAACCCCCACAAAAACAGACATCTTCCACCATTTTCAGGCTTTCATCATTTATTATATTACAAAGTTTCTTGGATCCTTGTTAATTTAATTATAAGCTGCCAAAATAAATCAGCTTACACTTATAATGGTCCTGTTTTAATTGAATTTAACCTTAAACCACATGTCGTGAGGAAAATGAAAATTACGTCAACGTTAAAGCCAAAATTTGAAAAGTGAAGAAAAAACAAAATAAAATAAAAAACTCAAATGATGTGTGCGGGAAATGAGCGTCGTCTCGTTATTCGATGCACGAACTCGAGCCAATAAGATTTTTTTAATCTTAAAATGGTTATTAAATCTTTCTTAATTGGTCATTATTTTTGTATTTTTCCGTAATTTAAATTGACTTTTGCCGGAGATGTAACTTTTATCTCAAACTATTTTACCAGTTCTTTTGTTTTTTACTCATAAAGTCATAACTCGCAATCACAAGCGTAAGCGAATTTGATGCAATTAAAAATGGGGAAATATTTGTCCTTTTTTAATTTTATTTTTTTATCTGTTACAAAATGTAATTATATCTGAAAAGAAATCGAGCGTTGTAACGCACCATAATGGAGAAAATAGTAATAATTAAGAAGATAGTACAAAATCTCAGATGAATATTTAGTAAATAATTGAAATTAAATGAGATAAAATTAATTTCTTAAAAAAAAGGAACCACCTTCGTGAATTGTGATTCGGTGTTTTTAAAAAGTGGGAATAAAGACAAAACAGAGACCACCACCATTAATGGCTTTCTTCACCGATACGAACAAGACAGGACACAAACACAAACCCAGCCTCCTCCTCCTCCGTCTCCTCCCGTCCCTTTTCGTTTCTTCTCGGTAATCCCCAAAATTTTCGATTAATCCCTCGATTTCTCCTCTTAATTTGAATCCGAAGAAACGCAAAATCCATAACAAAGTCTGGAAAATTTCTTCCGGGTAGGAAAAAACTTCTTCTCCTTCTTTTGAATTTGGGGTTTTTGATTTTGAAATCGGGATCAAAAGATCCAGAATCACCGAATTCCGAAATTCTTTCTCGGGTCGGTGTTTTATCTAATTATCCGGAGGCACGACGAATCTAGCTTGCTTTTTTGGGGGAAATATATCTCTCGAAAGGTCAATTCTTTTGCTTTATTTTGTTGTGTTTGAATCGTTTTGTTTATGGATGGATTGTTTCATAGGTCAAAGAGACAAAGATAATGCTGAGATTTATGATATTGGGATTTGTATTTTCAACACCTTTTCTCTTTAGATTTCTGGTTTGAATTAAAAGCTGTTCTTTTTAATTGCAAAATTGTGAAACCTTGCTTGCACGATCTTTGTTTAGCTGTCGTAGGTTAGATTCTTGTTCTAGTTAGATCTATTTTCATGTTTCTCTCTGTTTAGTTAGATTGAAAAGAGAAGAGTTTTTTTGTTTGTTCTCTTGGAATTTTTCTTTTTTGATGTTTGATAGTCCTGTGATTGATTACTGTTAACTGTTGTTAAAGTCATTGGAATGTGCAAAGGTCTAGCTTTTTAGCATTGTTCATAGCTTGAGGCCTATTGCTTTGTTTACCTATCTGAAAGTGCATTTAATGTTTTGCTTCAAATGTTTGTTTTCTTTTAGTTCCTTTTATTTTATTCTTTGTTGCTTAAGAAGGTATTACAGATCTTAGAAATAAAGTAAAAGACTTGATCAGCTGAACTAAGTATCTGCTCCGGAATGTACTCTTTTCCTTCTCAATTTATCAACTATATGTATAAGCTTTCTTTGATGTGTTAGTGTTAATTTTGACATGTGAATCATATCAGCTTGTATTGTTAGTGATCCCTTTTTCTTCCTGCAGGATAATAAAGGAGATCCAATAAGGAGTAAATATCTGACGACAAGTTAAAACAAAGGGCGATTTCATTTTAGTGAATTTGGGATTTGGGCTCGCCATGGCTCCTGGAGGCAGTGCTTTGAAAGAAGTCATGGAATCTAATTCAACGGGAATGGATTACGAGGTTAAAACGGCAAAAGTTGAAGTTAATAATAACAAACCTACAAAACCAGGGAGTGCAGGGATTGGAAAATATGGGATCCATTCGAACAATGGTGTTTATGAGCTTCTTGAATGTCCCGTGTGTACAAATTTAATGTACCCTCCAATTCATCAGGTCAGAAACATATGAGCTTTAAAAGATTTGTAATCGTAATGTTACATGCTCTTTAACATTTTTTAATTCTACAGTGTCCAAATGGCCACACATTATGTTCAAACTGCAAAGTGAGAGTGCAGAACACATGCCCTACATGTCGCTATGAGCTTGGTAATATAAGATGCTTAGCTCTTGAGAAAGTTGCAGAGTCTTTGGAAGTTCCATGCCGGTACCAAAATTTGGGGTGTCATGACATTTTTCCTTACTACAGCAAGCTTAAGCACGAGCAGCATTGCAGGTTTAGGCCTTACACTTGTCCTTATGCTGGTTCTGAGTGCTCGGTTACAGGTGATATCCCCACACTTGTTGTTCATCTCAAAGATGATCATAAAGTCGATATGCATGACGGATGCACCTTCAACCACCGATATGTAAAGTCAAATCCACATGAAGTCGAAAATGCTACATGGATGCTTACGGTAAAAATTTCTTGTTTCAATATGTTTTCTTCTTTTTATCGAAGGTTTTAAATTTAAAGTCTGATTCGGGTTATTTCTTGCAACTTAAATTTTTACGTAGGTTGTGGTTCTTATATCATCATATGACTAAGCTTTACATTCACCTTCTTTCTCTCGTGATCCTCAACCATGAACTTTTCCTGGCTTTAGCTCTCTTCTTCAAAATACAGATTGGATTCTTAAAAAGGAACTATTGGAATCTCCGTCTTCTGATCTTTTATGCTATTGATGTTATTCTATTTTGCCTATTAAATTATGACTTTGATAAATTTGCTGCCATAAGCAGAGGGCCTAGGTTTACATTCCTGCACGGTTAGCGCAGGCAAACTCCCTTATTAGCTGCTTTTCTGCTTTGCTCCTCTTTGTTAGTCCAATTTTTACGGGCTCATTAAGTGCCATAGGGTTTCTTAGTCTCATTTTCGTCCTTGTCTTCCAATACTTGTTGCTTTACACGTAACCTCGAATCTCAGTTACTTAAATTTTATATCCAGGTGTTCAACTGTTTCGGGAGACAGTTCTGTTTACACTTTGAGGCGTTCCAGCTGGGAATGGCTCCAGTGTACATGGCATTCCTTCGTTTCATGGGAGATGAGAACGAGGCGAAGAAGTTCAGTTACAGCTTGGAAGTAGGAGCTCATGGACGTAAATTAACATGGCAAGGGATCCCTAGAAGCATCCGTGACAGTCACAGGAAAGTGCGGGACAGTCAAGACGGACTCATCATCCCAAGAAACCTCGCACTCTACTTCTCTGGAGGTGATAGGCAAGAACTCAAGTTGAGAGTGACCGGGCGAATCTGGAAAGAGGAGTAAAGCAAAACGAAGAAAAGAAGGAACTGATTGAAAAATGATGTACATAAGAAGAAGCCTCGTGGAGAGCTAATGATCATATGGAAGATTTGAAGTTTGTTGTCTGGTTTTAGTGTGGTATAATGGAGTCTTCTCCAATGGGAATGAAGATGAGATGATGATGATGACAAATCTTCTATGATGAATCAGTTTGGAGGAGCCATTGTTACTATTTGTGGCTGCAAGAACTATATTATCTCTGTATTTTTTCTTTTTTTGTTGGGTTTCTTTTTTTGTGGTTTCAGAGAATGTAGGAAAAAGTAAGACATGATTTTGGCTATGTTCTTGTTGTAAAACCAAGTTCAAAAAAGATTGGTGCACTTTTTTTCTGTTCACAATGGTGATTTTTAGACTCTTTAATAGCAGTAGTAGTATCTTAAATTCGATTCAGTTTAGGTGTTTCAGCTTATAGATATTGAGGAGGAATGTAACAACATTGCCTGTCTGTAAGCACTTCAGTTTCACTATTCCATCTTACTCTGATGGAAAATCAACCTTCTTCAGATGAATCAGCAGAAACAAAACCTGTATATGTGATTCTTGCTTGGAAACAGAGCTGAAATCTAGGGATTATATGCATGATGGAATGATTACTCTTGAAACAAGTGAGATTATATCAGGTAGTACTCATGAATCTCATGAGCATTCAGAATTCTCAGATCCATTTGATATCAGGAAGCAGAACTCAGAAGTGTGGAAATAGACAAGAGTGTTTCAACAAGTTTGTAAAAGCTTGATTGGATCCTTTTACTTTTTGATAAAAATGTCTTATAACTTCATATATCCCACAATTTTCAAATTTGATTTTCTTTCCATTTTTATTGTCAACAACTTGTACATAATTTACTAAATTTTAAATCCGAATACATTATTAGTTTTTTTTTAATGGACTTTATATATGAATTTTTTTTAATAGTAAACAATTTTGTTTTAGCTATTACAGCATGATGACAACACCTTACCCACATATACACACTTTTACTCATTTGAGGAAAGGTAACTAACAAACATTTCGTATGAAAACCAAGCAAAAAAACACAAATATCTGCTTTTTTTTTCCTAAAATCTTTTTTGTTCAAAAATTAATTTTGGTCTGCAGATTTTAATTTTATTACCCAAAATGTTAGAAAAAGCAGAAAAGAATAATAATAAAAAAATGAGAACATAAAATTGTAATCGTTTGGTCATTTTAACCGCTCCCTCTAACTTTTATTTTTCTACCAAGGCAAGGCAGAGAGAGCCTCCCTTTATAAGTTACAACACATCTCATCTCTCTCTTTCTTTCTTTCTAGAATATATTGACGCAGCCGCGAATCTCATCGTCATCGTCATCGACCACGAGGGAACCCTGATTTGCGGCTTTTCTTCTCTATTCGATTCGTTTTCTTTCTGTTTAAGGATCTGCCTTCCCAGATTTTCCCGGGAAATTTCATAATCAGACTCTTCCTCTTTTTATTTTCCTGAAATCCCGATTCATCGCGATCGATTGTTGTTTCTTGTATTTCTCCGATTGGATTTTGTGTTTCTGTAGTCCGATTTCACGGAATTGAATCGAATAGGATTGGTTCCTGATTGAGTCAGTCTTTGTTGTGGGAGAGATAATGAAAACATTGGTTGATGAATACAAGAGACTGTAAATGATGCCTGGTTTAGCGCAGAGGAATAATGACCAATACTCTTTTGGCTTCTGGTCAAAGGAAATCGATGGAGTCAGCTACAATCAGCTCCAAAAGGTACTTATCTTCATTTGGTTTTCGACGTTGAATTAGCTCAGATTGGTTCTTTTGCATCTGCTTCATTCTCTAATTGGTATTTATTAGCTAAGAGATGCTTTGCTTTCATTGTATCAATCCAAGTTTTTTTGTTCAGATCTTATTTATATGATGATAAATCATTAACTCAAAGCACATTGCTCTGAACTTGTGTGCAGTTCTGGAGTGAGCTGTCGCCGAAAGATAGGCAGGAACTTCTCAAGATTGACAAACAGACTTTGTTTGAGCAAGCTCGTAAGAACATGTATTGTTCCAGATGCAATGGCCTGCTTCTCGAAGGTTTCTTGCAGATTGTTATGCATGGGAAGTCCTTGCATTCTGAGGGATCAATAGGGATTTCTCCTTGCAACAAATCAGGGGGCTCGAAATATCAAAATGACTGTAACTCAGTTGTCAGTAACGGATGTGCGGATGAGATGCAAGATCCGTCTGTTCATCCATGGGGAGGTCTCACTACGACACGTGATGGGTCACTCACGCTTCTTGATTGCTATTTGTACGCAAAGTCTCTCAAAGGACTTCAAAATGTAAGTTCATGCAAGGTTTACCTATTTGCAGTCAATTCCTGTTCAACTAGTTAATATATTGGTTCTAGCAGGTGTTTGACAGCGCCCCTGCTCGAGAAAGGGAACGTGAGTTGCTTTATCCTGATGCTTGTGGTGGTGGAGGTCGAGGATGGATAAGTCAAGGAATGGCTAGCTATGGTAGAGGGCATGGAACTAGAGAAACGTGTGCTCTACATACTGCAAGGCTTTCTTGTGATACATTGGTAGATTTCTGGTCCGCACTCAGCGAGGAAACTCGACAATCTCTTTTGAGGATGAAAGAAGAGGATTTTATGGAAAGACTGAGGTATAGGTAGGTCATTAATTGATTTAATATTCCTTGCTGTTCAATCAGAAAATTGAGTCGGGAAGTTTTTGGACATGATCTGGGTCATGGGTAACAGGATATGTTACTACTCAAGATATCACATTCTGAATTGCAAGATGAATGGGCATTTTGTTGTCTGGACTTTGAGGATGTGCCTACCAAGTCATGCAATACAACATTTTTCTTTGTCTGGTCATGTCGAGACTTTTTTACTCTCCGCTAATAACAAATGGATCTTTCAAATTACAGATTCGACAGCAAGAGATTTTGTAGAGATTGCAGACGAAATGTTATTCGTGAGTTCAAAGAGCTTAAGGAACTGAAAAGAATGCGGAGAGAACCTCGATGTACCACATGGTTTTGTGTTGCCGATACAGCCTTCCAATATGAGGTGATTTATCTATGTTAACATTTTCATTTTTGTGGGTTCCTATAGTCTAGAGTTATGATTTTCAAAATGTATATTACTATTTTTCTTATGAGGATTATCTATATTGCGAGATGGGATTAGAAATGTAGTTGCAATATTACAGGTATCCATTGATTCGGTGAAAGCAGACTGGCGGGAAACTTTTTCTGAGAATGCTGGAATGTACCATCATTTTGAGTGGGCAATTGGAACCGGAGAAGGAAAATGTGATATCCTCAAGTTTGAAAATGTTGGCATGAATGGGAGAGTTCAAGTCAATGGCCTAGACCTTCGTGGTTTAAATTCATGTTACATTACCCTTAGAGCTTATAAATTAGATGGCCGCTGGTCTGAGGTATCCGTCAAAGCCCATGCATTAAAAGGTCAAAACTGTGTGCACGGCAGACTAGTAGTTGGGGATGGCTTTGTTTCAATCAAGAGAGGTGAAAGCATCCGAAGGTTTTTTGAGCATGCTGAAGAGGCTGAGGAAGAAGAGGTAGATTCCAGATTCATAAACTTTTTAACTCAAACTTCTCAACTGTTTATGACTACACGAATATTATTCTTTCCACGTTTTAAATGATTCCACTGTGCTTCCTATGTTATTAAAGGATGAAGACATGATGGACAAAGATGGGAATGAGCTTGATGGGGAATGCTCCCGTCCACAAAAGCATGCAAAAAGTCCAGAACTTGCTCGAGAGTTTCTTCTAGATGCTGCAACAGTTATTTTTAAAGAACAGGTTTGTTAGATGTAGGTTCCCTCAAAGTCACATTTTATTATTGTTATTCTGTGCTCATTAGGTACTTATTTCGGTCTGTTATTGATTATATCTTAGGTTGAAAAAGCATTCAGGGAAGGAACCGCTCGGCAAAATGCACACAGTATCTTTGTATGTCTTACATTGAAACTATTAGAACAACGTGTACATGTTGCCTGCAAGGAAATTATCACCTTGGAGAAACAGGTAGGCGTTCTGTCTTAAGGTTCTGAAAGCAATTTGTTCAAGATTATGTCCAACAGTTCTGTTGTCTTAACTCCGGCAGGTGAAACTTCTTGAGGAAGAAGAGAAGGAAAAGCGTGAAGAAGAGGAGCGGAAAGAGAAGAAAAGATCCAAAGAAAGGGAGAAAAAACTTCGCAGAAAGGAGAGATTGAAGGAAAAAGAAAAAGGCAAGGAGAAGAAAAACCCTGAATCTAGCGATAAAGACATGCTGCTGAATTCACCAAGGGAAGAAGAAGATCTTCCAAACCTTGATGATAAGACAAATACTACCATAAACTGCGAGGAGTCAGAAATTGAAACGGGGGATGCAGATTTGTCTCCACCTGGTTCTCCTGATGTTCAAGAAAGACAGTGTTTGGATGGTTGCCCTTCTCCAAGAGCGGAAAACCACTACTGTGACAGCCCTGACAGAGAATTTACAGATCTTGAAGGTGAGAACGGGTACTTTACAAATGATCATCAAAAACCTGTTCACCAGAATGCAAGATATTGGAAAGAAGTGCAGTCTGATAATGCTTTGAGGTGGTCAGATAAACGCAGATATTCGGATAATGCTTCGTTTGTCAGTAGGTCAGAGGCAAGATACCGTAATGATAGATTAGAAGTGCCTTCAAGGGGATTTAATGGGTCAAACAAACAGTTAAGAGTTAAACCTTCAAAGACTGGTGGCCTGAATGGCATCAAGTCTCATGAGAAGTTTCAATGTTGCGACAACAGGATCAGTGAGAGGTTTGACTTCAATTCTTGCAGTTGCAAACCGAGTAGTGAATACCGGGGTTCTAACATCTCTGCTACCAGAAGCATGCGAGAACCAAAAACAGTATCCAATTCTGACTCTGCTCCTGATGCCTCCAAGCCAGTGTTCCGAGGCAACAGGTATACTCAACCAGACCATACTCGTGAGTTAAGACTTAAGAGCAAGGTGGGAGTTGGTCCAAATCCTTCTAATACTAGAGATTCACTACATTCAAAACAAGTTTGGGAGCCCATAGAGCCAAAGAAGTATCCACGAAGCAACTCTGACTCTGAAGTACCAGTTAGATGTTCAACATTTAAAGCTGAAGAGATAGAAGACACTATCGTTGCTGAGAATTCATCTGACCTTTTGTCTCAATGTAAGGCTACAGAGAAATTGGATAATATCAAGCTTAAAGATAACAACAGCATGGAGTCCGGGGAAACAAAGAATGGGTGGCATTTGAAAGATCCTATGATGAGTAGTACATCGAGTTCAGATAATTGCTCGTCATGCCTGAGCGAGGGAGAGAGCAATACGGTTTCTTCAAACAACGGAAACACTGAATCCTCCTCCACATCTGATTCTGAAGACGCCAGTCAGCAATCTGAAGGAAGAGAGAGTATAGTTGTTGGTACACAGAACGATATCCTCATACCAGATACTACTGGGAAGAGTGAACTTCGGGAAACTCCTATAGTAGTAACTGGGAACAACACTGATAATAACAGTAACAATAACATGACACATGGTGTTGTTGATGGGCAACCACAAGGAGGCATGTTCCCTCATTTGCTAAACCAGAATCTACAGTTTCCCGTTTTCCAGACTGCTTCACCAATGAGCTACTTCCATCAAGCACCACCAGTCTCTTGGCCCATGGCTCCAGCCAATGGATTAATTCCGTTCCCTCACCCTAATCCTTATCTATACACAGGTCCGCTCGGATATAGTATGAACGGAGATTCCCCACTGTGCTTGC